AAATCTGGGGAATCCAACTAAAAACCACAGAAAAGGTGGACCTTGCATTTAGAATATTTACCACAGATATGGGAAAGATGATCTGTGGTAATCTAAAATATGTGAACATAATAGTTAATAGGCTAAACATGCAAAATAATAATCCTGTGTTTGCCATGTAATACACTCAAAAGTTGCTCTGTGTAAGAATATTACTCGGGTGCCTTAAATGTAAATGTTTTTTTCTTTGTCATCATCATTCTTTTCTTCATCTTCTTCCTCCTCTCCTCTCCTCTTAGCAGACATTGGACAGAGGTACCAGAGTGCTCTGAATATGTGCGTGTCACCCCCTCAGAAAGCATTTATTGAGACCTAAGCGTGACTAAATATATCGCCAGATGAAAGTCATTGGGGACGTCAGAGGCACGAACAGAGGGTACACACACACACACACACACACACTTGGCTGAACTTGACCTTTTCCATCCTCCCTTGGTGTTCATGTGCAATACATGTACGTTAATGTGCTGCATGTTACACCTGCTACACCGGAGTGGAGGGTTAGTCAGCACCATCTTAAATACAAATGCACTGATTAGCATTTTTTTAGGCTCGTCCTGTAGAACTTTAGCAGCTTCATGACAGGCCATAGCTAGTATCACCATTTTAGTAACGCTTTCTAAGAATGCATTGTTTATAAAGGGCTTGTAAGTTCTGACTTATGGGTTTATTTCTGTTTAATACCTCATTTAATAATGGTGGTAATTGTTCAGTTTGTAGATTAGTTATAAGCAATTGATAAAAACAAATTTTGGGTCGCCAGGTTGTGAACAATCTCATTGGCAAGTGTTTATCATCTTCATAATAATGCAGTATGTGATGGATGGTAATGATGACTTACGAGTTTGCGTTTTTCACTTTTTCTCTTAATCTTTCTCTTCTAAATTAATTTGGTTAACCCGGATGTGTGTTTAAAACATTCCCGATCATCGGACTACTTGTGTTTCTTGCTCCAGCGAACCTGTTTTTTTAACGTTGTTGCAGCGTTCCCACATCTCAACATTTAACTTGGTGCATATAAATGTTATTAACAATACGAGGGGTGACCGAAGCTATGAAAATAAGAACCAAGTTGTTTAAAACTGGAATGCACTAATTAGCCCAAGTCTTATTTTGCAGGAAACTTAATGGGCTCTTTTTTTCGTCAGCGTCCCAAACTCCAAAACCCACTTATGCCCTAGGAGGAGCTACACTGGGACACCAAGTGGAGATGAGGAGGGACACTTTTGTTTTGCTTGTCTTTAGGAAGCGGCGTTGCGCTCCACTGTACTCACAGAGGCTCCACTGTTTGGTGCCCAGAAGAGAGCAGTAAGACAGGAGGAGGGGCCCCTTCCCCGACAAAATGGAGCATATACACAACAATCCCTTTATTCAGCTGTTTGGACCTGCCATCTGAACAGCGGCTTGTCATTAAATTAACATCACAGCAGGCGAGCGCCCTGGCCCTTGCTTCCCGGAGCATTGTGGTGCACTCGGGAGGAAACTCATTCTTTCAGGGGATACCAGGTCAAAAAGCAGGGGCGGTATAGACGCGTCCCTGCAGCCTTGGCGTTGAGGAATGGGAACAGTCGCCGTGCCGCTGTGTTGGTCCTCGCGAAAGGCCGAGTGTTGAAAGGACAACCTTTTAATCCCTGGCAGCCGCGAAGGACAGAGACAGATTTGCTTTTTGTTTTTGATGTTGTGCCACTTTCTCGCCATATTCACCCCGAGGACAAGACTGGAGTCCACGCCAAGGGTGAGGCTGCAACACATTTCGCTGCAGTGAAGCTGTGGCTGTGTTGGCCCGGATCATACACTCATGTGTGGTGCACCTGCACCGGGGAAGTGTCTTGAATAAGTTGCCCAATGGTTTTTCAGTTGAAAGATTTGTATGGAAGCAGTGCACTGCCTGGCTCATGCACCGAAAACAGTAAATTAGCCGCCAAGCGGCACAGAAACACTGTTTAAATAGAACAAAAGCTAAATTATTTGTCAAGATGGAAGAGTCAAAACCTAGATTTCTAAGTAAATGGAATATAGTCAATGTGCACAACCTGTGTGAATGGGTTCATTTGTAGCCAATTCTCTTCAAGCTTTCGTTAGTAGAAAAACAAAACACCTCCTACAAGCGGATTAAGAGGAAAGTAAAAAAAGATGCACAAGGGCCAATCAGATCAGTTGTCCCGTGCCCTGGGTCAATAGAGGGCCCAAAAAAGCCTGCATTGCAAAGAAGAGTAGATCAACTTGATAAATGCCACACAACGCGCAGTCTGAAGCCACGGTTCTACTTTCCGTAAAAGCCAGATTTATGCTTGCCGTCTCTGCGAGGTCACCGACTGTCCGCGCGGCCACAGTGACGTCATGCCATCAGACATGGCCCTTTGCGATGTTTTTTCGTGTGGCAGGTTTTGTTCCTGTCAGGGCAGATCTAATATTTTCAAACTACGCGGTTGGGCACAGAAAATGGAAAACTTTGAGGAGCTTTGAGATCACCATTTCACGTCAGCTGATGACCATGCAACTGTCCTTGCTGAAAGTATAACTGAGACTTAGCTACCTGGTCTCAAGAAATGCAAAGGCCACCACATAAACTATAAACTGGCACAAAATGATAATAACCAAAACACCATGTTCTGAACAGACATTACATATTTAACAGTCCAGCACATAAGGAGAAATGTGGGCCGTCACTTCAATATTTTAGTAGGAAACCTTGTTTTCATCTGCTTCTGTTTGTGTGTTTTTTTAATTTAGCTAGCTACGAAAATTGAGAGAAAGTACAAATCGGGTGCATTAAAACGCAAGGAGTGATAGAGGTAGGGAACAAAAGCGTCCTGTGCTCCTCTTACATCTAACTTCCCCTTCCTGTTTGTATTTAATTTTGCTCTGGATGGTGGAACACACAATGGGTTAGGCTACGCTAAGCTAATGCAGGCTGAGCAGGAACAACGATTGGTGAGTAAAACATCCGTAATTATTCTTTGTTCATTTGAAATGTGGTTGTGTAGGCAAGTGAGCTCAGGCTTTTGATGAAACTAATTTTCTTTCATCTTGAGACAGTTGTACTGTAGCTTAGAGAGCAACTTTCCAACATCTCATTTCTTCTGCAGCTTTTATAACATCTGCCTGTCTGTCTCCTCCACAACCTGCATCACGTACACTGATCGTAGACCAACTTCAGATGGGGGGACAGGTGGTGCATCTTTACCAGGTGCCTGAATCCTCCCTTTTCACTGGACTTTGTATTCAACATTCTCGTCTCTCTGTCTGACCACCTTGTTGGTGAAACAAGGGGGCAGCACAGACCGCTGGGCAATCAGGTTAGGAAGACTAGTGAAGCAAAAGAGGTCAGATAGATGAAGTGACCACAATGCCACTGTGTCTGTTCGTTCCAATAACGTTGCCTCCACATGACGGGCCCTGAGGGGAAAGTCACATGAGGACAACTTTCCTCCTTTCTCACTTCTGTTTAAATTCCAAAATACATCAGGCAAAAAAAATTAAAAAGTCTCCTCATGCCCCTCCCTGAATAATAAAACCCACTGCGAAGAATGAAAGCTCTTAATGTCGCCTGCCTCCGTGAATTGTCATGATGTAAATGTGCAGCCGTGGCATTAGTCACGCTGGAGCGACAGAACCCTGCTTGAAGGCTTTTGACTGTATTTGCTCCAGTCTGTCTGGTCTTATCTCTCTGCACCACTCTGTCTTTAATCTTGTTGCTTTAGAGCTGTATCAGACACAAAGACGTGTCTCTGGGGAAGAATCAGTGCAAGTGACAAATAGCAGCGCGGAGTGTGAGGCAGGAGCATGATGGGATGTGGGGTTTTAAAAGCCAGGGCTGGTTTTAAAGGGGCAGTTTAGGGCTTTTTAAGAAGTGTGACTGAGTTCATCAGCAACTGGGAGTTCTTGTAGGTTGCTCCAAACAAGCACCAGTTGTGTTGTCTTTGAGATTTCAGGAGCACAAGTTCATAGGGCTTATTACTGTAGTAAGGCTGGTGGGAGTCAGAGGTTTCTTACATTTTCTTTTTTTTTATGTCTCCACTATCATAACTGCTTTCAGCCTGATATGTAACTCCGAACATCAACGCTTTTGTTCCCAAAGCCAGAGACTGTTTCGGTCCCAGAAGTTGATTAATATTTAAACGATTACATTTGTCTGTATCTTCACTTCAACAAGAGTTTGCAGATTAAATCCCTCTTTGTTGATAAAATAATGCCACCTTACCTTGTGCCTCCATTCAGTAGCTGCTCTGAAGCTTTGTATCACATCACGGGATTCTTGTTAGGAGATGGAGTTTGCCACGTTGTCCATTTTGTCTTTACACTTTAAGATTTTTGAATGGTGAGAAAGCACAGCTGCACTGGCTGGCTCGAGCGAAACCCAGCCCCAGGTCACCGCTGTGATGTTTTGAGGTACTGTAGTGCCATGTTTCATCACTGCTGCACAGGATGTGTAAAAAATCGCAATGTTATCACTATTTGTCAGAGCTTAATCTTTACAACTCCATTACAACTGATGAAGCTCTATCTGCTGCTGAAGACCATGTGATTTCAAAAGCTCCAGAGCAGCTACTAAATGGACCTGAGGTGACTTTTCTTTCGTCAACTTGTATTTCCAAAGTAAACAATGAAATTATAACCTCCATACTTACTTGGTGTTTATTTAAAGATGCTCTGTGGTGTTTTGGACAACTAGTGGTGCCATGGAGCGATGCATGCAAGCCCCGCTGTTCCACTGGTTGACAGTTGGTGGCAGTAATTTGTCAAGAAGTATGACACTACATCAACAAAAGGAGGCAAAGAAGAAGACTGCCAGCTGATGTAAGTAATGCAGATTCTTAAAAGTTATTTTTAAAAAGTGGTTTTATGACGAAGGAAATGTTTGTTTGGCTTCTGGAAACATTGAACGTGAAGATATGTCGTTTACAAGATAACTCCATGTGGGTACATTTTAGCATATCATTTTAAAAAAGAGGCTCTGCTACTGTTTGTTCCGTGTTTTTATTGTTTCCTTTCATCTAAACATGAATACTTAATCAATGCAACTGATGACTAAATCCTACGTACACAGCTGACACCAGGGTTGCAGATATGGACACTGAGATATCCAGCTACTGTACTGCAGACACAATACTCACTACAAGAAAACCAGATTACAGAGACATTGCTATAGTTTGTGGAGACTATGCAGACTGATGCTGAGAGATTACACAGGATACTTTGCAAATGCGTTTCGCGCGTGTTAGCATGACAGAGTGTTGTTGGGGTTTAACGTGTTGTTGTGGTCCAACTGGGCGTCTGTCTTGTCCTGATGAAGGTTAAGGGGCTTCATTCCCGGGTGTAAATCCGCGTGCACACTACGTCGTCTGCCCCGAAAGTCTGGAGGAAACAAAAGGATAGTTGATAGTGAGTAGCCCTCACAGTCAGCTGGCAGAAAATGTTAAATTAGCGACACATTTTAAAGCCATTTGCTTTTTAATCCAACAAACACATGTGACAGTAAGCCCAGAGCTCAATGCTGCAACTGAACAACTTGACATTTATACCAACGGAGCCAGACTGGTGAAGCAGGGGGCTTCGCCAAAATAATTAGTCAAATACATGCAAGTGCACAGGGTGGATTACTTTGTGACGTGAACTCCGTATTTCTTCTGTTTACCTCACAATAACCCCAAAGTTAACACTCCAGAGTATTATAAACCATTGGTGCTGTTGACATCGGAAAAGCCGCCGATTTCACAGACCTGTTACTCAAACTGGACTTCCTGTATTGTTTTTCATGTCTCACCGGTACCTGAAACAACACACACCACTACCAACACAGCCCCTTGCTTTGTTTAAACCCAATGCAAGGTGGTTGATTTTGGTCTGAACGCCTGCTCACAGGGTCTGAAACCTTCCACACTTACGCCTGAATTGGCGGTTGGGAGGCTGTATCTGACAATTTCTAAAGGTTAACTTTCCAAAGCTAATAATCCAACAACCACCTCACGCAGTGATTGGCCAGGTGTCTGGATGACAAGGCAGGATTTAAACTTTTCTCTCAAGCTCTCTTTTTTTAATTCTGTCACTTTTTGTGTGTCAATGAATGCCTTCGAGTGCCATTTGTACAAATGATCATGTGGACTACTGTACAAAGACATGCAAACACTGTTTGGAGAGAGCTTAGGGAGGCAGTGTGTGTGCCCATTTGCATCAGGTTTAAACACCTTTGCCTTTAGACGCGGCCTGAATGACACGTCGTAAAAACTAGTTTGTTTCTAGCAAGCTGAACCTCACGAATCTCGTCTCTCTTCTATTCCCCTTTTTTAAAGACGTCTTTGAATTCAATTCTAAAATGCACAAACTCAACTTGTTTAAGGACTGTTGGGTTATGACAGTATCACCATATTGCAGTATGATTGATCTCATAATGTCAAGGAAATCCTATCAACCAATGATGTGTGTCACAACATCACAGTCAAAATGATGGCCGTTAATGTAGGTCATACTGCAAACAATTATTGATGAAACCAAAAGAAACTGCTTCATAACGGATTAATGCGTCCCTTGAATGCACAAGCTTGAAGTGATTGAGTCCAACCCTCTGATCTGCTGTCATTTTTTTCGTTTTATTTCAGGCTGATGCAGCCGGAGAAAATCCACACGACTTTGGCCTTAAAATGTTTTCAGACTAAACCAATTAAACGAATCATGCAAATCGTATGGAAATGTGCCCCACTTACAGTGTGAACTGCCACAGCCAATCAGACCACTGCTTTATGATCGCTCGTCCTCCTTTGAGTCTTGACGCTCTATTATTGTTGTCTGGAGGCTTTTATTTTGGATACAGATAGATATGATTCAGATTCAGACCGTGTTTGTTTTGGTTTTTCCAGATGCTTGTCCCAAAAGAAAGAGGTTGTCTGGGTGCAAAGATGACACTCGTCTCTTTTTCTAAAGAGAGGCTTCAAATCTTTTCAGGATTTTAATGACACAGAATTTGTATTAGCTAAAGATTTGCCTGAACATAATCCAGGCATTATATATTATATATGTTTGCCACTACCATCTAATTGGGAAACAATTTAGAGATATATAAATGTAATTTCGAGAAGACAGATTTTGAATTTTCACTTTCACTTCCCCAATCGATGTGGTCATCCCACTTTCTTTGCGCAGTTGTTACTTATTATCCTTCACGCTTACACAGACACTATCAAGCAGCTGTGCCACCAAAATTCGTCCGGCTGTCTCAGGTGAACGATGACAAGATTTACTTGTTGGTGTTGTTGTGGTAACAAATACAAGATGCATCTACTGAGAACCAATCTCATACCATTTACCTATGTCTCGTCTGTAAACCCGACTATGTGATGGAAGAATGTGTCTCCGCGTGGCTTTTCGCTGTGAACACTGATGAGAAAATGTCCAAACTGAGACTCTACAAGCTGCACTGTAAACATAGTTCATCTGCAGGTTGTACGATGGTGTGACAGAAGGGAGGACTGAGGTGAGAAGAGCAGAGAGACACAGATGCTGTCACAACGCGGCCAGATCAATCTCCATTATAGTGCATGAATGCTTCAGCTCCTCCAGGGCAGCCGGGCCAAAGTGTCACCAGAGTGGCAGGCGCTGTAACACATTCTGCTTTTATAACCCAAACATTAGAAAAGATTGAATATGTTCTGGCTTCCTCTGAATAATGAGGAAATTCTGTTTCAATATTGAGATGCTATTTAATGTCAAGATGATTAAGAAAAAATGCATTTTCAACCCTTTTAGATCCCATCCACGGCTATATTCTGCAATATATTTATGAAAATTCAATCATCTTTTCTTCCTGTAAAACAAAATACAACGTGTACTTACGTAAGCTAGTACCAACCAATTTCAACCGATAATATCATGACATGCATCAACCAATCAATCTGCAACTTTTAGCGACATGGAAGTCCAATCAAATGCAAAGGAATTTATTTAAATCCCTCTTGTAAATGCACACCGCTGAAATATTTCGTCTGCTTCTTCCAAATACTTGCTTCTAATATAAAGCTAATCAAACATCCTGTGATTACTTTTTCAGCATCTAAACCTTCTATGTTATCGCTTCGAGCTTTTGCCTTTTGGACATTCATCTTACAAATACTCTGGGAACAACAAAGCAGAGCGTGGGAGCGTTGAACGCTCAGAGAGGAAAGCTGTTGAGTCCCTGAGAACTGTTCGTCCGGTCCATTGGTCTTGGACGGCTCCCCTGCACATCGTTCGAGGGGCTTTACACCCATTGACTTCTGCCCATATTAATCTAGCTAAAGACAGAGGGTATTACTGCAATGTCAGCGTAGCAGCTCCTCTTGTTCTCCTTTCAACATCTCTCTGCAGGGTGGATGAAAGCTCGGCTCCTAGGGAAACGGCCTCTCTCATTTCCTTTACGGATGAATCTCCAGGGTAACTTCATGCACTCCCTGCCTGGTTTCATTAACTATTTCTCAAACAGAGGACACTAGCTGCTCGAAAATCCCATCTTCATGCATGCACCTGATGTCTTTCTAGTCTCCATGAGAACAAGCCACGTAACAGACAACCCATACAGATTAGCTACCCATCAGATCGCACTCTCTCTGTACTGGGAATAACTTTGTGTCTTCGTTTTGTTGGTCTAGCCTGAAATGAGAGTTCATTAATCGCCTGAACTCCAGAGCATTTGTCTTTGCAAAGAATGACTTTCTTTTTTCGTTTCTAAGCAGTAGTCTATTAAGAAGCTTTGATGAGTCATTGCCGTGCGCTCACCAGTATGAGCTCATCGCCGTTGAGCTCTCGGGTCCAAAAGGTTTTGGGGCCGCCACCATCCACCAGAGTCTGCTTACAGTACATCTTGTTCTCCGACATCCAGGTGGGGAGGCTCTGCAGGGGGGGAGAGGGGGGCGCAACAAGGTGGAAAGGTCAGTGTGGTGTCAGTGAAGGTAGAAACACATCAGCAAGGCGTACCCTTAAAGGGTCACTTAATGCCAGGCTTTATGCCAGCATCACTGATTGATGTGGTTAGAAATGAGACCTTAATAAAACTACCTGGTCAGCACCAAAGAACATCCGGACACAGTTAGAGACTAGACGGTCAGAACAGTGGAGCATTTAGAAGCTAAACGGACAGATATTACCTTTACGAGTTGGTGGAGACCAGTTAAAAGAGCATGAGTTAAAAGAGTGACAATTGGATTTACATTCATCAGGTGGAGAAAAAACACCATTTAATCTTATTGTTGCTCCAGAACAGCAAAATAATGCTACAGAGTACAATGATATCTAAGACAAAGCCAGGTCCTTAAAGAAACCCTCCCAGGCGAGTGGAGGCAGTTATAGCAGCAGATTCACTCTCACGGTTCATGAATGATATTTTCAACAATCATACTGTATATAATGTCTATATATTTTTGGCCATATATTTCCCAGCCTACTTTAAAATGACATTTGTCCCGTGCTAATTCATCCATGGCCAGCCCTCAATGAACAAAGCTATATAATACTGTAAAATCCTCTTAGCTCTTTGGTCGATCAGGGTCTCCATCTGCTAATTCTCTTCAATAACATTTCAAATGACTTCAACAGGATTAGTCAGACTTTGACTTCAGGACTAATTTCTCCTGAAGTAACTGACTCAGAGAGCTAAGAATCCATAAAAGAGCAGCAACAAGGTGACCCTGTGGCGCTAATTTGTGTTAATGGAGAGGATTTATCATTTTGTTGAGCTTAGGGTCCATTAGCTGAGCTCTTATTTCATTACCTCAACTGTCTACTGACGCAAAAGCTGTTCTGTTCGAGGAAGAGTTGGACATTTTGGGAAATTATAGGTTTTACTTTTTTACGGAGGGTAAAGTGAAGAGTCTGATAACATGATCATATTTATCTGTTAAAGCCAGGAGGCAGTCTCTTTAACCAAAGTGTTAAAATAACTTAATTAGTGAGCTTTAGAGGTGCTGGTGGGTCATCCTAGCTGTTTCCAGAATTTAGTTAGTTTTGGTTAGTTGGCTGTAGCTTCATATTTGAGAGATATGAGAGTTTTATCAATCTTCACCAATCTTCAAGTGAGTATGCAGAATTCCCAAAACATCAAACCATTACTTCTACTTTAGAGTTAAACTTCCCAATCCAGAGATTAGTTTACTATTCACAGGCGTTGGCTTCACGTTGCTATCTGACTCTGATCATATTTTCCCACGCTGCTGATGTTTGTTTCTCCTCTCAATAAAGCATGTCCTGCATGTCCCTTTTCAACATAGCATCTCAAGCTAGTGATCCCACTCCAAAACCCTGGAACTGATCAAAGCTGCGGTTGCTTGAATCCAACTCAACTAAAGTGAAATCTAGACGGGCCTATAATGAGATGCCATCATGTTTTTTCGAGCATGTTCCTGCAGATTTGTAGTGTTGCTCAAAGACAATTTGTTTGGCAATTTGTACAATGTTTGTATTTTATTAACACCCCTGCTCAATGTTGGACGGATCAGTAGCCTTTGTTTCTCAGAGGCAAATGTTAATCACCATATCAAAGGTAAGGAAAGCCATCATGGATCCCTGCGGGCGTCCGTCCACAGGGTTTGCCAAGCTGAACAACAGCAGGGCTTTTCTACAGCCAGATCCCAGAGAGTCGATTAGCTACGGCTCCATTTTAAAGTTAGCATCCGTCTCAGCCTCTGACTCGGATGGATTTTCTCTCATTCTCCCTGTTGCACATTAAGTCACAGACAAATTCTCACACATCGTCTTTCTCTTCCAAATAACACACCAGAGCTTGTGCACACACATTTCAGACCAAGACAAATTCATCCTGCATAGCTTCTTCTTTTTTTACCATGTCCTGTTTTTTGTTTTTTTTTTAGCTTTTTAGGCTACTTATCAGAACATCTGCTGCCTTTGGCTTTGGTTCAGTCTCTCACTGACTTCCCATTGCTTATCAGACACAAACTGTGTGTCTAAAAGGAGGAGAACATCTCATTTCCTGATTGGTTTAAAGTTTTTATGTTGGATTTTACAACTTTTCTTTCAGAGCCCAAAATAACACGCTCACTCCGTCTTGGACTCATATCTGTTTGATCACATTATCTCTTTCACGTCAGTGTTTGCTCATCGCTTTTCCCACTCTGAGTAGCTCATGCCTTATGCTTAGGACAAAAATATGAGGCACAGTTGCTCTTTATCATATTTCACCAAGTGACAAACACCACGTCTGAGTGGTGAGGACCAGCAGAAGGGACTTAAGCTACACTTTCCCGGTAACCACTTAACACTAAGTGCAACAAAACTAACTGACGGTGAAGAACTCCGATCAAAATGTGCCAACTTCTGGAATGATGGGTTTCCGTAAGAAGTTACGGTCCTATTTAATCGTTCCACTTCTTGTAAAATGTCTTATTATTTATTTTTTCCCTAAAAGAGAAGGCTTAATGGGACTTTCTGGGGCATGCTTGCTAGACTGACGGATGTCTGAGCTTATTATTGCACCGTCTCAAGTTCAGCATCACTGTGTCGGACGTCATTGTTGACTAACTTCCTTCTTCTTTTTTAAAACACAATGACGTGGTGATCCCTCTCAGCCCACGATTTGTTTGGCTGTGTTGTTAACAGATAAAATGAGCTCCTGCGTTGCATTGCCGACAGTCAGCAGCTCACGATTGTTTGCTGCCCCCAGTGGGCTCCCTGCACATGCTCAGTGTTTCTCCTGCCTGCCCCATAGACTTTACATTGGAATTCATAATTCTAAGAGTAATAATTGTTTGCAGTTTGAAGTGTCCTGCCAACAATTTTAAGGAAGCTTTTTATAATCTGGTTCATGGGGAAAATGCTTTTTGGTCTTTTTTTCATTGCAGTACCATTAATGTTACCTTGGATTCTCATGATATCGCAAGATCACATGAGAATCGCAGGATCAGAAGATCACTTGAAAATCCATCTTATGCGCCTCCAAGTAATGCCTTTGCGTCCGGACAATCAGTGCTCGACAGCTACGGATGTGTGGTTAAGGTGAGTGTGACGCGGCAATCGTCAAAGGCTTCCATAGAGGCAGCCCTGCACGCCCTGGTCCACGATTAGATGGGTTAAATAGGAATTATAGTGCATTACTTTTCGTAGTAATTACAAACAGTGAATGAGAAAAGCATCTTTAATACATCCATGATCACTTTAAGCACAACCACCAGCATTCACTGGTGCTACCAAATCAACCCAGATTATAGCTTTAAATATGTTGATGTCACAGACTTGTGCCTGAGGAGCAGACTGAATGACAAAGAATGTTTCAGCCTTGGGAGTACAGTCTAAAATGGGGCCGCAAATCCAAAACCCAATATTTTGAGTGTTTATCAGAATCATTCCAAAGTAAGTCTTTCCACTCTCTTCTCTTCCAACAGATTTTTTATTTTCCTGTCATTCGCCGCAGGCCTTTTCCTGCCTCTCCATGCTAAATGACACTCTGTCATGCTCGAGTCTCAGCCACCCCGTCCTGGAAATACATACCCATTTTAATCCGTTTACTCCAAACCTCTCCAAGGCTGCAGCTCACATATTGCCTTCACCATTAAATTATAGGATCACCTGTCGGGGGGTAAAACGTCCATTATTTGGAAATAAATATGGCATCTTGTCCTTGCACTTTCTGTCAGTATGTGATGAAACTCTTTCGTGGATGCTACATCTGTTTCTTGAGTCAAATATTTGTATCAACAGGCTGTATTTCTGATCCTTAACATCTCCGCTCTCCATTTTAGCCCCATGGCTTGTGATTGTGTCTACAGCAACCAGCTGGGTTAAAAGAAAGAGTCTTTCTGCCCAGAAGTGACTTGGTTTCTCCTGCGCTGGGAAATTAAGCTTATGAGTTCAGATGAAAATGTTGCTGCACCACAGATGCTGTTTTATTTCTCAAAACTCAACCTCAGCTGCACAAAGCAGCAAAACCTCAAGTTTGTCTTCCACCTAAACACCTCCATCCATCAGAGCAGGATCATAATCACCTCATGCTGACCCCCACTCTGCACCAACGCCCATCTGGTGTCTGTTTCTCTGTTGTCTCTGAGAGTGACAGGAAGTCTCTTATCACTGTCTCCTCCTGTAAGTGAGAGGAGGCCGTCTGATCCCACTGCACTCACGCAGATTAACTGGAGCTTTTTAACCTTGTGGCGGTGTTAATCAGCCCTGTGCTCTTCGCCAGCCACAGATCAGCGTGTAATCCCTTTAACCACAGAGGCAGCCGGCCTCAGCCAAAACCCACTTTGGGTTCTCCTGCCGACTCGCTCCACCTGAGAGTCCGCCAACACCCCACACTGCCCCCCTTGCCCCTCCGGGTACATGTGTCAGTGGGCGCTGCCTCCTGCAGGTTTAGCTTCACTCGTGCAAATGATTGCCACACAAAAACACAATGTGCTTGTTGCTGAGAGACACCTTCTTGATTTCCGCTTAATTAAAAAAAGGTAAATATTCAGTACAGCTAAAAAATGTTTTCTATTGGCTCTGTAATCCAGCTCGGGGTGTTCGCCGGACTATTCAGCTTCCGTTGAGAATAGCTTGTAGCCTGCTGTGTCGCTCGTAGTGTGAAAACAGCTCAAGAGCTACTGGCTGAAAGAGTCTTTCATTTATTTTAGCAACTTTGAAAGTACTGGAAGGACAAACGTGTTTATTATTCGGAAATAGGTTACAGGTTACGGAGGATATAGAGAATATAATCAAAAATGACATACTTTTCTAAAATTGTAGGTAAATAAAAATATCCACCAAATATGGATACAGTCAACTTCAATCTTGGACAATAGCCTAAGCGTCTTTAAAGGTGCTAAATGTAAAACTGAGAGCATATGGGTTGGCTCTCAACGGCTCTCAACATGGCGACGCCTGAGGCAACGGCTTGCAGCTAGCAGTGCTAACATCGCTAACAGTGCAATCATCTGTAACAGGGAACTGCCCGTTGTTCCAATGGACCATTATTCTGAAACCAGCTTGTTATCCTGAAAACAAACGCCCATTTTTCTGAAGAACCATTGCTCCGAAAATACACACTCTCCATCCAACACGGCTCATAATTATTACTGAATGATGTCAAATATCGAACAGAGAACCTTTAACTCCAGTGTGCTGCAGTACAGACACAAAACACTGAAAAACATGTCACTGTCTCAACACCTTCTGTGATGCTGGTGCTCAGTCCCAAACAAGTGGATGTGGCAAATGTGTGATGACAACTCGACTTGAGGCGTCATGTAGCAAGAAGCCACACTGAGCGCCGTCTAGCCCTGCCCAGTACCCAGCATGCCTCAGGGCACAGACAGAAGAAGCCACACTGTCTCCTGAAATCAGTCATGTCTGCTTTCCTTGACTGCAACATCTTGTTACTACAAGATGAAAGGTAAAGACAACAGTGTATTTTTCAGACTTTAGCTATTGATTGCTGCTTGACAAACATTATGCGGTGCAACTTTGCATCTTAATGTAATGGCTGCAGGACATAAATTCAGCCTTAATGACTTCTGCATTGCTCAAAGCCAGAAAGGCAATGTGGTTACCAGAAAATACCCACCTCACATTTCTCAGGCTTTTGGCAGAATTCTGTTGAATTAATGTAGTGCATGCACACGATTACACATTTTTCCCTTTTCCATGTGCTATATCTCCTCTCCACAAGCATGAATATCACTGCTTTCTGTTGCCAAAGAATTCTTCAGGATGGTGGATTTTCTGTTTTACATTTCAGGATAGAACCAGAAACTGTTCAGCCCTCTTGGAAGAGAAACTTTGGAAAAACACTCTTTTTGTAAAAGAGTGTTTGTGTGGTGGCTGCTGAAACCATCCAGTTGAAAAGTGGTCATGATTTTTTGTTTTTGACACCAACCTACCTCACATATCAGGTACATGTTGTTTACCCACTGTGTGTCCACCCTGATACCAAACAGGACTCTCTTTCTCTCCAGCTCAGACGCCGGTTACTAAGCAGCAGGGCGATAAACAGATGTCAGCCTCTGGACCATTAATGCAAATATCTCGTTACCTAAAGTGACTCAGTGGCGTCTCGTCTCTAAATTGGAGCACTGACTTACTACATTGTGTCGGTGCAATTGGATTGTTGTGTAAATTGACATCACACTGAACATAAAAGTTGTAGGTTTTTATATCGCGATGAAACATGAAAAATCTCAGTAAAAACATATGATTAATTTGTGTTATTTCTTCCCTCAAGACTCATAATATGTTACAATATACAGCATGTATTATCACGAGTTGGCCAACATATAAAGGAATACATTTTATGAAGTAAGATAGAAAATCCTAAGAGAGAAAACGTTTATGCTTTGGGAATGTGATCGTATGTTGTCAGGCTCAACAACCGAGCTGCCTCATCCACTTCATCTTGTTATACAACCTATATATTTATTACACAGATGACGCAAAAGCCTCGGTGTTGGGATCATATCAGATGTCTCTAAAGTCAGTTTTATCATATTACATATAACAGAGAACAGCGTTAATGTCAGTGCTTGAATGTTTTTTTATATGTTACTTTTGTGTTTATAATTTGCTGATTACTGCAAGTATTTTAGCAAATTTTGTGATGAGTTCCAAGGATTTGTAAAAACTTGATGTTCCTAAAAAATGAAAGAATAAATGTCTCTGCCTACTATCCAAACCTGTAGGAGCTCTGACTGTCTACCAGGATGTGAGAAATCCCCCTCAGGGCCTGAAGAGGTTCAGAGAGAAACTCATCCACCCCAACTCCAGCTGCCCTTAATCCAGCCGCACAGATGTGAGGATGATACAAATGGATGAAACTGGAAGGAGGTATTAATTTTTCATTCAACCGTCTTCAACAGTAGCACGCAAGGTAGCTTTGAAGACCTTCAATACACACATACAAACACACAGAGAATACCAAATGGTGTGAAAGTTTAGAGGACATATTCAATTAGATATCTGTAGATGGTTGTTAAAGAGATGTTTGTTAATACAGAGACAGATTTAATCACTTTAACATCTTCCAAATGTTGAGGTAAAACACATATGTGGATGTGGCTCTGGGAATGAAAGGCAATGTATGTCAAAGATTAGAAGATATCCTTGTGTTTATATTTCATAATAAATACTAGTGGTGCAGGGAATTTTGACTGATTCAAAGCTTCTTTGTAACTGTTTACACACACACTGGCTTGTTTTTGTCATTGTGAAGACATTGTATTGACCTATATCAATGTCTTGGAAGCCTTTCCTAACTTTAACCCTTAACGACTACATCCTTTACCCCAATAACCTCAACCGCAGTCTTCATCTTAATAAAGAACTAAGTCTTCACCCTTAGAATTTAACAGTTTTATCTCACCAGATGGGAGTTGAGTGTGTGAACAGATTTTTGTCTCTGAAACATGTTTAATACAATACACAAAATACACAAAATACAAACACACTTTTTGTCACTAAGTTGGACATTGCATTGACTTGCATTCTTTCCATGGGAACTTGCCTTAACTTTAATAATACCCACCACACACTTAACCCCAACACTCAAACTAAACTTAACCCAATCACAGCCCTAACATAACCACACTACAAGTCTCAACCCGAGAGTTTATCCGTTTAACTTCAGCGGGACTCCAAATCTGTCCCTACATGGGAGGTGAGTCCCCACAATGCCATTAATAAAAGTATATGATAGCACTCTAATGACTGTGACACCAACCGTTTGCAGTGCTGGATATGTTTCACTGAGTTGCGGCAGAGAGAATTTTTCTTATTTAAATATTTAAAATACCTTATTTTCTCAATACTACCTTGCACTTTCGTCCATCCACGGTCTCCTCGTCATATTCTTCACCGACGTGGAAGTTGATCTCGGTGGTGCGCACAGTGGTTGATGTTTTGATGTAGAACTTGTCACCGTCCTGACGGATCTCCACGTGGGGGTTGGAGGCCGCTGCCACAGCCACCTTCCTCAGCATGGTGTTCACTCCTGACCAGGATCAACCCACGTCAGAACAACAGGGAGAAAACACGAGTCAAAATTTTACCAAGATTCATGTAGTTTTTAAAGGGGAAATTAGTGGGAGGTTTCACTGTCGCAGAGCAAATTAAATATCCTTGTGGATGTTTTAGGTTAGTTGATCACTATGACTCAATAAATTACAACATGCCGACTTTTGTGTCACTTTAAGCCTGGTTTGTAGTTGAAAAAGAGCCAAACAGACATATCTGTTATTATATTTAATTACAGTAATATGCATTATGTTATTTTTGCACTTTCAAAAATGCAGTTTCACGATTGTTCTAATCCGCTGACACAAACATATGGTTTTGTATCCAGTAGAGGCTACCATTAAAGGAGCGTCTACTGACTACAGACGGAGGTCAACAGGAGTCATAGATTACTCCATTACATCTTTAATAAAGAGAGACAGACATAGAAGAAAGGCAGAAAATAGGCTAAAGGTTGATCTCTGTTAGATACTGAAAAGTTGAGACATGCAAGAGAAAAATGTGCAAAAGCAGCTGCATCTCAGTCGTAGGAATACATATATATTTTTTTGTTCCAACAAAATCAAATGTAGGCTACATTTGTGTCTGATAAATAAAGTGAGAAACAGAGAGAAGACGCTTCTTTTTGTTCTGCTGGAGCTAACATTTTCACAGAAACCTCTTCCAGTATGTTCTGTTGTCTTTCTATTTGGCCCCCTCGACCCCCCCAAACAGATTAGACCTCTCCAGGCCCTCATGCCAGCTTCTATCAGACTCTAGACCTTAAATATAGGGGCACATGCTGGCTGCATGTCTCCTTGTATTTCTGTGTATGGTGAACAGGAACAAAGCCTACATTTTAACCAAGAATGACAAGAAATGTAGATGTTTCATTGTATAAAAAAGAAATAGAATAAAAAACACAATAAATGATTTTTTTGGCTCTGACAGACACCTCAACTATTTATTAAAATTGAGAAAAATCTGTGGAATTTGGGTGCTTATGCCTGCGTGAGAGATAATTCAACCATTTCCAGAAGAAAAAAGTGAACTCTTGAGGATGTGAGGTCAGGTCAGGACCGACTCGCCGTTTTGTCTGGTGGCTGTAAGAGTGGTGATCCTGCTTGTGGTGCTGCCCGGGCTTGTGGCAACACTCTGGCATGCCCGGTTTCACTCTGCAAGGCCATCTGGCTTCATGTCCTGCCAACGTCCTGTATATTTCATGTCCTCTCCTACCACCAGAAATAACTGAGTATATAGAAAGCTATGTTTTTGCAAACAAGATCTGTGGTGTTGCTTGGTCAACTCCCAGGCATAAAAACATATTCATTTGACAGCTTACACTCGGCCCCACCCACGATCTGAGGGATCACGCCATGTGGTTTTATAGCATTAAATATGTATGAGCATCAGTGAGCCAAGCAGTCTATCCTTGTTTCTGGACAATTGACATGTTCTCAAAATGTCATTCGCCAATTTTTTGATAATAGAAGTTTTTATGCTTCATGTTTGACCAAAGAATTGGCGAAAGGACAATAAACTTCAGCTTTTTCACCAATATTATTACAAGAAGCCAAAAGTAAGAGTATGATCTTCCAGAAACCTAGAAAGTAAAGATCATTTCCTCAGTCAGTCCAGCAGTTTGCATTTAATTTGCAGTCCCCATTGAATCAGGGAAGTCTTTCAAAAAAATCCACATTTTCGCACAGTAGTCAAATTGTATATGAAGTTTGCACTATTTTTTACACTCTTTGATCAAATGGAGACTCACATGCCTGCTCTCAATTAGCAAACTGTGAGTCTGATCAACTCGTACAGCTCTGTTCACTCAGCATGTTCACTCCTGGTTATAACAATCCCCTCCTACTGTAGAGAAACCTCAGAGTCAACAGATAATTATGAGGATGTTGATGGAAAGTGGCGGCACTGGAATCCACTGTAGTTGCCCATCGCAGCTCCCCATTGACCGAGACCTGATGTACGAACGAACGAGTGATCTGCTCCAGCAGATGTGGTTTAATGTGTTCGTGAATGGATGAGGCGCCAGGGACAGTTTCCTTATGGACCTTGTATCAAAACATGGGAAGGGGATGTTGAGGGGATTTTCTTTTTTCAAATCTAAACTATTTTACAGTTGATTTAAGTGAATGTGTTTAAGGATAGATTTTATGGCTTACTCGATGATGTTAGGGTCTTAAAGAGAACGTTGGATTAAAGGACAAGGCGGACATTATTCTATGTTTTTCATATTGTCAACAAATCCCATGAAAAGACCAAAACCATCATTGCATTAGTCTGTCTCTCAACACTTTCTGACTTCCCTACCCAGTCTGTAATACTCCAAAAGCCCCAAGCCCATCTATCCTACTGAAGATGTAAATCTTCAATAACAAATTACAAATACACACTTTCAATAAGTTTAGTAATTTCCTAAAACAGCTGGGCACTGTAGATTTTAGACAATGTAACTTGAACAGGAGTAATTAGTGCTTTTTCTGGGGACTATTTTCAGCTGCGGAATAATACACAAGCTGCAGTACACCAAGCTTTGACGACAAAGGCCATACTTTTTATTGTTGTCAATAAGACTAATGTAGAATATCACTAGCCTTATATTTTAAACTATTAAAACAGCAGAGTGTAATATAGCAGGTAGGGGTGTTTAAACAGAGATTGCAAACAAAAAGCAAAGGCTGTTAAAGTTAAATATTCACTCAGATACTCCATGTGTGCACAAACAACTAGACTGTTAATTGTTTCAGCTTCACAACGTACAAAACTGTTCACTTTTCAGCTTAACTTTTCCAGATTGTGCTAAAACAGGAACCGTTGATGTCTACAAAGTTCTGGGAGAGTTGTCGAAGCAGCTGCTCGTGCTCACACAGTGGGACTCCCTCAAGATTTCTACATTATTCTAAAGACACAGCCTTTTGATGTGTCCTGTCTGTTTCAGCAGTCTCGGCGTGACGAAGCACCGCAACACAATTGAATGACCCAGTTAAGCTGGTTCCAAATCTAAACCATCACAATCATCGGTTAAGACTAAGAAGGGTGAAAAAGAATGAATAAAGATGGGACACAAGAGAAAAGCACTGGGCTCCAGAGACCTCCCCTGGCATTGCTAATGCGTGCCCTACTTAAATGCTTAACATGAATAATGTTGTGCCCCCCTCCTCTCTTCATATAACAATACCACGTCTGTTGAGGCTAGAATTCAGCATCCAGTGTTTCATATCTCCTGTAAAACGCCGAGGGATTTCCCTTCAGCAGCATCTCCCCGTAGATCTCTGCGTTCTTGGAGCTTCTTCGAACAATACGAGGTTGTTGGAAGTCAGGCATACCATTCTCCAAGAACAAGAAAAGCCTTTTTCTACATGGACATGATGGATAGTCAACCTCATGCAGGGATGTAGCGCTGGCTGTGGACCGGGGGGGAGGGGGGGGGGGAGAAGAGACTGGAAAGGGCTTACCCAAGGCTTTGAGAAGTTCATCAAAATTCTCACTTTTCTTCATCTTCCAGGTGCCGGCAAAGTTAGGCATGTCTGCTTGAGGCTGAGTCCGAAGGGCTTCCGAAAGAACCTCTGATGCTTCTCTCTTTCCTCTTCCCTGTGTCTCTCTTTGACTCTTTCTCACCCTCCTCCTCCTTCCCTGTGCTCCTGTCTCCTCTGCTCTGGGCTCTGCCTCTCGTACACCCAAGTGTTTCGTTTCTTTATTTAGTTTTATTCACACACTCTTGCTTCGTCTGTATGCCCCAGTGTGCTGGCTGCAATCTTGTCTTTAGCGCCTTTATAGCTACTGTCTTCAGTGGGAGTCAGCGGAGGTCCCTCCCACTGAAAGCTCTGTCCCATTAACACTGTAGAGCAAGGCTGACGTGTCTGCGTCCTCTGGGGATCGAAACGACTAAATCCGTTCTTTGAGACAGTATTCATAGTGCTTTACTTTGCCAACAACTTGATTTTTTGGAGAAGAAGAAGGAGCTCAATTTTCTAAATCAAACCATTATGTTCAAAATATGTAGTTGAGGGAATAAAGTTTATGAAACTCTTAAATGTTGAACTATTATATTTTCACTGTGTGAAGTGCTTCTGTTGGTTCTCTGTTTAAAAATAATGGCTAGATAATAAAACATTCAGTAAATTTGCCCAAAATAATCCCGAACCCCAAACATAGATCAAAAAGTTGCTTTATTGCACCAGGAATGAATAATCTCGACGTTTCCTTATTGATCCCTCTCAGGCGTTAACAGGGAAACGTGTATCTATTATATCAGCCACAGCTGAGGTGCCCTTGAGCAAGTGTTTCACCCTAGAACCGACTGGCGACTGTGACTCAGTGGTAGAGCAGGGTCGTCCTTCAATCAGAGGATCGGAGGTTCGATTCCCCGTCTTCGCTAGCGAGACACTTAACCCCAAATGTGTGTTTATGAATGGTTAGTTAGAATCCTGATGGGCAGGTGGCACCTTGCATGGTAGCAGCTGCCATCAGTGTATACAGTAGATGCATGTGAATGTTGAACACGTGTTGAAGTGCTTCGAGTGGTCGGAAGACTATAAAAGCGCTAGACAACTCCAAGTCCATTTAGTCATTGATTTGTACAAGTCATTGAAGAGCAGGCAGCTAAATGAAGACAAAACACTATTTCTGTCCCTTTTTGTATTCACCTTCACTGTCCTCAACTCATCTCTATGTCCACAGAGATAACGGCAAGAAAGGGAAAATGATCAAAATGATTTTAGAGGAAGTTGACAATTACTACACTACTTAAACCAGGAGCATGGCATGCATGTATGCTGAGTATCAACACCCAAACACAACTGGTCAGAGATTTTATAATCAACTCTGCTAGATTCAAACATTTCCCAAATGTTATATTTAAGTGTTGGATCAGAAATAGTTTCCACAGGACGGATTTAAATGACTCAAAACCTCTTAGAAACAGACACCTCAGCTTAAAAGTTCCACTTCTTTTAATATCTACAAAGTTTCCATTGACACAGTGCACCAAGACTGAATCCCATAATCAGGCTGGACTGATCATTTAAAAGGCAAAAGTAGTAAAAGGATTATTACATCAGGAGCGAGCATTTTTAAAGACCTCTTGCAGTTATATTTAATTATTGCGTCAATCTGTGCTTAAAGAACAGAGCAGAGACAAAGAGGCACTTTTATACATCTAAAGAATATTAGAAATATGAGACGTATCCAAAAGTGTGTGCAGGACGAAGCTTTGATTCTGAATTTCTACCAGTTTTCTCAATCTTTATCTCGATATTACTATAAATATATCCATTTATACTCTATGTTTTCAATCAAAAAGAAGCATTTAATATTTAGTTTTTGTCTTTAGGCAAAAATAGACTACAGTAATACCTCAATATGATCTACAAACAGAATGATTAGATAGATAGAGAGAGAGAGAGATTTGATATCGTTCTGCTCTCAAAGCACTTTATTTTGTCATATCAAAAGATAATGACAACAGACGTCCTGCTCCTTTCCTCTCCCTTCAGCATGCTGCAGCTAATGCCATTACGCTGGCTTCATTATTATTTCCCTGAATATAACAAATTAATCACTTGGCTGAAAATAGCTTCGTTACCTGCAGGACCAATAAAAAGGAAAAATACAAGTACAATTTTGATGGTTGACGTTAACTTGACATCTTCAGTGTTCATATGCTTTTGGAGATTCATTTTCCTCCCTATAGCATGTATGAAAAAGTACAATAACATTACTGAAGATGTTGATACAACAGCCTTTGGAACAAGCATGTAAAGATTTAGAAAGAAGTCAGTCCATGATGGGTGATGGGTGGTGTATGCGATCGATAAAAACAAGTCAGAAATTTATTCCAATTTGGATCCTATGATCCAACCTTCTCATGAGTCTTGTCCACAGTATGTAATGGATCTATTTATTTATATATTAGAATTTTGAGTTTGTTCAAGATTTGTTATTTTTTAACTAGATTTTTTTGAAAGACTGGATGTTTGACTGTTGAGTATAAGTGATGGGTCGTTATGTCTTGATCTGCCAACACGAAAAATATATTATTTTTTTTATTTGGGGTTTAATGAGGGTTTTAGCATCTTCTGACTGTTTACTGGTATTTATAAAGACTTTTCTGTCCTATACAAGAATAAATCGCTCTGGGTGAGATGCTGAGTCTGTAACACAAACACTGCTCTAAATAGGACATCTCTCATCTTCTTCACTCAGGCTGTCAGGAGATTCACACTGATGTCCTTTCTCTACAACACAACTGCCCATTTCAGCTTTACTTCAGGAGTTATTTCAAACACACCGGCTGTATTTGCTTTTCTCCACTTGGAATAATTCTCTTAAAACTTTATCTTGACAACTGTTTTTAAGTGTGTGTGGAGCTCAGACTGCTGCTGCACCAACTGTCAAAATATTGGAATATTTTTCACCCAACTCATCTGGCCCAGGTTTGCCTTTCTCTCTGCACAACAGAGGTTTTACTTTCGGACAAGAGACAGGCAGAGAGCTCATCTAAAGTCAAATATTAATCGTGAGCCGCTGCAAAATCAGTTTCTAAAATCACTTATTTATCCACAAGCTGTAAGTTTGGGTAGAAATATGTATAATATGATTAATTCCATACAACTACATTTAAATTGGGCTATCAATGAAACCCTTAGTTAAACAATTGGGAATATTGTGGGTTTATCTACACAATAATATTTCCAGTACTCTGTCCCACTGTTGTCAGAGAAAAAATTACAGAAATGCTTAAATCATAATGATTGCTTTATTAGTTAAAACACCTATTCGATTTTAAATTATGTTTATTTAATGTATTTATATGTTTTTACATGTAATTAATAATGTCAAATACTGTATCTTTTTCAACTCCAGTAATTGCTTTTATCTCCACAGCACCGCTGGGGGTGATGGTGCAATTCGGGCGTTATTCGCCAACCGTTTTGAAACAAACGAAGAAGAACGAAAGCGGAAGTTACACCGAAGCTGTCATGGCGTCTCACATGTAAATCGCCGAGTTTCAAAAATTGAATAAAACATCTTATTAGGAGATTTAAAGGTATGTGAGCGCATTTTACATCATAGTTAAATACCCTATCGTGAAAATAAATAGTCCGTTAAACTGGGTGATCACGTGATATTCTGGTAGTTGTTATTACAGAAAACTGCACTTTGTTGTCGCGTTAACCTGCAATGATAGCCGCTGCTAGTCACAGCTAGCTCATGTTAGCCGTGGTAGTTTAGCAGCTTTTTCTTCTGCAAATACACAAATATTGTGCTGTTAACCTTGCGTTTAATTTGGTATTGATTTGGCTGTTTTCCCATTAAGTCTGGCAGCTGTACACATTTAAGCTGTTGACCATAAGCTGTGTGTTTCAAGGCAGCAAAACTAATGTTAGCTAATGAAAACTAAGTTAATTTAAATGAACATGTCCTGCTTTGTCAAAGCTAACACACTTTACGTTTGTTTTCAGGTTAACGTGAGGTAATCTAACCGACTCAAACTCCCAGGACCAAGAAAATGAGCACTCAAGTAAGCAACCAATTTAAATAGTCTCACATTTACAGTCAACATATAACATATTGCTCACTTTATTTGTTTCCTGAGTGAAACACCTCAAATACTTACTAGACATGTGTTTTGATTTCAGTACAGTATTCTTTTCAAGCAAGAACACGGTGAGTAACCGCATGCATAAACAGATCTCCTTCTATAACTGTCATACATTGTCATAGAGCTCCACTGTTCCCCAAAATCTATTAAAAACAAATCAGTGAGCTGCACAGATGTGCTGGGTGACGTGCTACTTCATAACCATGAACACTGACATTTATTTTAAGTTAATCCCACATTCACCATCCCGCTGTAAAGACTCACTAGAGAACCAAATGTGTGCTAATGAGAGAGAACTTCATGAGTTCCAGCAAGGCATTTTGCCGTAACAGAAGCTTAAAGCACAAAAGACAATGAGCAATAAATGAAACAAGTGTGATAACTTAACATGTAGATGCATGTGAAATGCTGTGCAGTGATAGTCAAGTAGTGAGGTGCACATAATGCAAGTAGTGCAAATAGTATGCTGTTGATTTGTAGTGCAGTAATGGATAAGATAATTAAAAGATGTTGAAAGGTGCATGAGGTCAGTGTGAGGGTGTTTTGTATCAGTATTGGTCCGTTAGAGGGAAGCGCAAGGCTTCACCTCCCAACCTCCCTGTCCAGACACAGAGGGGGACTAGTTGTATAGAGAGAGAGAGAGCAGCTGGCACAATAATGCACAATTAACTCCTTTTTGAGTAACGTATGCTTAAAAAACTTGATGAAAAATTACACTTTATGTTCATGCTTAGAGCTGAGGACAACAGATAATCTGGGGAAAGTCAGATAGTATTCAGAGACGTGCTAACAAATGATTGGTTTTGGTGTTTTCATTGGATTTGTCGACCATAATAACCGCCCCGCATGTTTCAGGTGTTAAACATCACCTGTAATCACACTGTCATGTTTGTTTCAGCACACGATGACGCTATCTGGACAGCAGCGTGGGGTAAAAGTGAGTCGGATGGGTCAGAAACCATCATCACCGGCTCACTAGACGATATGGTGAAAGTCTGGAAATGGTGAATGTTTTTTTGCACAATATTGTATTTGTGTTTTGTCTCTTTTTGTTCTCTCTATATTCACCAGACACAAACATCCTTTACAGTTTTCACATCATGGCTGTACAGATTTTGTCCAGTTGTTGAACTGTAGATGTTACATTTCTTTCATCTGAGCACTTTTAAGAACTAGTTGTCTGTGTTGGCCTAAAAGTTGAGTTTGAGTTTATTTGACTTGACGTGACCGAATAGTCTCTCACTGTTCCTGCAGGTCAGATGAGAAGCTGGAGCTGCAGTGGACTCTGGAGGGCCACCAGCTGGGTGTGGTGTCAGTGGACATCAGTCACAACGGAGCCATCGCCGCCTCCAGCTCCCTCGACGCTCACATCCGTGTCTGGGACCTCGATTCTGGGAAACAGATCAAGTCCATGGACGCCGGACCAGGTATGACTGGACCTCAGAGCATCAGGAACATTTTAAAATGACTTTGTATTGGGTGGTGTGATAGCGTGATGAGTAGAGAGAGCATGCTTCCCTCAGCTCTATATCTGACATCTGAACTAAATTTTATTTTCTCTGAGATTTTGAATAAGAGAGCTTTTGTCTTCTGTGTAATTTAAATTCATGACCCTTGTGGTTGTGCTTGTTACCTTTTTTACTGTTTAGCACACAGCACTGGAATGAGGCCACTACATGGGAATAGTCACTGAGTTTAGTATAAAAACCAACCTGCAGGGGATGACAGCTTGTCTGCTCTGCTGTGTAGCACAGAGAGCTTGTTTTATTTTTTACTCTCAACCCCACACACACAAATGTCTCTGTTGTTGTGTATCTTGAACCAAGCTGTACTTCATCGAATGTCATGTCACCTCCCATTAGTGACACTCCAGTCCACTCAGTGGTTGGTCTGGGTCACTGGACTGGAGACCTTTTTCTTTCCTCTCTTGGGACGTCGTGTATTTTAGTACATTTTGAGTCTTCAGGAGTGAGTCCTGTTAATGTGAAACCTTTGTTTTGTGGATTTACGTTGTAATATTTGGCTTGTTGGCTAAAGATTGACATTACAATACAACTGACAATACAGTAGGTAGACACATTAAAAAGACATTTTAACAGAAAAGACACATGGCATTAATTCGGTTGTGTTTGCTGCATTATTAGAATAAACATGTCCTTGAAAAGAATGAGTATAATATGCTCAGCCTTCCCTCTCTATCTTTCTGCTCTCCTCTCCAGTTGACGCTTGGTCGCTCGCCTTCTCCCCAGACTCCAAACACATTGCCACAGGAAGCCACCACGGTAAGGTCAACATCTTCGGTGTGGACAGCGGCAAGAAGGAATATTCTCTGGACACTCGAGGGAAATTCATCTTGAGCATAGCTTACGTAAGGAGCCATAAATTGTCCTGTTGGCCGGCTGGGTGGTGGCTTTACTGGGTGGTGACCTCACTGTCTCGTCTTCACAGTAACTCATCTTGATTTGTGTTTCCCCTTCTTTTAACTTGGTTAAGTCTTTCTCTCCAGCTCCAATGCTTATTTTTAAAGGCTTTTAGAACTAGCAATAGCTCATCCAGTCTTATGTCTAAATTTTGGAAGCTGTCTTTAGAATCGATAACATTGGTTTTCTTCTGTTTTGCCTCTCAGAGCCCTGATGGAAAATATTTGGCCAGCGGAGCCATCGATGGAATCATCAACATCTTCGACATCGCCACTGGAAAGCTACTCCACACACTGGAAGGTAGGTTCAAATATTAATATATATATATTAATTAACAACGTCCACCACAATGTTCTAGATGTCAAGGTGTTCAGATTGCTTGTTTTGTTTGACTAAAAGTTAGATTTATAATTATAATAAACAGAGAAAGCAGCAAATACTCAGATTCGCACAAGCTGGAAGATGTTTAGCCACTAAAATATGTTTTCTTTTCATCAGTTAATTGTTCAACCACCTTTCAGACCTCAGCGAGGAAGCTAAATAAGTCTCCTCTCTCTTCAGGTCACGCCATGCCCATCAGATCGCTCACTTTCTCCCCCGACTCCCAGCTCCTGGTCACAGCCTCCGACGACGGCTACATCAAAATATATGACGTGTGAGTTTGTGGATGCTGAGGAGTTTGTGAATGAACTGTATTCTGTGCCAGAGATGCTCAGAGATGCACAGTAATATACACACACACACACACACACCGCACAAGGGAGGGGAAGGACGCACCAGTGTTCCAGAAGTGACAAACACAAAAACAGGATAGAAGGAAAAAGGGTGTTTTGTTTTTAACTTTCAGCTATTGTTTTACAGGCAACATGCCAACCTGGCCACCACACTGAGTGGACACGGATCGTGGGTTCTTAATGTGGCTTTCTCTCCAGATAACACCCACTTCGTCTCAAGGTAAAAATCAAACACCACAGGGAACTTCAGGTTGCCATATAACACAGGATTACGTTTTATAAAACCTGCATGTCTGCAACAATACATTTTACCACCAGAAGAAAATATGGATAGACCTGAAACAGACCACGCTGTTGTAAATACATTCTAATCTATAATGTAAAGCATCTGTTTTTGACTGTCGGTGTATATTAGCAGCCGTCTGCTCTCCCAAGCTTTCACTCTCATCGTGTGAAACCGTTTGTCAGCTGAGGCTGTTTTTCCAGACAAAGTTTCCAGTTCACACTGCCAAAATGAACTGAGCAGGTCAGCCAGACAACACAACGTTTGACTTTTAAACTGTTAAAAACAAGTCCTCTCTCCTGTGCTACCCTACAGCTCATCTGACAAGAGTGTGAAGGTTTGGGACGCCGGCTCCAGAGCGTGTATCAACACTTTCTTCGACCATCAAGACCAGGTGACAAAGAGAACCCGGCGCATCCTCGCGGAACGCGTTTATAATCCGATTCAAAGGGAGAAAATGCATCTGCTGATGTGTTGGGGTGGGGGGGAATCAATACGGCCAATGTCACGGAGTGGCCCCTCACATGACCCTTCTCTGACGTCTCAGCTCGGGCTAAACCAATAAACCCTGCTGTCATTAGATCCCTGGTTGCAGACGCCTGTGGGGAGGCTCATCTGTTCTCCAAATGAAATATCACGGCTCCTCAGAGATCACAGGCGGCTGACCGCTGTATTGTTTTTATGTGTCATCGGGAAATGAAAATCTTCAGGGACAATTTGCAGCCAATTAATTGTTCAGCTTGGCTTTGTTCTTCTGTTTAGAGCATTTTTGTAGCCCTTGTTAGCTTAAGTCTCAGCTCTCTGCACCACTTGGTGAGGTGTTTGTAAAAAGCATCTGTAACGGCTCCAGTTTTAACTAGTATACCTGCTTGGTTTGTGCTTTAACTGACTTACTCTTCTTCAGTCTTAATGCAGCTGGACAGTAACGGAACAAACTGTATAATAATAACATAGAAAAACATCATTGTAACCTTTCGAGGATCCAGTCGGTCAAAGGGTTAATTTCTCCAAGCAAGGACATTTATTCCCTTTTTTTAAAATAGCTGAATGCATAATATTTAATATGTGGACACTTTTGTGATTGTGGAATATCACTTTTCATGTCACTTGAATCCCATTCTCTGTGCTTCTGCTCCTGTTTTGTTCAGGTGTGGAGTGTAAAGTACAACAGCAAAGGCTCAAAGATCATCTCAGCCGGAGACGACCGCTCCATCCACATCTACGACTGTCCCATGTGATGATGGTGCTGTACGGGCGGAAGGGGAGAGGAGCTACACAGCTGTTTATCAAATCATGGAGTTGAAGTCGGTAATTGGGGGGGGGGGGGGGGGGGGACTGTAAATTGGGTGGGGGGGGGGTTTGCACTGGCCCACTACGGTCAAATAAAAGGGTTGTTTTTGTACTCTTGTTTCTATTGTTTTAGTTTTTGGGCTGAACGTTTGTTATTTATCATTTAATAATTTGATTTGGATTGCATTTAATTGTATATTGAATATCTTGAGGTTTCAGATCAATTCAGTGCTTTGGTAACAAAAGATCATCAAATATGGCTTTATACTTGAATCTACAATCAGTTAAAAATATATATTTTTTCCTTTACGATGAAGTAAAACTTTATTTATCTTGTGTTTTTCTTCTTTTCGGTCTTCGTGCACATTTTTATCCATTTACTTATTTCTGACTTGATAACCAATGGCTTTACTACTTGTCAGTTTTGTGGCATTACTTTGGGAACTAGTAAATTAAAAAGATTGTGGCAAAGGCATTGAGGAAATGTAAGCTTAGAGGGAGCTTTGTTTCATCAGTGTAGGAGGTGAGGTAGTGCTCCCTCCGGTGGCCCAGCAGGTGAACTGCAGCCTCATCATGAACTGATTCTAAACTACTAAAGACAAAGACATTTTTATAAAGTACATACACTCAAACTAGTTGCAGTGATTCAGAATTATTTATTACTTTTCATCGAAGGTACACAAGTTTCTCCAAGTTTAAATCACATCAAACTGCACGTTTAACAATTCTTTGCTGTCGCACACACGCGGAGCACTTCCACCACATCGGCAAAGGTCCTTTTCAGACATAATCTCACCAGTTCAGAAACTGATCCATCAAACTGAAGAGTGCTGTTTGCATAAGATTTCATTTTGTAAAAGAAGGAGCAGTGTGTGTCAACCCTCACTGAGATGTGCTTTCTGGCAGTAATCACGTCCAAGTATGGCCTCGATGATGTACCTCGCACTCTTTAAGTGACTGAAATCTGAAGGCAACTTTAGGAGTTGAGTTGTGTCTGCGGGTGTCTTTGCTCTGCCTGTGTGTCCGCTTTAAGCAAACTGGCACCTGTGGTTTCTGTTCTGTAACCAAACAGTTGGCGATGTGATCCTCAGACATCCGAGCGCTGTAATTAATGTACAGAACAACCGTGGAAAATCCCCACCTCTTGTTCAGCGATCTGATCCCAGGCCTGTAACGTTACCTCTATTCTCTCTATCTCCACTTTGTTTTGTACATTCCATTTACACAGACAAAAAGAAGCAGAAACACCCGCCTAGAACGTTGATAAGTTGATCACTTGTGTTCTAGTGACTTCACAGACAGCTGGTAAATAAAGCTACATATATTACAGAAAGCCTTTCGGTTACAAAGACCTGCATTGCAGAAACTGCATTGCTCTCATTAAATAAATCGTATTCTTACTTGATTTATGCCTAAACTAAGGTGAGATTCTGAGCAGATGTTTCTCACCTCTGCACAAAGTTTCACTGGAATGCACACATAAAGCTTTTCTGCTCTACAAATGCTCAAAAAGGGCAAAGACGTCATTTGTGTCTCAAGAATTTGGCACATTAAAAAGTCATTAGACTGACCTTGTTGCAAATTCTCTTGAAAAAAAACATGTGATTTACTGCGGAGTAACTATTTATAATTTTAAAAAAACCTGAACCCAGCTGGATTGTGAACGTAAAAGCTGCATCAAGTGCTCACAAGCTTAGGCTGCCTCTGTGCCATGACACAGGAAAACAAAAAGAGGCATTAAAGAAACAATGGTGCAGTCATTCCATAATGGTCAAATATACAGTACAGGTGGTAATAATCATAGGAGCCTTGAGTTATCCACTGCTCTTTTTTTAAAAGGCAAATTTATAGCAAAATGCAGAACATTGTTTTCACTTATATCTTAATGTTTTACAGAAACCGTTTAGCAAAAACAAGGCTAGTAGAAATGGGTCTGACAACCAGAAAAAGACGCGGTAATACCACCTGTACCTCCCACCATGGGCACTCTACTGCTACAAACCTGTATTAAAACACCACTGATCTACAAAGGTGTGTGGAAAGCAGCTACACGGGTGAGAGTTCCTGCCCGGCTGTGAGGAGGTGAAGCCCGGTGCGAGGCCGTCCTGGGTCCCTCTGGCCCTTCACCAGTGTCTGGAGTCCACGAGATCAGCTCGCAGACTCAGTCTCTTCAGAGTCTCGTATCCCACCACGATGAGCACCGACGTGGGCAGGGAGGCAATGATGCGGGCGGACAACCCTTTGGTCATCGCCATGGCGCCCTCCTCTGCCAGCAGCTGCTTGAAGGTCTCCCTAACGGACGACCGTCCCTCCACCTTCAACAGACGGAACATCTGTTAAATCACCTTTGATTTTCAATCGCATTTTATCTTGATTTGTATTGAAGACCATGAAAACTAAATCTTACCAAAAAGTCATTTTATTTTACTGAGGAATATTGTGTGATACGATCACAAGCTCAGGAACAGCTACTAAATAGACTTCATGGTAAGATTGTTTTGTCAACGTCTACAATGAACTTTCAATCCTGATGCAACATAGACGTTTGAGTTTTTACAATGCGAAGTAACAAAAAACGTTACGGGCTTAGTTCCGTATGTATAAGCACTGAATGAAACAGAGTGATGTGTATGTATACAAGAGCAACTAAAAACCAGTAGCGTCTACAAACACAGCTGACCAGCAAGCCTGTTGTTGCACTGCAATCAAGAGCAAGTTGAGGAACTGTTGAGTAACGTTAGGAACTAAAGGAAGTGAAGCAACAGAGAGAGCCAGCTGACTCCAGCTGTATTTGGTGTTGTCCAATGCAAATATGATGGACTTGATGTGACCACAGCAAAGTAATAACATAATAATTAAATGTTAAATTTATTTGTATCCCCCACCCTCTCAAATCCTGTCAAAGCCTTAAATGTAAATACATATGGAATGTCAGCTTTTATGTGGCGCACAATGGTGTCTTTCAGGGTTTACCTGTACTCTTGCACGAACAACATCCATGGGGTTGGTGATGGTGGAGGCGGTTGCTGCTGCCATTGGTCCGGCCAAAGCCTGCAGAAGTAGATGGGGACACTCACTTGGCGCCAACAAGGACAGCTGCCCTGGGAACACAAAAGGACATATAAAACATGCATGTAGCAGCTAAGAACAGCTACTGTAAACCACAACTAACAAGAGTGTTGACCTACCTGTATAAAAATGATAAAAAGGCCACCACAGTGCACTGTTCGGTATGTACGTGAGAAGCGACGCCACGTAGCCCCTGTAAAATCCCTTGAAACCATCGGCTGCAAATATCTGCACCGTGATGTCACGGGTCTGCCCGAAAGTCAGCCTGCGCTTAGTTGTTGCGAGCATCGTTTTGGGTTTGGCCTTGAAGCGAGTCAGGTGCTCCCCCTGTCCTTGCATCATCAAGTGCTGGGACACCACGTCTATCGGCACCGTGATGGTCTGGGCCACCAGGGAAGCTGCCCCTCCAGCCACCACCGACTTCACCGTGTTACTGGGCGAGTACTGGTTCACATACCTGCGCACCAGTTCATAGGTGGTGATATAAGCCTGTCCTGAGACCAGGGTGAACGTATTGACCATGAAGCCACGGTAGAGGCCTCGCACACCCTCCGCTCGCAGGATCTTGCAGAAAGCATCAACGGTGCCGGAGTAGAGGGCCTTCCCCTTCTGCACCTGGAGCCGAGTGCGGATGAGGCTGGCCGGGTAGACGGTGGCCCTGGTGGTCAGGGTCATGAACACACCCAGGGAGTAGAACTTCCTCTTGTCCAGGTCCTCCCATTCGATAATTCGTATCGCACCTTTCTGCTGCATGGTGCCGGCTAGAGCAGCGCTGCACCCCTAAAGCCACGCATCTCCAGTCATCAGCCCTCCAACTGCCATCACACCTGTAAACAAGAGTACAGCTCTGTGATCAGATGTAAGCGCCTGCTGGGTTCACTAAAAGATTCATTCTTTCTTTCAGAATTTGGACTGGTCCCAGGACGGCTGTCAAGATTGGCATTGCTTGCAATACCAGATAACACACCTAATCAGTCTATGTGTAACAATACAGGGCTCTGGCACAATAAATAGCTTAAATAAGGCTGCAACTAATACTTATCTCAGTTATGAATTAATCTGCCATTTATTTATTTAATTGATCAATCAGTCGGTCTATAAAATGTCAGAATATACGAGTAAGAAAATACACGCTGAAAATGTATGCTGATTTTGTCAGAATACCAGCACAAAAGCCCAAATGAATGTTGATATATTACTGTTTTTACTACATACAGACTTCCTCAATCAATCTCAACTCTGTTATGTAACCTTGTATTTCGTGGACCATCACAATAAACCAGGTCCACGTCTCCTACTCTTTGAATCAATGAACTGAGCAGGCTAATTTGCACCTCGGACAGTAAGTCCTTGTGTTTACATAATGCAAAACATTATATATATTACACAAATACCCACGAGGGTATTTGAAAACCAGCATACCTGAGCTCTCTGTTCATTAAAGCATTCAACAAATATACGCAAAATCAATGACAAGCTGCATCAGACTAGGGGAGTTGTTGCGTTTATTTAATTGTAATATTTAAAAGGGTCAAAGCCGGACGGACCTGAACGCCTCCCTGTGTAATCATGTAAACAGTCACAGCTATTCGCCTCAGACTGCGATACATGCTAACGTTACACACTACATATATATAATACCTAACGTTACGTTCGTGGTCATGCAAAAGCACAGGACAAAGAGGGGAAGTTTGACTGCATGGACTAGCTTTGCTAATGAAAAGGTACAGCTTCTGTGCTGCTGGTATTCAAAGCCAGTGTGACGGACTCTTTATCCGCGTCTAACGTTACATCTTTAACTACACATTAATAAGCAGGCACCGTTTCGTAACACTGCCATGTGAAAGTCCAATCAGCCATTTTTGTTGTTGTCGTCTTTTGCAGCGGTTGGTGAAGGTGGAGAAAAAAAGGGAAGCACGTGCAATGTCACCCAGTGTACTCGCGCTAACACGAGAGTTACGCACAGTGCAAGAAATAAGCCCGAGATTTAACGACCCGATTAAATTTACCTGTTGGTCGGATCATGTAGCTCTGGTTCACCTTCCGCCTCCTGTTCGCTGCTTTGTTGTTAAACTCTTGCGGCCTGCAGCGCTACAAGGTGGGTCATGTCTTCCGTAACAAACAAAGTGAAAGGTGAAAGGTCATGGGTTGTGTTTCACTGCAAGCGGTTTGTTATTGGCATAACAAACTTTTCCTTGCTTAAAAAAAAGTATGAAAATAGTTTCCACTTGCAGGTGATCGCTGTAACTGTTATGGTTAACGCTGTTATGTTGAGTTACTTTAAGAGCTCTCTAGGAAGCAGTGTTCCAGTGGATGTGTTTGGGGCTTTTATTGTGAAGGATAAGACGGAAGAAGGAAAAGAGGAAAGAGGTTCTTGTGGAGTGTGTGAAAATGAAATAAAGTGGTTGCCATCTTGCTGCAGACTACGGAGCCCCGTGTTATTGTTTTATTATTATTATAAGGTATAGACGCAACATAACGCTCGGCTACATTAGCAGGTTAGCGGGTTGTTTATTAATGTGTCAATGATGATGATGCCTTCAGGGCGCGATGCAAGTGTAGGAATCTCAAAGAGCACGCACAGCCAATGAGCAAACAAAGCTTAAAATGGCTTTATACCTGGAGCAAGTGCTCAGATCATATACTAAGATACAAGTAAGAATAACAAAATATAATAACACTTTATTACAAGTAAAATCCATGCATTCAAATTGTAAAAATATGAAGCACTATAAGCAAAACTGTTCACTAATTTGTATGCTAGTTATATAGTTAAATCTGGTGAACTCTATTGCTTTTTTATTTGTTTTTTTGTGTTTTTCTTATGTACCAAAATGGGAGTACAAACTGCATTTTTTTGTGCAACCTTGTGTTGTACAATGACAATAAATGAAACCTTGAACCTTGCATGGTTATTCATTAACTGATCATAGATTGTGTATTCTAAATCTCAACAGTTCTATTAGTAACTACAGCACTCAGATAAATGGAGTGAAGTAACAAGTACAATATGTCTCTATAAAAAGTATGTGTATGTTATTACCGGTATGACTACCAGTTGAAAATGTGTATTGTAGTGCAAAAATTCGGTAAATGTATATAGTTACATTCCAACACTGATATTTGGAGATTAAATTTAGATTATATATTCATCTTTATCGCTGATCAAGAGCACTTGAATGCGGCACAGGAGGTGCCCTGAACGCAGTACAGAGTCGCATCCGTACTGTCACGTGGGACCTTTACCACTGCACTTTTTTTAAAGTCACACAACACAGTACAGACATGTTCACAAATAACTTCATGTATGTGTGTGAAAACTATGCCAGACGTTTTTGAATAACCACCCCATTATTTTCGACTTGACAAGGATTTTACATCTATTTTCTTGTTTATCTTATTTATTTTTCTGGAGGCTATAAATCCAAAGGTCAAAATCTCACAGGTGCCTAAATACCATATACAATTCAGAGAATGAAAAGGATATGTAATACCCTACTATGGGCTTTGTGCAAAGCAAGGTGATCACTTTACTTTTTTTAAATTTATTTTGCCCAATTCCAATTCCAATTGGAATTGGAATTGACGTGCTCTGTCAGCAGTTAACGAATGGGCGTGGCTCTACATCTCCGTGCTCCTGATTGGTCGGCTCGGAGTTGCCAGTTCAGTCGTGAAAAACCGGGGTCGTGTTGATTTCAGAAGTCATCATGGCGCTCACTCCGCCAGTCAAAGGTAAAGAGGTGTCTTCTGCTAACCGTACCTATTTTAGCCGTCATCCGATCAGCCGTTTACCTTCTATAAAAGACACGCATCCCCCCTGAAAGTAGTTGTCGATTGCTTTTAGTTGCTATTAAAGTGTACCCGGCGTCAAACTGTTAGGAGACATATAAGCTAACGTTAGCTAGCAAGAGAAATTAGCTAACGCCGAAAGCTAGATGTGTCTTTGCTCTTCTCACAAATGTCACAACATTAGCGTCCTCTCTAGCTAAGCGTAAAGTATGTGCTAATTGTCTTTCCTTTTTCTTATCACGTCAAGACGTCCAGCCAGTAGCCCGATAAGTAGTTGTGGTTAACGAGTGTGCTTCACGATAAGGACTAGTGTTGGCTAAACGTTAGCTTTGTAGCTGTCTCGTACCATCTCACCAGGACACATCCGAGAGGATTTAATGGTTGATGTTCGCAGACAGCATCGACACCACATTAGTTTATCGTTACAACGCGTGAGTTCACAGTTGTATTAATCGCAGGGACTTTGTACAAACAAGACGAGGATTGGTTTATATTTTAACCCAAAACGGAAAGTGGGATTATAGGCCATCGTGGGAATGGCATTGTCTGGTAAAGCAAACTCCCAAATGAGTGTAGTATTGAGTCAGATTTTTGATATTTGACATATAAGTTTCCAAACAATAATAGGTTATTATCAGTGAAAACAGGTTCCCAAAATGATTTATCTCCACAGGATCTCACTAGTGTCTTTGTTGCGTGTCAAGTAGTAACATATGATACTGAATGTTTTCCATTCTGCCTGCTTTGCATTAGGTTATGGCTTTTATTTTTTGCATACAGTTATTTATGACACTTGCTGACACAAAGCATCATGGTGATGCAGTGAATCATGTGACCAAAAGAGGACAAATTCCATTGAATAGGTTGAAGTCAAGTTCAAATTGATCTGCCTTAATAATAAAAGCACACTTTTTGAATCATTTTACTTCTATATATGTTGCAGTGGGCACAAACACTGATCTTAAATCAAAGATCTAACTATGACAAAAGCTGGTTCATGCCTGCTTAGTTGAATGGAGCTAAATCACATAATTTAGTTGTTTTTAATTTTTCTCTGGCAGCAGTTATAATGCTCTTGTTGCTTTGCCGCACCGCTAGTGAACGTGTTGAGAGGAAATACTGCCGATGAAGAAAATATGAAACCCCAAGTGTGTCAATTTGCTTTATCAGATTTGAAAGACTCGCTAAACCAGTTGTGACAGGCATTCTTCCTTTTTATATTTGTTCAGTGAATGCTTAATAGGATTTAGGAAACCAAACCTCCAGTACAAGCTTTAAAAAAGACAACATATAGTCATTTTACACAATATTTAACTCTGATTAAGTCAAGTCAAGTGTGTGCTATGCAGTTTGTGTTTCCTAATCATCACACAAGTGTTTCTTTCAAAGCAAGTAACCTGAGAGCCAAAGTTACAGCATGTTGATGTCCTGTTGAGAGACCTGTGAGCAGAGTTGTGCCAAGATTCAAAAGATTACTGCGTCCATAGGAGCTCAGCACTTGCTTAGCTTAATTGTTACACCGAGTTTTAAAGTAGAATATCATCAACACTTAACAGCTGGAGCCTAAATAAAGGTCACAAAGGAAGAAATGAAACCAGAGAGATCGTTTACCTTTTTTCCCCAAATGCACTGTTGTTCATTGTTACATTATTTAAGAAGCTTATTTACAGGACAGTCTAATTCAGAGTTTGGTCATTCCTGAGACCAACTGCTCGGCTACTTATAACCACCAATACAATGTGGTATGTACAGTAATAATCCGATGCTATGGATGCACTGCTGTGTGTGTGCACAAACATTTAAAGTTAAATTCTCATGGAGTAATAAACCTGTCCAACAGTCCCAAGTACACATGCTGAGCCAAAAAAATTATTTAATTACACAGGCTGGGCTGATAGTTGTATTAACACCTGTTTGTCTTCCCTCTGCAGAGCACCCATACAGCCATCTAATCGACACGCTGAAAGATGGCAGCATCAAGTTCTTCAATCCACAGAAACTAAATGATCCGAGATACGGTGAGTTCAGGCCCTCTGACTGACAGAAAGGTCGCATATTTAAACACACGTCCCTCTTTCCAGACCCTTTTCCAGGTGGCATTTATTTTACTCAGATCTGCACGATGTAGAAGAAGTAGTACGACATGTTTACCGCAGGTGTGTCTCAAGATAGCGTGTAAAAATGTATGTATGTGAAAAGTCTTGAAGAACATGTGTAAACAGCAGTCTTAAAGATGTCGTAAATATACCTGTATATAAATACAATTGTTGAATTAACCTTTGAGAGCCGCTTTTTGGTTTGTAACTTCATGGTCTGGTTAACAAACAATCCAATTTAATTACACATTGTTGACTGTAGGAAATTAAACAGCACATTGTGTTCATTGTTCCTCTGTGTAGACAAGCTGCCTCTGTCCATCCGCGTCTTACTGGAGGCAGCAATCCGTAACTGTGATGGCTTCTACACAAAAGAAGACGACGTCCAGAACCTTCTGGATTGGCAGCAGCAGCAGAATGAATCCGAGGTGCCGTTCTCTCCAGCGCGAGTCCTTCTCCAGGACTTCACGTGAGTTTCACATGGATCTGGGTGAAACAGCTGATCCACTAGGAGTTGGCGTATTAGATCTTGTGTTAACATGAACTTTCTTTCTGAGCCTTTACATAAACAAATCATTAATATCATCATACTTTGAGTTATAAAAGAAGAACATTCCTATGAATCCTTGATTAATTGTTCCTCTCCTGGTTTCCTTTGACAGAGGTATTCCTGCCATGGTGGACCTGGCATCAATGAGGGACGCTGTGGCCAAACTTGGCGTGGACCCCGGACTAGTCAACCCTAAATGTCCCACAGACCTCATCGTAGACCACTCGTTACAGATTGACTTCAGCAAATGGTGTGTTTGCATTAATATTATCCTTTTTATATGTTGACAATGAGCTAAAGAAAGTGAGAAAACGTACTTATTTTGGCTGTATTCACTGAAACATAATGTATTCTGTAATATTTATTTATTTATTTATTTATTTATTTCTATATATATATATATATATATATATATATATATATATTAATTTTTTTTTTACAGTGCCATACAGAATGCCCCAAACCCAGGTGGAGGGGACGGTCCAAACCAGAGCCAGGGGCCTTCCCGTTCCACCCCCTCCAGGCGAGGCTCACAGTGCGGGAGCCAGCGGGGCTCCTGTAGTAAAGCTTCCTGCAGTGACCCTCCGGCCTCCCCGGGTCGACCTTCTGTCCAGCAGATTGAGAACACGCCTCTCCTCTGCCCTTTCCACCTGCAGCCTGTGTCTGAGTGAGTCTGCTCGTAAACATGAACGTGGTTTTATCTCTTTGCAGCTATTGGAACGGCTGTTTGGTCAACTAAAAGACCAAATTGATTTCACAAACTCTACAACTAAAAGAAAAACAGTCTCCCCCCTTCTCCAGCGATATAATTAGGCTACTGTAACAAGCGTTCTGTTTAACTACTCAGTAACTTTGGGCCGTTTTAGCTAAATGTCTACACCGTTGTCTCGTGAATTACTCTCATGTTCCAAAACAAATCCAAAAGGATTTTGTTTGATTATGTCGTTATTATGAAAGTAAAGGCCTTGCTATAATGATCTTAGCATAAATAAAATGGAAGCGTCGGGGGTTAACGCTGAATTAGTTGGTAAATGTTAAACGAGTAGTCCCAGAGCGCTGAAGTCAGTGACATTACACAACAATAACAAGTACGCTAGCTAACGTTAGACTCCATTGAAATAACATTAACAGCTAAGATTACATGCAATGATGGGCGAGCGTTTTCTAAATCAAAACAACACAACCAAAAAGGTGCCGCGTTTGCGTGCCTCTTGACTGATTGACACAGAGTTCCTCTTTAGCATGTCTCGGGTTGATTTGTTCTCTTTCCTGCAGACCTGAAACCGCTCTGAAGAATCAGGAACTGGAACTCAGCAGAAACAAAGAGAGGCTTCAGTTCTTTAAGGTACAGCAAACAGCAAAAATAGTTTTGGACAATCAGAGGGTAAGACTTGTCTTGAAGGACATTTTTACAAATTGTATCTCATTCTTTTAATCCATGCAGAAACCAAAGTGTAAAAAAACACAAATCACCATTTTATGGGCGTTATGTGTCGGACTATTTCTGTTAACTCTGCTGCTCAACTGGTCCTGATCAAGAAGTAGTCCTCAGCAAAGTTAGCGGGCAGCTAGCTGTAGCTTCAGATCTACCACACAGACAGGAGTGGTACTCGCAGCAAGAAAACAACTATTTAACACTTTTTATTACAGAAGGAACTGGCTGATAGCGCTTATTAATCAAACAAAATACATTTTTGGCTCATGGAAATGTTCTGTAGCTTCCAATGAAAAGAAAAGAACTTTGTATCTCCCACTTGAGAGAGCAGAACAAACCAGTATTTGTACCTCGAGTGAGACACAAAGTTAAATATTTTTTCTTCCTATTCCTTTCCCTGTCTGTCAACCAAACAGTGGTGTTCGAAAGCGTTTAAGAATGTGAACGTGGTCCCTCCGGACGTTGGCGCAGTCCACCAGGTGAATCTGGAGTACCTGTCCAGAGTGATCCAGGTCACCGACGGGTTCGTCTACCCCGACAGTGTGGTGGGAACCGACTCGCACACCACCATGATCAACGGCCTGGGCATCCTGGGCTGGGGTAAACCATTTTACAGACTTCAAAAGTTCTCACCAGTTGTTGACACATTTGTCAACCATTTAAAAATACAAAAACATCCATGCATGCTTTCCTCCACCAGGTGTTGGGGGAATTGAGTCTGAAGCGGTGATGCTGGGCCAGCCAGTGTCTCTGACCCTTCCTCAGGTGGTGGGCTGTAAACTGGTGGGCTCCATCAACCCTCTGACCACCTCCATAGACATCGTCCTCGGCATCACAAAGGTAACACTGCTCTGCCCTCCTTCATGCCTTATTAGGACGTCAGTTCTTCTCAGTGAGATACCCAAAATGGACACCTCACTAGTCGAGGACAGTGGTGTTTAAAAATGCCCAGTCAGTTAGTTTTGAATCATCAAAACGAAAACATCACCGCAAGAATCAAAACTGAAACTGTTATCATCTATAAATGCAGTACAAACATCAAACTCTTGCTGCTTAGTGTGTACTTATGTAACTTGTGTATTTATTTTCCAGCACTTGCGGCAAGCTGCGATCGCTGGAAAGTTTGTGGAGTTTTTTGGACCGGGTGTCTCCCAGCTGTCGGCTCCTGACCGGACCACCATCGCCAACATGTGCCCAGAGTACAACGCTACTGTCAGCTTCTTCCCAGTCGACCATGTCACCCTCCAGCACTTTAAAAAGACAAGTGAGTCAGCAAACAGCGACGCTGCTTATTAAGGGTTACAATAACCGATTCTGTCATGCGTTGGTAACTTGTCATCATTTTCCTTCCAGGTTTTACCCAGGAAAAACTTGACTTACTGGAGTCTTACATGAAGGCTGTGAAACTGTTCCGAAACTATGAAGAACCCTCAGAAGACCCTCAGTACTCTGAGGTAATGTTCAGACCTCGAGGGTCATTGGTGGTGGCTCAACACCCTGTATGTGTTTAACATTAAAACTACGTCAAGTAATTCCCCTTTTTGTCTCTCATGATGTTGGTGCCGCAGTAGAGGAATTTAATTTCATAATAAAGTGAAACTAAAACCATTCATCTGTGTGCAGGTGATTGAGATCAACCTGACTTCTATAGTGCCGCATGTGAGTGGACCGAAGAGGCCTCAGGACCGAGTGGCAGTCAGCAGCATGAAAGAAGACTTCCAGAGTTGTCTTGATGAGAAGGTAACAAACAAAAAACTCATATTAATGTCTACTTCTGTTCTTTAGGAGAGGAACCAAGTGTACATCCAGGCAGAGATACTCGGGTGCAAAGTGTGAAAGAGAAAAAGTTGCAATTGGAAAATATTGCCTTCAAAAAGAGAAATAAACAATGTATTAGGAGCATTAAGACCTACGAATACTCGCCTGCAAATATGATATGTCTTGGGCTTTTATTGTGAAAGGTAAGAACAGGAGAAGCAGATCTGGTTTGCGTAGCCGCTCGAGGATGAAATGAGTAATAAAGTTTGCCGTCTTGGTTCAGACTATGGAGCCTCCATGTTGTTTGTTTCCTAAACTCAACATGTTCTTCACAACATATTTACAGAAAAACCGCCCCCGGTGTGTAAAGGCTTTCCCACTTCTGTGCTCTGCGTGTCCTCAGACCTCAGTCTTATGCTGACATGGTACATGGAGATGCTGGTGCTGCATGGTGGACTACAACAAGTCATTTACTTTCTTTGGTGTTTCCCTGCAGGTCGGCTTCAAAGGCTTCCACATCTCTAAGGAGAAGCAGGACACGTGCGTTCCTTTCCTGCACGGTGGTCAGGAGTACCAGCTGGCCCACGGCGCGCTGGTCATCGCTGCTGTTATCAGCTGCACCAACAACTGCAACCCGTCCGTCATGCTGACCGCAGGTAGAGGACCGAGTCAGAAGAGGAAACTGTGATCAGATTTCCTCTGAAAATATTCCCCAATTTCATCTGTATATCATGCTGAGCATTACTGAACATGTAAGATTCACAAGTGTCGCTCTATCAGATGACGGATATTGTTTTCTTTTCACGTTTTTTCGTTTCTTTCACTTAAATCCTTTAATCTGATTATATCTGCACTTTCACATCCCCAAATGTTCTCCTTTTTCCAGTCATTCACAGAATGAATATCCTGTTTTGTGTCTCTGAACTCACTTTCATCTCTTTTTGTGATTGACAGGTCTGCTGGCCAAAAAGGCTGTGGAGGCGGGCCTTGTTGTCAAGCCTTACATTCGGACCAGCTTGGCTCCTGGAAGTGGCATGGTCACGCACTACCTCAATACCAGCGGAGTCCTGCCTTACTTTAGCCAGCTGGGGTAAGCGTGTGTACACAGTGACGACACACACACACACACACGCACACACACAAAGGCCCCTTTAACACCAGGGCACTGACCTGGGTTAAAGCCGTACCATGAGTTTAACTTTGCTCAGCTGTGGTTTGGAAAGAGTTTTTTATGATCATTTTGCAGGATGTAGTTTGTGGCACTGTTGGATTGGTGTTTCTATTATTTTGTCCACCCCATTTATAGGTACATGTAATAATAACAAGCACCTCTGTAGAGTTTAATACAGTTTAAAAGTCCTTGGGACCTAAGAAAGTTGCAAGGAAACATCTGTAGTGCCGTCCAATCAAAAGCAATCAACTATGTAAACAGCAAGTGAGTTTACCTCACAGACAGACTGGGAGCCTTGATCAATCAATGTAGATACGGCTAATAAGTGTAAGATATTTGTGTGATTTAAACAGCTGTGTATGCAGATTATGATTCACTACATGTGACAAAAATAGACGTGAAAGCGTAAAACAAGCGCAGGACTGAGTGTGGATCGATACGTTTAATAAAATATTATATATAAGCGTATCTGTTCGTGAGACGGACGTCAAAAAGGCTTCTAATAGTACTGTCAGTGTGGATCGGCTGTAAGACAATTCCATGATTGAGTTTGAGTTTTTGTGTGAAAGAGAGAATGCCGATTCTGATTTGACGACTACGCTGTGTGTTCCTTCACACCTTTAGGTTTGAGGTGATCGGCTACGGCTGTGCCACCTGTGTGGGGAACACGGCTCCGTTACCCGACGCTGTCGTGGATGCGATCAAACAGGTTCGGTCTCCGTAATGCAATCTTAAGCTTTTCTGTGCATCTCGCGTCAACGGTATTGATGATCTGCTGTGTTTCAGGGGGACCTGGTGGCCTGCGGTGTGCTATCTGGAAACAGGCACTTTGAAGGGCGCCTGTGTAACTGCGTGCGGGCCAACTACCTGGCCTCCCCTCCCCTGGTGGTGGCCTACGCTCTTGCGGGGACTGTGGGAATCGACTTTGAGAAAGAGCCTCTGGGTAAGGAAGGCACACGGCAGGAGCTCCTAAGCTGCTCCACTAAAACCTGACGGTCATTACGGGATTTTAGGGATTTGGCTGATTACAGGGAGTGAACATTTAGTGATTTTGTGTCTTGTGCAGACATGCATCAGCTGTAGAACAGGTGACAGAGGAGCATTGTGGGTAGTCTGGTTATAGCAGTGACATTAAACAAAAAAAGCCGCATTCATTTAAGGCTTTTAGACTTGAACACTTCTAACATTGAGCATCCTGTTGTGTGTGTGTGTGTGTGTGTGTGTGTGTGTGTGTGTGTGTGTGTGTGTGAAGGTGTGACGTCGGAGGGGAAGGAGGTGTATCTCTGTGATATCTGGCCGTCCAGGGAGGAGGTCCAACAGACTGAGGAGGACACAGTCATCTGCTCCATTTTTAAGGATCTCAGGGGAAGGATGGAGGTCAGGACATGATCCATCTTTATTTATTTGATGTCTCTTTCAATTTAAATCAAGTGAATTAATGATTTTCACTGTGCTCTCTCTCTCTCTCTCTCGCTCTCTCTCCAGAAAGGGAACACGCTTTGGAACAACATTGAATGTCCAGATTCTGTGGTTTTCCCCTGGGATCACAAGTCCACATATATCCGTTCGCCGTCTTTCTTCAGCAAGTTGGTAAGTCTTCAGAGTCTCCTGATTTTACACATCGAAGGAAGTACAGAAATAAAAAATACCAGCAGCAGTTTTGACAACAAAGTGCCTCCTCTGCTTGTCTCTTGTCTCAGAGTAAAGAGGTGCCGCCTCCTCAGTCCATAGAGAACGCTCATGTCTTGCTGTTCCTCGGGAACAAAGTGACGACGGACCACATCTCACCGGCGGGCAGCATTGCCCGGGTCAGCGCCGCCGCCAAGTACCTGCTGAGCAAACGGTCAGTTTCCAATCAGACGTGGTGGTGAGAGTCGTGAAGGAGTCCAGACGAGTGGAAACCAGATTCTGATCGAAGAGAGGATGCACGTTGTTAACAGATTACTGCACGGACACCGAGTCCTCATCACCGTCCTAAATTAAGCAAGACTGCTTATTTTGGCTGCTTCCAAACTACAGCCTGTCCTACTAGTGGGAATAATAAAGTTTACTTATTTAAATGTATATGGCAAGGTTTTGTGACAATAATATCAATAATTAGTTGAAAATCTTCAACAAAAGCTACAGGAAATATGTGGAGATAGAGGAACTCATAATTCAAAATCATGTCGAAATATATCTTTCATTCACGAATAAATATTGAAAGATATAATGTCGAGGACGGATGTCTGCACAGTCTGTTGTTTGATTGAGTCGGCAAAGGGTTTGAGTGTGACATTTAATTACATCTCACTTTGGATGTTTACCTCAGCCTGACGCCGCGGGAGTTTAACTCGTACGGCGCTCGCAGAGGGAACGACGCCGTGATGACCAGAGGCACGTTCGCCAGCATCAAGCTCCAAAATCGCTTCATCGGCAAACCGGGCCCGAAGACTTTGCACATTCCTTCAGGCCAGACGGTGAGTGAGAGCTTTTTAAGAGCAGTAAACTAATACAGCAAATACAAACACCTGTGTTTGTGATACTTTAGCTGTGGCACTGGCACGGGCTTTGTTTTTGCAATGTCAGACCAGCTGCTAATAACATGTCCTCCTCTTGTTTGCCTTTTTTAAAATCAGCTGGATGTGTTCGAGGCAGCTGATCGCTATCAGAGAGACGGCGTTCCCCTCATCATCCTGGCAGGCCAAGACTACGGCTCTGGAAACTCCAGGGACTGGGTAGCCAAAGGACCGTACCTGCTGGTAAACTGAAGCACACACACGACTTCTTACTTCATCTAACATGGTACAGTTACATTCCAGTGATTACACTCCACAAGGAGGTATCGCATTTCTCGAGTTCTCCCTCACCCCCGTGCCTCACTTGTTTTTGTCGCTCACCTCGACAGGGGGTGCGCGCGGTCATCGCCGAGAGCTTTGAGAAGCTGCACAAGAACCAGCTGGTGGGAATGGGCATCATGCCGCTCCAGTTCCTGCCTGGCGACAGCGCAGACTCGCTGGAGCTCAGCGGGAAGGAGAGGTTCACCATCGCCCAGCCGGACAGCCTGAGTCCGAGGCAGCAGCTCACAGTCAAGGTAGGCTCGGCCCTGAGCTGTGATCACCGTCCGGACCTGTGTGGTTGTTTTATTGTTTGTTAGCTAAGATGTGGCAAGAAGTATTAGCTGCTAGATGTTAGTGAAATATCCTCTTCATCAGCATCTTAATAAAACACTTTGAACGCTTTAATGAAGGAGTTTCTATGTTCTCTTCCAGACCAGCCAAGGAAAGTCCTTCTCCGTCACCGCACTGTTTGACACGGAGATGGACGTTATCTTTTTCCGTCACGGAGGTCATCTCAGATATGTTGCTCGGACTTTGCTCTGAAACCGCCTGCAGCCCGGTCCCCGAGCCCCACTAAAGGTGCCCAGCGGTCTCTTCATCAATTCCCCAGTTTGTCTTCAGGACGGAGGACAAGCGGCTCATCGGAGCGGCATTGAGCCCGATGATTTGTCCGTTTTCGAGCTGGATGAACCTCCCCAGACTTTTGGAGTCATGAGACGTCACGTTTTAGACCTGAGCTGCTTCTTCATCACTACGCACGCCTGCAGCGTCTCTCCTCACAAGAAGAAGACGATGTGGTGACATTCTCTCAATCAGGAGATTGAACCCAGGACGACATTTGAACATCCTTTTTTTAATTATTTTTATTGTGTGTGAGACCGGATTTGCTGCGTACTGAGGGGACATTTCTTAAGGAGTTGAGCCACGAAGAAATGACTCGTGTCTGCTTCTGTTGTCATTTAACAAAATAACAATAAACAATGCTGCTGACATGGTGCTAGGTACTACGGCATGAATACTTTGTTTTTTAGGGCGGGGCCTGTTTTTACCAACATCCAAGCAACGTCTAATCTTTGCAGAATTGACACCCTTGAATCTCCCAAATAGCTTTTACTTGCGTGTCGCCAGTGAACGTGTCCAGTTGAATCTCTTCCTGAGACTGACGACCTGCATTATTAGCACATGTATTTATTTAAAGGTGAACTCCACAGATTCTACACACCAAAGTCTCTTCACAGGCCTTGGAGAGAAAACAGTTGTTTAAATACTTGCGCCTAATGTTCACCCTACGAGCGACAAAGCAACACAACAAAAAGTATTGTTAGTTAAAGTATGGACAGCTACTTTGTCGCTGCTGAAGTGTTGCTCAAGCGCTCGTTGTGTAGTTATGTCGTTTAATATCGCAGCAAACTGACAAACGACGAGACATTTTCCGTTTATTAGACGGAATGGATTTGTGGCGGGAGAGAGAAGGTGACCGTGAAACACAAAGCAGCTCAACTTTGAGTAGTTGTGCCTCACGCCGCATCGAGTGTCAGTTTGACCCAAATGTCCATCTGAACAGCTGGCTCCTGAGTTGCATTGTGGGTAATGTTGGTGCCAGGTTTTGAGAAGAAGGAAGAATGTGTGGAGTAAAGTAAGAAAGCGAATGACTTTATTTCCCAAAATTCTTAGTTTTTTTAATACAAATTCTCACTTTTAACATCTGGATCCATTTCTGGTAACGTGTCCCGTCGTGACTCGGCGCGATGTCGAGTTAAAAGCTGCATGAAAGGGACAAGTGTGATGATATCGCTTCATATCTTCGGTGCTTCTCACTTTGACTTCTGTCAGACTAATTGAATATAACTAAAGCTCCTTGCATGAGGAGGTCATCAAATCAATTGTAGTGAATAATGACGGATAATAAATGCTCATTTTCCAGCTAATATCGCAGTTTGAATTGAATTCTAAGTGACTGGATGGAGAGCAGCCCGGCCTGTAGTACAGGTATTCTTAAGTTCTATAATTCATCCCATGTGCTGAGGTATTGGACTGTTTTTCTGTTCGCTCTGTATCATGTTCTGCATGTTCGAGTCATTTTGACACAGTAAAGAGTATTTGTTAGCTAATGGCACTTTCTAAAAGGCATCCCTTCATTGTATCATGGCACATTATTTAGAATATAGAATGGAGCCTTTATGCTTTTATATGTTTTTAGGGAGCGTGGTATAATACTGGCTGTGCTTCAGAGACGTTATTTATTATGTAATTCATTGAAACCATATACTGCCTGAACCTGTTTCTTTGTTTGTCGTTTTAAAAGTGATGGAAGACGTTTAGTCAACTGCCAAAACAAGTAGCGAGCTGTCACGAGTCATCGTTTCTACACTGCTTCATATTACATGTAGGTTTGAAGTTCCTCCGCCCATCTTCACTGTTTGCCTTCCTAGTGTGAGGTTGGGTTTTAATTAGTGATACCTGGATGCAGCACAGTGTGAAAGCTTTACCTGTAGCGGCATGTGTAGCAGTTAATTGGTCCAATGCTGCCGTTTCCCACAATCTCAGTTTAGGGAAGCAAAGTGTGTTGCTGCACATGTGAAAAGGTGTCTGTGTGTAACTCTGACTCATATTGTAAATAGTTTTTAATAAATGGTAAGGAAACGCTGGTAATGTGGCTGTCTGTGAAGCGTCAGGAGGCTCTGGTGACGGTAACATCCATGATTTTACACATAAGTTACGAATCAGTCTGTGGAAACTAGTGTAATATATAACAAGGCAGCAGCTACAAGAAATAAGGGACTAAGTCCCTTTTTATCACATGTTAAAGACTGTATGACTTTCTGTATGGAGAGCAGGCAGCAGGAGATGGACCCAAACGCAGGAGAAGATGTGGAGGGAGCAGAAAATACCCAAGAATTGAATTGAAAAGCTTTCAGGTTTTCGTCCAAGAAAACAGACAGACAACCAACAGATGGAAGACAAGACAGTAAATACTAAGAAACTAATCAGACAAGACACAGGTGGGCAGACATGACGGCTGATTAGCGGAAGAAACACAATTTTTGAATTACTACACGACTTAATGCCATACTATACTGTAACCCTTTTTAATACTGTGACTTTTTGACGTACTATACTATGACATACAATATGATTATTTTATGACATACTATACAATAACTTCTTTACAGCGTACTATACTATAGAATCTTTTTTGACATACTTTGTCTTCATGGTATAACTGAAGACACAAGTATGCCAGAGTAAGACAACTTTTTACAATATACTTTACTTTTGATGAAATACTATACTAGGACATTATGGGATATTCTATGAAATTACTTGATATACTACAGTAAGACTTGATGTCAAAATTGAAACTATACCACACTTATAAGGACCTAATGTGAGGTAAGAAAACAACCCAAGTGGAGAAATAAGACAGAAGTCTGAAGTTCTTAATGGAATTTCCAAGTGTAAACAGTGCAACTTTTATTGATTTGAAAGTAATTTCTGACACAGTGCTGACATTGCTCTGCACATTGACAAGTGATGACATACAGTACGAGGCCCCACAAACAACCAGTTTTATCTGAGTGCTGTATAACAGTCGAAAAATGTGATCTAATGATCAAAACAAAAAAAAAAAAAAAAAGTCTGCATATTACCAGGTGCCTACACGAAAGTGTAGCTTGTCACTACACAACCTCAGGTGTGTGCAAACGTGAAATTAAAGCTGTAATCAAAAGATGGCAGCCGTGCCACATGCGACGGGTTTGTTCCCGCTTGATGTGAACACTCAAAACTTGTCAAACTGCAGACCAAGGCTTCAGGTTCATCATGACATCTTTAGTATTTGACATTAACCTCATGTCTACAAGTCAACAGCAAGTTGTTTTTAGCATGTTGTTGCCCATTTACCACACACACTATTATTTAGTGCTGAAATTAATACGGGATCAACACACAATAAATCAACATAAAATTTTGATGATTATAATTTGTCGTGCAAAAATGCCCAACAGCTGCTGGTTCCAGTTCCTCGAATGTGAGGATCTGCGTCTTATCTGCTCTATCACTGTAACTTAAAGGTACCCTGTTGACTTCTTGCACAAACTGTATGTACATCCACAGTTTCTCAAACAAAGTGCATTAAGTATCTTATTTCCTTTTTTTTGGTGTGCATGTGTGGAGGAATTTGAAATCGACAGTTTGTATCTATGTTTACAATCTGGCAGTATTTGTATTCCTCGCCTTAGTTGGCACATTGCTGCGTTTCTCGGCACGTCACTGCCACCAACTGTTGATCAGCGGAAAAAGGTGTAACAATCTGCAGGACTGTATCGCGCCATGTGAAATAGTATGAAAATAGGGACCCAAACTTCACAAAAACTGCTCCATACATCCATCACTGGTCAGAAACTCCACAGGGTACCTTTAACATGAAAAGAATAACCTAATCGTTAGTCAGATAGAACTATTTCAAGATGTCTTCTTGGGCTCTCTGAAACATTTTTTTTTATTATTTTGTGTCATTTTATAGAATAAACAATAAAAAAATTTTTGGAGAGTGTAACGCATAACGGAGATATTTTTTTTATTTGCAACCCTTATATTACTGCCAACCACAGCTTAAAGCAGAATTCAGAACCCTATAATCCAGGCAGCTTTTGCTTTCCATTCATTTCACTTCCGCAGCATGAAAATGTACTGCAGAGACTTGAAACCTGCTTGGGAATGCTACTCCATACAGTGGACATGTCAGCATTTACTGTATTTATCCTAAAGGAAGTCATTGTTGCTTAAAAAGGTGTCAACTGACACTTACTATACTGCATTATCACACAACAATGACGCACTAGAAGCAGACTCGGACATGATGCTAACAGTTTCAAGTCTGTGCAGGTTGATTTTCATACAATAACCTGTCTGGAAAGTTGTTTTCTTTTTGAATGCGCTACTTTCCAGAGTTATACGCAGGAATATATAGAAAAACAAAACGTAATTTGTAGTAAATGGGCCTTAACATGAAAACACCAGAATTGTTCTTCAACCCCAGCATTGACACTCATATCGTTATGGCAGTTGTTGAAGTAATGCTTAATCAAGCTTCTGCACAACTTCCTCCCAAACTGGATTATACCAAAAACACCATTCTGACTTAAAAAGGCACAGACATGTGTGGTTATAAGAGTAAAGTTTGCACTATGATTGAAATCATATCTAAAACATTAAACTCACAAGCTTTGACCTACAATGCAACCCTCGACCACAGCTGTAGCCTCATCTAATGCCTCTCAATACCCTGCACACCCCCCTTCAGCATCAATAGTATTTTAAATCTGAAACAAAAAAAACAACATGGCTGGTACTTAAGTACGTGATCCACCTGGTGGAAGTGCTCATAATTTATTATTTATTTATTTTTTTTTTTAATTGTTATTTTATCCCTTGGAGTCGTAAAAAACAAAAAAAGACATAGTGAGACTCTTGGCCACTTTCTTCATCTGGGTCCCCAGAACTATTTGATGAGCGAGCAGCCGCGCTGTAAACAATTAACCACAGCTGATGTGACGGAGCTCCGATCACACGACGGAGAGAATCCTGAGAACTACGGACTCGGTTCATTTCCCGGAATCAGTCATCTATTCTCTCTCTTTTCCTGCGTCCATATCTTTGTATATGCAAACTCTTTTCATCTATTAAGAAAATATTTGTGGAAGGTTAAATGAAAATATACAATTATTAATACAATAGAGTACAGAGCTATATGTTAAAGGTGATTAAAAAAAAAACAACAGGTTGATTGTATCTCCCTTTACAACGCGCGCATTTTCCTTGGTTTAAAGGCAAGAGGTAAAGTGTATAAGAAAAAGGCAGCCTGTTTAGTCGTCCACACGGCCGGTGCTCGAGGATTAGGCGATTGCTTTTGCTTCTGGTAAGAAAGCGTCCCAGTACTTTATGAGCTGGAGGAAAGAAAGAGAGACGGAGTCATTGAAAACAAACAGACAAGTGGTTCATGTTCAGGATGTAAAAGAGCTTTCATAGTTCAGAATCACTTTGTTAATAGACGGAAAATTAAAACGTAACTTTCTGAAATTAGACCATTTATTGCTTTTCTCAACTGTACATTTGAACACATTATTTGGGTTCTTGAAACTTGGAAAGAGGCTTTTTAAAATACTTTAATGTACTACTTTATTAAAAGTATCAAGAGATTAATCAATAATACAATTAATTGTTAGTTGAAGGCCTAATCTTTCCTTTTTCTTACATCCTGTTAAAATTCATTCATACCTCCCTCCTGAGCTTATATTTACTTTTCCTTAAAAAAAAACATCCATTACTTTTCATTTTGATAATTTATGGTTATTATTAATGAACTAATAAGCTCCAAATCATCTTAATTTAAATCAAGACGATTCCGTGACATGACAAAACAAGGACTGCCAGTTGGAAAAGTCTTTCTAGAAGTTAAAAACTATTTACAAATATACACCGACGAAGAACATTTGATTATGGAAATGTGAAATATTCACGTTCTCACCTGTTGCTGAGAGTGAAGCAGACACTCCAAGTAGTTAATGATCTCTCTTTTGAAGTTCCTGGCCTTTTCTTTCTGTATGATCAGATAAATAGAGAAGAAATCCACCGATCAGAACCGAATATCATCTTCAGCGGTCTCGTACCTGATGTGAAGAAGGATAAACGTCCGTACGTCAAAGCGGCTGACTTCTTTGCGCACGGTGGCAGAAACTCTGTCAAAGTCTCTCTCATACTGCGTCACCTTAACCTCCCACTGTGAACAAGACGAGAGGGAAAGTTAACGCCATTTGTTTGACCGTGCTCCATGTTTCTGATGATAGGAACAATATGAAAGCTTTTCAAGAGGCTCATTCATGATTCAAACATCAAACTCCAGCCCTGAAGTCGGGTCCACTCTGTTGCTTTTGGCCTGAGATGTTTGTACCTCGGCGATCTCCTCTTTGGCCAGCTGCAGCTTGTCGGGCTTGTTGGCCCACAGCAGTTTGGCCTCAGTCTCCCTCTTCTTCTGCAGCACGGTCTGAGCATCCTGCCAGCGCTGCCACGCCTTCATCCGGTGATCAAACGAGCCCTGCAGGCCACGGACACACAGAGGATCATTTCATGATCGTATTTGGGTTTTTACTTTAGCCGTGAAGCTGAGGCTCATATTCAAAACTACTCAAATACTTGTCAAGCGTTCAGTCAGTGTTAAAGGGCATTTTGGTTGCTGTGGTATTTGTTTTAAACCCCATTAGAATAATACCAGATTCATCTTTTAGCCTTTGAATAAAGCACTGACACTTAAAGATTTGATTGACTTAAAAATGGTTCAAATCATGTACAAAAATAAAACGAGTGCCGACATGATCTGAGAGGAATTTCTATGTTCAAGAAACAATTACTGATCACTTTCTACAATGTCTTTGTATACAGCAAATATACAACTTTTTACTCATAAATGTTACACAATATGTTTATGTGAGACCCAATCACAGTTTTTGAGATCATAATGAGTGTTTGGATCAGCACAGAAATGAAATGTGAAACTCAAAACTCTACATATCTCGTCTAATTTCACTCACTTAGGTCTCAAGTCACCTCCTAACCTTTTAAAAGTGAAAGTGCTTCTGTTACTTTAACATTGGGGGGGATTTATTAAATTAAACTATCCAGAAAAGACAGATATTTTCAGTACCCTCACGGCTCCAAGCAGGCGGATGTAATCTGCGATGAGTTCGGCAAAGCTGAAAGTGTCGTTTGTGGCCTGTTCCTGGTGTAACTGCTCCATCTTGTCCTCCACCTCTGCCAGCTGAGAGAGTGCTCGGGACAGCGCGGTGTTGTCCTCTGCGCTGCCCAGCATGGCCGTGCTTTTGGCAAAACTGGCGGTGTTTAATGACAATTCTGGAGGGGAAGAGAGAGACGGACGTCAAGGTAAAGCAGGCGTCGTCCACCGTGTTCTTAGAAACACCAAAAACAAGTAAGCAATCATCTGGGTTAGATACTCTCTGGACATGGGTTTGTTTAAAAATATCACTTTCTATGGAGCGCATTGGTAAAGAGATAGTCATCTTAAAACTAACTGATGCACAGGTTATTTTTCTTCGACACAATCAAACTTATTTTTCAACCAGAGGAGTCGCCCCCTGCTGGCCAATAGAAAGAATGCACGTTTGATCTCATTAGTTGGAAGGGAGACAACGAACCTTTCCTGTGGACGACCAGAGATTCAACCATCGTGTGGAGCTTCCTGAACTGCTGGTCTGCAGACTCCACCTCCTGCAGCTTCTCTTCAAACCACTGCAGCAAAACACAGGAAGAGTTTGTACAAACTGCAACATCTGTTAGCTCCATCACATTACAAAGCCACATCACCACAAACTGCAGAACACGTCACGTCCCATTGGGTCAAAAATGGATTCAAATTTGAATCATGCATTACATTTGTATGATGATTGAACTTCAATACTTTACCACAGTTTGTTGGTTACTGCGGTGAAATAATTTTAACTTTAAGTCTGAAGAGTCATAGAAATCGTATTCAATCTAAATACTTTTCCAGACTTTCTAGATTCATACAAGCAGCCCGATCCTACAAGTATGCAAATAATGGCTCTCTGAGAAGTCTTCAGCTGAAAACACACACTGGAAACCCAGTGCACTTTAATGCACTCATCTTCTGTTGCATGTGTTCAGCTTGAATTTGTGAGAATCGGCTCAGTGAAGGCCTGCGTGTGGTGAACTCAGATCAAGAGGAAGTCAGCGTCACAGCTCAGTTTCTTTATACAACAGCTCTTAACAAACTGCTCCTTTGATCGGCTTCATCTTTAGTATTTAGTCAACTATGATATCAAACTACATAAAAAGTAAAATAATGAAAATCAAACAAGCTAACGTTCTGATTAATGTCACACCACTCAAAAAAAATTAGCTGAGAGCTTGAAATGTTCTGCTTTTTACTGGAAAATACAGATTTCCTCACAACAAAGATGACTCTGCTCTTCCTGAGAAGCTCTGATGCAACAACGTGTCCGTTTACAGCTGAACTCACCACGTCTGACTCATTCATCTTGATGGTCATTTTACTGACAGCATCTGTTGCCTTGTTGATCATCTTCAGGAAGCCGGCGCCGCTCAGAGCCTGGGTGCTCACTGCTCTGGGCAACTGAAGGCATGAACGCATATTACAATACAGCCATCGCCAGACTGCAGTTACAAATATACTAAAGCTTCAGATACACAAAAGGATCAAGAAGTGGTAAAAAAAAAAAAAATAAAGATTCTTCTGAAAGTGTCATTAAATCAGAAAGACCTTAAAGTATTAAAGAAAACTGTAAAAACATTTTTTCTTGCACACCTTCACGATAAACGACATACATGGTGGACGCATGTGAGAAAAACAACGTTTTCCTCAGGAATAGAAGGTGACACAGGTTGAGTGATTGATGCACATGTGGTCTCTTTGTGGGTGATGTATTCCTTGTGGCTCAGGCATAAAACTAAATAGATGTGCATTTTGTAAAAAGGCACCGATCACCAAGACTCTCCAAACTTTTTTGCTTACTTCCTCTCTCTCCAGGAACTCTCGGACATCCGGATCTTGGAGAAGTGACGGGTGATTTACGACCCTCTGGAGATATCTGTTGAATGGGAAAATGCAAAGAAAAACCTCACTTTCCTGCTTTTTATGAGCAGGGCAACATCATAACAGCTGAGAACGTTATGGTCTTTGTAACTGAATTGTCATAAAGCAGCTTTAATATTCAATCTCTTCTACTCTACCTCTCCAAAGCGGCTCTTCTTCTCTCAACAAAGTCTGCAGATGAGGAATCTTCCTTTCCCACCTTCATCTTCGTCATACCTGTGCCAGATAACAACCCTTCTTATAGCTGATGAAGAATACATTCAGTTACAGTATCAGAGGAAACAGTGAAGCCAAGCCAGCCTACCCAGAATGCTCTTCTCTGGTGGCGGAGGCACGATGAATCCATTTGGTCCATGCTTTTCGGACAGCTTCTCATAGAGGCCGAGGAAGTCGCTGAAGCGTCGCCTCACTGTAAATGTCTTGTTGCGGAACATGGGCAGTGGGGTCTGAAACACATTCACGGTATTGGTTGGAGTTGATGTCCCCAAGAGGATTAGTTTGGTGGATTACTATGAAACTCTGTTGTAATCTATGTTTGCCTTCCAAGACCAGTGCGTGGGCGTTTCCCCTACAAGACGCTGACCAGTATTTCCTCTTTTGGGACATTGTTACCACACATCCAATGAGTAACTGAGCGAACGTCCTCTGGATTAAAGAAGAATAACTTTAGGTCAAATTAAATGCTCCATTTCAACAAGTTTTTACCTGTGTGGTTACTTTGTAGGCCATGTAGGCGTTCATCCCATCCCCTGAAAAACAAAAAGGATGAAAATCAGTGCAAGAAAAGACACATTGATATGAGTACTTACAGAGTATTACTCAAGGTGGTCCATCAGTAGTTTCACTACTTGAGTCCTTTGCCTTCTTCACAAGTTTGAAATAACTAAATCAAGGAGTCAAGCACCTCAAAACAACCGTTGCTTGCTTGATGTTTATAGTAGTGTAGCAATACTATTACATGAAGAATAAAACAGATCAAAAATAAGCTTCACCTATTTTTTCAGGATCTTTGACAGAGATAGCGATCTCAAATTTGTCTCCCTGCTCTTCTTCTTCCTCTTCATCCAACTGAAACAAACATTGAACAGAAAGTGTAACACTGCCTGAAGTCACCAAACACTTCTATTGAACAGTACACTGGATATTTCTCACAGTTTATTTTGAAATGTTGGTAAGATGTTAAACAAGTAAAGAAATGTGTAAATTCTGATATTCCAGAAAATTTAAATTTGCAAATCCCTAATCAGTTTTCCGGGGTTACTTTGCTGCAGGGATTTCACTCTTGGATTAGATATGCGCGTACCTCCTCCAGGGAAGCAGACTGGGGCTTGGCCAGGCTGGCAGCTGCCGACACGGAGGGGGCGGACGCAGACGGTTTGGTCGACTCATCTTTCATTCTCTCGTCCCGCGGACTGTCCAGAGAAAGCTCCACCGTGGCTTCTGTTAGAGAGGAACAGGAAAGAAACCAGACCGAGGTCGTTGCACGCTGGATGTAAATGTGAAGAGAGATGTTCATCATTTACTTTACATCCTGGACGGTCTAAATATGCACGTTCATGCTCTGGTGCGTTTGTCTTTTTTGCTTTCAGCCTGTAGCTTAATACAATTCAGTCACGTGTGGACCAGTGCTTGTGAACTGAAGTCACAAGGGCCTGTTTTATTGGAGAGGTAAAGGGGAACTCCACCTTTTGTACACACAAAGGTCTGATTACAGGTGTTGGGGAGCACTACTGCACATGTAATAAAGTTGATAAATAGCCTAAACTAACGCTAATAGAGTCGGCAACGGTTTGGTCTGAAGACTAGTATTTTGAAAATGAAAAAAGTCTGGGGGTGTGGAGTATGCACGACTAACACAACACACTTTAATCTCTGACCGAACTGTCAGCGTTCAAGTTGCATTGTGGGTAATGCAAGCGCCAGGATTTGACAAGGAATAGATGCGTGGAGTTAAAAAAAGATTTTAAGGATTCTATTAAACTGTCCATCATGAATCCAACGTTGTGTACTGCGATGCAAAATTATTTTAAGATGTTGACCATGAAATTCATTTCCTGGTTTGAGTCCAGCAGTGAGCCTTTGTTACGTGTCATCCTCCGTCTGTCTCCATTCATTTCCTGTCAGCTTTCTACTGTTTGCCATCTCATAACATTAAAAACATACCTCCAAAAAATAAACACTGGAAAGTGAAAAACACACTGAAATGCTATACTATGACCATCTGGTGTTAAATTGTAGTACTTTTAACCCAGAGTGCAGTTATCTGTTGCACAGCTGACTTTGAATGGAACCGTTCTCACATAAATCAGTTGTGAATGATCTGCTCTATGCGACACTCCCTTTGTCACTCATGCTCCCCGTCGAACACTAAATCCTAGAATCCTGATGATGTTACACATTAATAAAAAATTGTGGACCCACCAGCAAATATATCGGTCTCCTCTTCAGAGTGGACTCCGTTAGTCTTGGAGTTGACCGTGCTGGTCTTTTTGATGCTGGGCACTGTGGTGACGGCCTCCTCGGAGAAGATGTCAGCAGGATCATTGTCTTGCAGAGGACCGCCTGTGTCGCTAACGTCACTGGCAGCTTTGGTTGTGACGGGTTTGCTCTTCAGCTCTCTGCTGACGGGTTTCTTTGAAGCGGCACCCAGCGGCTCACCGAACAGATCCTCGTCCCGTTCGCCGAAGAGGCTTTTCTGCAGCTGCTTGGCAGATTTGGTCTGCCGTGGTTCCGTGAACAAGTCGTTTCCCTCGTCTTCGAACAGATCGACTGTTGCCCGGCTGGGTATTTTGGCATCAGCAGCGGGTGGAGCATCACTCAGGAAGTCAACCAGAGGGTCAACGAATGTGTGGCTGGCAGGTGGTGGCTGTGGCATCTCACTGGCTGGCAAATCGTCACTGAGGTCGATAATGGAATCAGTGGACGTTTCTTTTGCTTCCTGTTCATCATCACTTCCTGTTTTCCCATCGTCGGGTGGATCCCTCATGTCGCTGGTCACTTCACTTTTATCTGCTGCTGCTGCTTCAACGGTTACATCCGCCACCACGACGACTTCCTCTCGCCGAGCTTCACTTTCACCTCCAAATATGTCAACAAACTCATCCGAGGGTTCATCTAGAGGGATTTCAGTTGTGTCTATAGCAGCGTCTGCGACGGCACTTTCAGCTTCAGGAGAGTCGGTTATGTTGTTTGTGAGGTCGACAAAGTCATCCGAGGGTTCGCTGACGACTTCGCTCGTTGGCTTGATTTCCGCTTGGCTGCCGACGGGCTCGATTATGGGATCATCCATGATGTCACTGGGAGACTTCATTAAAACATCGCTGGGATGACTGGCAGGTGGCAGTGGGGTGTCCATTTTGGTCAGTGGAGGGTTGCTCTGGAGGTGAGGGGAAAAAATATGTTTTGTTTTAGAGTTTTGAATAGGGCCGTACCTAACAATTATCGGTCAATTGTTTTATGGGTTATTCATCTGGACAATAAAATGACAAACTGCAAAACTCCCAATTTCCTTCAGCTACATGTGATGTCTTCCAATTGTTTGATTTGTCTGACAAACAGTCCAAAACACAAAGATATTAAATCTACAATCATACTAAACATAACAAAGCAGCAAATCTTCATATTCGAGAAACTGGAATCGTTGAATTCTGCTTGGCCAACGACTGAAATGAAAATTGCGATACATACTTAAACTGTCGCTGCAGCATGGTCCAAGTCTCTCGTGTCCAGGTGTACGATATTTACATGACAGACGCATTTATTTTGAATATAAAATTGCTAAAAAAAAAAAAAAAAAAAACAACACAGCTTCCATAAACTCATCAGCCATGGTCACAGCCTAACACTTATATTTTGCCAGATGACACTTTTGGAAGCGCCTACTTCCAGGCTACCGGGTTTGTAGCTGATAACAAAAATAATCCTTTGAAATGAAAAATGAAGTAGCTCGCAATCTCATGGTGAAACCCTGCATCGTGTTTCTGAAATAGCTTTCTCAGACAATAGGTACGAGGTACTTCTAGCTGAAAGCAACACAACAGTCCTGCAATAAATCCCACTTTCTTAAAGATTGTAAAGTTCAGGTTTATTTGAAACATTTATAGAGAGGTGTTGATTAAACTTTATGATCATTTTGGAGGCTGCAGTTGAATTGCACGGTTTTATACCGAGAGGTGTAATATTTAGAAGAAAACATGATTGACGCCTCTCCTCTTGGTGCATCTAGTGAACTGGCGAAACGAATATATTTCCTCCTACCATCAATGTTAACAAAATCTAAATGTCCATAAACCTTCTTAAACTGTTCCTGCAGCATTATCCGCGTCTCTGGTATCCAGTTGTGTGGTCTTTACGCAGGAGTTTTCACTTTAATATTGTTAAAACACAACTTCCTCAAACTCATTGTGTTATAGTGAGAGGTGGAATATTTAGTCCACTCCCACTTTAGAAACAACTCTCAGCAGAGGTATAATGTAAATAACTTGCGTGGTTGCTAATTATCACATTGAGTAATACTCTAAATACACAGTGCATCTTTAAATAAATACAACAACTAGAGGGCCTGAGAGTTCAACAATGAACCAATAATCACATCCATGTATGAGGCCACTCTGAATGCATCTCCAAACATTACATCAGCTTAAAAAAATGTTTTCCAAATGTAAGATCCACAACTTGCTGAGTAATGTTTTCCATGCAGCAGTGAAAAAAAAAAAAATCAAAGACAGCAACTTTCCAATCTCTCCTCTGAACTTTGACTGTGGGAAAACATCCGGGTTCTGACCACGTGACCACAGCCACTGTCCATGTCATGTGACTCACATGGCAGGAGGCTGCGCGTGCCAGCTTTTTTTTAATCCTCATTCAAAAAAAAAAAAAAAAAAAAAAAAAAAAGGAAAGTGAATTTTAAACCACTTATTTATATTAATAAATCAATCCAAGATGATGTCAATTATCACAAAACAAGCAACACAGACCACATTCCCTCCAGACTGCTAACATGTAGCTGCTGCTCGCTTCATCACTGCATGGCGTAAAAGTCTGCACAAGAGGGTTATTAGTGCAAGTTAACCTCGAAATGTAGAAGACATTTCTGCACAGGAAACATCCACATATCATGAGCCAAGTATGAACTTCTGAGAGACACAATGGAGTCATCTCGGTTGCCCAATCGACCTGATACAAACCACAGCTAGCAATGCAACTTTTCAGGAAGAAAAATACCAAAATGGGGGTTTGTGTTACAACAGTGTTAAAAGATCACCACAAAAGATGTTTAAAAGCAATACATCTGTGATAGAAGGTGGAGTTTATGCATCAAAATACTCCATACTGCTTTGATCCTTTAAGTCACAATCAACTTTATTGATTTTACCGTTTCCTCAACGCTAAAACAAGCTAAATGTGTGTCAACAACATTCCACAAACTTTTGCTTAAAGCGCCCCATTAGCTCTCTTCGCTGTGGCGTTATAGCCCACTAGTCTTTTTGCAGTTCGTGTCAGTTAGCCAAAAACATAAGAGGCAGCTTAGCTTAGCGTGAACACCGACGTTATTAGCTCCGTTCAGACATACTGTGCTCATGAAGAGGTCGTCCACTTCGTCGTCGTCTTCGTCACTGTCTCGGCCTCCGACTTCTTCCAGCACATCTTGGTCCTCTGAGTCGGGGAAAGGAGGGGGACTGCGCTCCGAGCTGGTCGCCATCTTCAATCTTATTATAAAAAACACACACTCACACGCGCGCACACACACACGCGGGGAGGCAACAGTCAACTGATCGTTGCTCGCTGCTTGCACAGACGGTCAGATGCGTCTCGCGTGAAGCTAAAGCTCTGCAGGTCACCTGAAGATCGGAGCTACAACTTAGCGCGAGCAGAGTGAGTGAGTGAGTGTGGAGCTCCAGGACGTGCAAACCGCCGCTGTCTTTTTTTTCTCCTTTCTCCCTCCTCCCTCCTTCCTCCTTTACTTCCTGGTTAGCTTCACTGGTAGCTATAGCAGTCACGAGACAGATGCAACAGTATAACATGGACCTGGACAGCGGTTGTGGTTTCAATATGTGCCCATATTAGAGACGCCCTGGGGTGGTGATGTTTCGTCACGTGCATAACGAAGACGCGGAGGCACGAGAGCCGCTTCTCACAGGTGTGACCTACCTGGAGCCTAACGAGAGGGACTTGGATGAAGGTAAGAGTTTGTTGATACTGTGAGTTTAACTCGGTCTTGACAACACATCACTCAGTAGTTCTCACCTTATTTAGAGGTAATGATGTATTGTTCTTTTCTAAACATTATCCACGCAGAAAAAGAAAAAAAACATGCTTTGTAGTGCATGACACAAAATATCCCTCAGAAAACACAAGTACATTTACACAACTATAACTGCTACTTCAGTATAATTTTGAGGAACTTGTACTTAACTGAGAGCATTTCCATTTAATACTACTTGCTACTATTATATTAGATTCCACAACATTTCTATGACAACTTTACTGACTATATACTATATAAATAGGTAGCCTACATTTACTCAAGTACTGTTCTTGAGTACACATTTGAGGAACTTGTACTTTACTCGAGTATTTCCATTTAATGCTACTTTCTACTATTACTACTTAATTTCAGAGGGAAATATTGCACTATATTTTACTGCACTACATTTATTTAACAGCTAGTTACTCTTCATGATTCAGATTTTATACAAACAAAACATATAAAAGATTATAAATTACAATGCATACAGATAGTTATGGGTATTTTTCCACCATTTTCTTATTCTTACAGAGCAAACCATCAGTTATTGGGCAAATAATCTGCAGAGGAATTGATAATACAATAACTGTTAATTGCAGCCCGCCTTAGATTCCTCTGCCAGTGAAATATTGGCATTTCTGCTTGAAACAAAAATGATGAACCAATTATCAAAATAGTAGCTATTAGTTGTTGATTAACATTCTGTCAATTAACGAATCAATTAATCTACTGCGCGACATGAGCCCTTGAAACCAACCAGCACTCAAATACTTCCTGGCTCAGGTTTTTTTTTGTAGTTTTCAGTAATTTGGTGGAAAAACAAATTATTCTAAAAAAAAAAAACAACTTTATCTGTAGTGACAGTTTCTTCTACATGACCTCATGTTGAGGTGTTGAGTGCTTTCATTAGATAATAAGACCAACCTCTAAATGTGTGGTGTGATATGTACCAACAACAAAATAACATCTTAAATATCCCTTTTCATCTGGGACCTCTGTTCCCTTTAATCTGTTTGTGTGTGTGGGGTTTTTTTTGCTGCTTTTTAGGAGAAATCATTTTCAACAGGAGCACGTCAAACATCACATGTGATGCTGGCGGGAGCGCAGAAAGAAGATTAACATATGAGGAAGCAGTCGAGGAAGCAGGTTTGATGGTTTTGTTGTTACCTTTGGCTGTGACTTTTGTGTTGTTATTGCTGTTTTGAGGGGGGGCATGGTGAATCAGTTTTGAGGATTTAGATATGTCGTTTGAAGAGGATTACATCTTTCTAACCTAAAGTGTCTGTTGACCGTCATGAGCAGGGCAGCTGCACTACACCACTGTTGAATGTGTATCAGAAACAAGCTCGTAAAGAGGTCAGGTGATTGTTTAATGGATAACTTCTCTCTTTGTTCTGCTTCTGTCTCTCAGGGTTTGGAGCGTTCCACTGGCTGCTGTTGGTGGTGTGCGGTTGGGCCAATGCCAGCGATGCCGTGGAGATCCTCTGCGTGTCTTTTCTGCTGCCAACAGCGCGCTGCGACCTGCTGCTGAGCTCTTCAGACATGGGCCTGCTCACTGCCAGCATATTCCTCGGTGATTCACAATCATTTAATTGAACGGAGCTGAGGTCGATCGACAGAGAAATTAATTGGCAATCGTTACGATGATCGACTATCGTTCCAGTTTTTTCTCTTCAGCAAAAATGCTAATTATTCTCTGGTTTTCGCTTCTCAGATGAGAGGTTTTGCTGTTTTTCTTTGTCATGTATGACAAGGTTTTAATATTTTTGGGGTTTTAGACTGTTTGCCGGACAAAACAAGCACATTAAAGACATCACCATAGGCTCTCAGAAACTGTGAATGGCTCTTTTTCACTGTTATTATTATTACATATTTTAGCATTTTATAGACTAAACAATTAATCAAGAAAATTAGCAACAGATTGGTCGATAATGAAAATAATGGTTTGTTGGGACAGCAGAGAAGAGGTAAAGCTAGATAATAACAATTAACACAAAATGGACATTAAAATATAGGTGGATTTTTGTTGTTTGTCTGAACTAATTAAAAACCTAATGTTTGGTGACAACAAACACGATGCTGCAGTGTAGAAGGGTTAAAACTAGATTTTAGAAATGTTGCCAACATTTGTATAAAACAAAAAGGAGCCTAAATTGTTCAGTCTAGTTGTAAAATCAACACTAAAGGAAAATAAGACTAGAGTTGAGTCTGGCACAGCAATGCTTTGAGCTGAATACTGATGTTTGCATGTTATTGTCTTACTTCCTGTTTTCTAGGAATGATGGTGGGGGGCTACACGTGGGGATACCTGGCGGACCAGAGGGGGCGGCGCAGGGTCCTGGTCGTGTCCCTGACAGTTAACGGGGTGTTTGGAGGTCTGGCCAGCGTGGCTCCGTGGTTCTGGCTCTTCCTGCTGCTGCGGTTCATCAGCGGCATCGGGTGAGCACATGATTTGAATACGATTTACATTTTTTTTAAATTCTGGAGTTACTTAGCTGACGGACAAGCGGTGAATGCAGTATGTTTTTCTATGTATTTCCATGCTTGGAGAGATCACACTGCAGCAACAGGTCTCAGTTTGTATGCTTACAGAACCGACATGTTCCTTCATGAAGGACTTTTAGGGAAAACTACGGTCTCAATTTAGCTGTGCCCTCATTTGACCAACCACTGTTTGACATCCAAAATGAGTTAACGGTAGCGAATAAGCACACAAGAACATCTTTTTTTGTTTACCTCTGCAGGGTCGGCGGGTCGATCCCTGTTGTCTTCTCGTACTTCTCAGAGTTCATGCCCCGACTGAGGAGAGGTGCAATGATCAGCGCTCTGGCCACCTTCTGGATGACAGGAAACATCCTGGCTGCAGGTGGGAGAATATAGCAATAAAACAATGTCGGTGTTGTGGGATCAAAAACACAATTTCACCAAAGTTGTAAGCACAAGTGCTGACAAACCTTAGTCACATGCTAAAACGAGGTGTGTATTATTTTGCACATTAGCTTGCTGGTGTAATCAATCGGCCTTTTAATGACAGACGTTTTGACGTTCTTACAGTAGCAGGTTTTTTTATTTTATTTTTTATTTTATTTGCAAAATTTAGAAAAATACACGAACATAACAGAGATAAATAATATCCCAGTGCAGTAAGAGGCAGACAACCCACTGGGCTTAATTGAAGCTCCACCTAAATGTTAAAATTTCACAATATTATGGATAACACTAAATATATTATATGATTGTATTTTCCATTTTCTCAGAGAAGGTTTTGTTTCATTGATCTTTCTACAAAACTGAAACATTCTAGTGGAGTTTTCTGTCCGTATTATATCACTGAACTGGCGAGTTATGTTCATGTTAGTCATGTAAGTATGAACACCACATCATTTTAACCAAAATATCAGAGCAGTTATTTTGTTAGCATTTAACAACAACATAGTAGCTTAAATGTTATAGAGTCCATATCTGAAAAGCAAAAACAATGCCTCAAAAATAAGATGTTTTGATATATTATATGTATATTAATTTGTCATTTTGCCTTTATTTGATAGCGGCTGTGGAGATGCAGACAGGAAATACAGACACAGAGGGTTGTGAAGGGCTACAAAGCTCCAGAACCGGGCACATTGCAGTCGTACAGTCCAAGTCTTAACCACTAGAAACTACAAACACGTCGACAAATTGTAATTCAGTCTCGGCTCGTAGTCGTAGCCAAAAATTAATTATCTGGTGGCTGAAATCCCAAATACCACGTTTAGTCAAATTGTTCTCACCTTAAAAGCCTTAATCGTATTTATACATCCTTCAAACACAAAGATTTTGACGTATAAACTTTAGGGTGAAAGCAGGAACTTCCTTGGCAGGTGCTTTCAAAATAAGACAACGTAGTTCAGAGTGACTGTCTTTTGTCTGCAGGTCTGGCCTGGTTGGTGATCCCAAGAACCTGGGCACATTTCTCACTGGGGACCCTGGACTTCCAGAGCTGGAGACTGTTTGTGGTGCTCTGCTCTGTTCCCAGCCTCACCTCAGCCCTCCTCTTCCGGCTGCTCATGCCCGAGAGCCCCAAGTTCCTCATGGAGGTATTTAAAGGCCCGGACTAGTTCAGGTGTTTGCAGCCTGCTGTTTTATTTTGTTTGTTTTTCTTCCGAGCTGTCTTTGAGATTTTGGTCCCGTCTTTGCTAGGCGGGCCGGGAAAAAGAGGCGATCCGCGTCTTCCAAGTGATGTTTAAGCTGAACATGAGGGGAAAAGGAAAGGATTTCCCGGTATGAACTGAGTGATGTTCTCATACTCATCATCACTGTTTAGTGGACACATTTAACATGTGATGTACATATTTGTAGCATAGGATAGAGATTTAAATGATGGAAAACAGGAATAGTGCAAAAGAGGAAATCAAAAGGGAAGTGATATTTGTGATGAAAGTACATTGTGTGTTTGTTTTTTTTATAGTTCTCTAAACATTTCCTTCATTCAACTCTTAAGTGTATTGATTCTCGTCTTGAACTCTTTTGAAGGAATTTGGTCTATGCATCAGCTCCAAGCAAAGAGGGGAACAGGAAGAGACCAGAACCCGGGGCTCACGGAGAGAGAGACTGGCCTGTATTGTGAAGAAGGTAACGTCACAAACTCGACATCCACAGAGATGATTGTAGAGGTTGTCTGAGTCTGAGGACCGCTGCAGAACTGTGTAAAAGCACATTTTTCAAATTCTGCTGTATATATTGAAGGGTGAGGCCCGTCATCTACATCTTCGTAGACCCACAGGGACCATCACTCTTCAATATGTGTCTGTGTAGGACCTGAAGCAGCATGGTTGTATATACTTCTATGCAAGTTTACTGTGTGGTTATTGGATTTGACACATTTATTGAAGAATATTCAACGTTTCAGCACAAACAAGTTAACAGTAAGACTGGACTTTACGAGCCCCTGTGGGCATTCTGCCCTGTTGGCAATAATTCTTATTCCTTTTATTTATAATTAGTATATTTCCTTGATTATTGTATAAAATGTAACGTCATTGTCATTTGTATATAATGTCTTTGGTTTGACTTGCAGGTCTTGATGCCGATTAAACAGATGTTTAATGGGCCGCTCAAATCCAGGAGCATCGCTATGCTCATCGTCTTCTACTGCATCTCCTTCGGGTGAGAAACCATCTGCACCTCTACATGTAGACTGAAGAGCATCTGCAGTGAAACTGGAGCTCTCCTTTATATCTGTGTTGTCAGAATTGTCTACAAATTCAGTGTCTTTCAACACTGCTGATGTGATATATCTACAGCAGGCAGCTCTGCAGCTCTAAATGACAGTGAGAGATAACCGCTGTGAATAGTTTATCTTCAACAACCAGAAATCGTGATACTGCAAAAACAAGTTCATCTTAACAACTTCTGTGACTTTTTATCATGTTACTGTAGTCTCGGTGTAGTGCATGTATTATAGTTTCACATTAAAAACTGTCTGTACTGTACCATTTGTTATCAAAAAGCTAAAATCTCTTTTTTAACATGTGTGTGTGTGTGTGTGTGTGTGTATAGTTACTACGGACTATGGATGTGGTTCCCGGAGCTGTTTGAAAGAATGGAGAACGGCGGCTCGCCCTGCGCCAACATGTCGCTCCCGTCTTCACTCAACAACCAAAGCTGCTGCCCGGTCAAGACGGCAGGTGTGTATCTGGGATGACAAAGAAGAACGGGACGTGCAGCACAAGTTTATAGCTCAGCCACAGAAGAAAATATGGAGTTTGCGAATGAGGTCAAATCATCATTAGTGCAATTACATTACATCTCATGAAAGTACTGCCAAAGAGTTAGACGAGGTATTGATATTATTTAGAGAGGCGTTTAAAACAAAAGTAACACAAGGGAGGAAAGAAATGAACTGAGATAAATTGAATTGCTCAGGGTGTGTTTAGACTTGCAGACAAATTACTTTGTTACTTTGCATTTGAAATGCATCCCTGACTGTTTACAGGCAAAGATCACCAGATCAGACTCATCCCCAAAGACCTTTTTTTGTTTGAGTATATTGAGTTCTCTGTGAATTGGAGGCTCTAGATTTGAATGTGTCCGTGTTTTTGTTGACCTGCATTAGAACGCATTTGTAAAGCTTTAATTTATGGCTCTGTCATATTTACATAGTTATTTCCAGGAGAATTACAGACCTCTAAAATAAAGCATTACCCATTGTGTTCCACCCAACTGCATGCTGGGATAAACTCCAGTGACCAAGAAACAGAATAATCTGGAATAGAAAAGCGATGAATGGATGTTTTTGTATTTTACCTTCCTGTACCTTCCTCACCTGACAGTGTATATGGAGGGCTTCATCATTGCTGCATCAAACCTACCGGGAAACATCTTCACCATTGTCATGATAGACAGACTAGGAGGAAAGGCTCTACTGTGTGAGTCTCAGTATTTTTGATCACTATTTTATCAACATTTATGCACTTCTACCACAAGATCATGCTGCTGAGAAATCTCCATCCACATAACCAGCTATCTTTGAATCCTTGAGTGTCCCTGAATCTCTCCACCTTCCTTGTTGTGTCTCCAGCCTGCAGCCTGCTGCTGTCCAGTCTGAGCATCTATCTCATCTATGTGGTCCAGACCAAAATTCAGAGTCTGGTCCTGTCCTGCATCTTCAGCGGCGTGTCTGTGATCAGCTGGAACGCCCTGGACGTGCTGGGAACGGAGCTCTACCCGACCCAGCTACGGTAACGTTTCTTAAAGCTTAAGTTCAGCAAAGTGCATAACAGTGGCTTAAGCATGGCGGTTTAGATTTCTCTGTCCTGGTGCGTTTCAGGTCCTCTGCTCTCGGTTTCTTCACCGGCGTGGGCCGAGTGGCGGCCATCATGGGTAACGTGGCCTTTGGCCGGTTGATGGACACAAACTGTGCCGTGCCGGTCCTGCTGGTGTCGTTTCTGCTGCTGACCGGAGGCCTGGTGGCTCTTGTGCTTCCACAAACCAGGCAGACTGAGCTCACTTGATCCCTTTCGGATCTACATGACATTATTTTTTTTCCGTACGGATTATGGAGAATGATTTGAGTAAATAACACAAGACACATGAGAATGTATCTATTTTTTTTATTTATTTGTATAATAAATAAACTTGTAATACTTCAGGACCACATTTCACAACCACACACCGTTTGAATAAAACACTTTGGATATTTGAAAGCAGATGCAGATGTTTAAAAAATAAATAAATAAATAAATAATATCGCAAGACATGAATTAAATTATTTTATCCAACAGTTTCTGTGGAAGCATTCTCTTTTTCAGTGGATCTTTACATTAGAAGTATAATTTCTTACTCTTTACATTCTTCATCATGACTGTGATGCAGTAACTACAAGTATCAGGTCTGAGTGGTTTAACGGTAAACAACGCAACAGGTACAACAAAAAAAAAAAAAAGGCCGAAATAAAAAGGTCCACTGCTGGTGACGCTCAGCTTTCTATGACCAGGGCTGAAGTTAGACCGTAACGTACTCCTTTGGTAAAACACATTCTCCAACAGTAAAACAATAAATAAATACACCGATATTGTGTTAAAAGATAAGAAACATGCAGCCGCTGGACACATGAGGGTCCACGACAACAAAAAAGAAGCCACATGACCTCTGACCTGAAAACAAAACAGAAGGCATGAAAACGGTCTCGCCTGACAAATGACATCAAGGTGAGACTTAACTTGAAAGTGTCCCACGTGATCATGAGCACCATTATAATCTCTAGGTCTTACAATTCATCCTCATGAACTAAACACTCGCCATCACACAGTCGGGTGGAAATCAGATTTTAGTTTTCATCTGACTGAGTTAGCTGAAGCTCGAGAATTTGGTGACTAATGTTAAACAGATTTGTTTCAGTAACTACATTAAAACGACCTTTAGATCAGAAATTTGTTCTCGGGCAAATTTATGAATTTATAATTGCATGCAAGACTTAAATCTTTGTATCTCGTAGCAGTCGCCCAATACAAGAGGTTTTCTACTTATTGTTGTCCAGTGTTTTATTATAATGCACTTCATGATGTCAAGTCAAGTGTCATTTTGAGTCATTTTAAAAACAGCAAATTAAATGTTCAGTGTCATCTCTCTCTCTCTCGCACACTCACACACCTTATAGTACTGTATTACATGTTGCAATACATACAATAACATTTATAAATCTTCAGTTTCTATAAATGCCCCACTTATTGTAATGAACATGTGCACTATGACCGAGGCAGATGCTGGAAATGGCAGAAATTGAGATGAAGATCCGTCTTTATTCCCAGGAGCAGTTTTCAACTAACAAAGTTTATTGTGCCAAATTGGAAAGACTCAGTTACCGGTAGTTGTTGTCTCAGTGGAGCCTTCATGCTTCAAATAACTGGACAGGAATAGATTATGCCGATAGTCTGTTTCATTGTGGTGACGTGTTTAGGGGGAATTTATTCCTACAGTATATAAAACATTACTCATGTTATTTAAATTAGTCTGATTACTAATAACTTAAGCTCAAACTGGTGGGACAGATGTGTGAATGCACTGTTTAAAGAATTAGAATTACTTACTTGGGGCACCTTATTTCTAAATAAAATAAACTTCATGGGTGAAACAAGATTTAAAGAAAAAAATTTAATTAAGACTTCCTTTTGTTTTGGCGAAAGAAATCCTAAAACACGATTCACTAACTTTATGTTTCAGGAACGTCAAGCTGCATCTCATGGCCTTCCTCAGCAGATGGAATTGTTATCACATGACCCAAGTATGTAAGTGAGATCACATTATTACAGGGGGTCATACTTTGGGGTCTATCATTGGATGTGAAAGGCCTCCTTTATCGTCCTCGAGGATTGGGATCGTCTCACTGATTCCCAGAGTCAAAACCAAACGGCATTCATTCACTTTTATGCACAAAACTCCCAGAAAACTTGAGGTCTGATCCAACTCTACAAACTTCTTTTACTTCAAGGCTTAAAACATAAAACTGTCTTTTATTAAATTTGAGACTATTGATCTGATCTTGAACTGCAGCTTTTATTGTCCTGTTTAATCTGTTTTATTTATTGTATCTTATTCCCACAAGTCCTCCAACCTAAACGATTATTTGTTCCTACGACCCACAGGAGCTTTTCCTAAATTATAGAGATCAACCAGTCATGCCGAAATGTAACGGTCGCAATTTTCAACACGTGGTTAATGTTGTGAACTGTCTCAATTTGGTTAGGTTTAGGCAGCAAAACGACTTGGTTAGGTTTCGGAAAAGATTGTGGTTTGGGATGAAATACGCACGTTTGTTAAGTGACTCATGTTGCGTATATAAGTTGACATACGATACGTGACGTACCAGAAAGGGTTACTGTAAACAAAACCCTGATCTTTTACTAAACCTCACCAAGTAGGTTTGTTGCTTAAACCCAAGGAGATTTCTTTTTCTTTACACTACGTCACCCGACTTCCTCCTGTCATACTTACTACAGCCACTAGAGGGCGCTTAACAATAAATGTAAATATGGTCGTAATAAGCTGCTGTCTCTTATTTTTATCTTCCATTTTTCTATTCTACTCGACTTATTTTGTGTGTATTTTTCCATTTGTCTTATGTTTCTTTTATCTCTTGTCCTCATATCTTTTTATGTCTTTTGTTAATCACTTTGAATTGCAAATAAACTCGCCTTTCCTTCATTCAGTCACTGCATCCGCTGAGAGGAAGACCACAAGATGTGGTTGAAAGCTTAGAAAACATCGAGTAAGCCGACCTTGTGTTTTGCTCACCTCTTGTCCTGTTATTCAGCGAGCAAATTCTGCTCAATTATTTCACACGAGATGAGTTGATGCGGGATCATTTTCATTTTAAGTGGATTTAAGGTTTAGAAGATGCACAAACCTCTTTTTTTTGTTGACTCAGAAATTGGAGTCAAATAAATCCAATTGGCTCATGGAAGGAAAATAAGTTGCAAAATAAGTATTTTTGGATAACGTCATGTAAGAAACAATGGAGAAAGGGATTTCATATCAGGTCATGTCTGATTGTCGTAAACATTGCGTACAGCTGTGGCATTCAGGGAATATAGGAGTCATTTCTAAAAGTATAGGGCTCTTTAACAAAACAACAAACTGGAGTTCTGGAAACGTCCTCGCTGACGCTGCTGCTAACAGGAGAACGGAGGAGATGCTACACGACGATATGCGAGAGGGGAGTTAAGGTGAGGGGGCAGAGGGAGAAAGCTCACGCGTCACTGCGTCAGAGCCAGGTGGATGTCCTTTACCAGCATCGTGCCGATCACCATTTTCTCACAGTTGACCGTCAGCTGGGCGTCTCCTTCCTCTTTGGTCGCCACGGTGGCCAACACCAGGCTGCCGCTGGTCACTGTCCGGCCCGCGAACCTGTGGACAGGATGACCAGGAGGAGGGACAGGAGGACTGAGGTCAAAGCAGCAAAGATTGGAAGTAAAGATGAAGCCACAGAATAAGGGAGGGACACACGTGAGCATCAATCAGCAGGTTTGTCAACAATTATGCACAAAAAGGAACTTTTAAACATCTCCGCATAACGCTGTGAAGAAATATGCTTGGACACATTACACATACAAGCTTGTACTTGACTTGTGTGAACATAAACAGGATCTCAGCTTCTATCACAGACAGCATACAGCCCTCTTTCTATATCATCATTTACACTTGAGATCAACGCCATCACAGGAGATTTAGGAGGACGTTTCCTGATGACATTCATTCTAGTCGTCTCACCTGCAATCTCTATCTGACCCACAGGGGACTCTGCTGAGGTTGGCGGCGGTGGTCACCCTCTGGACGATGGCGTGTTCGTTCCGACACTTTGCGTCCAGGGTTAGCTTCTCCGTGATCTCGTTCATACCCATCAGCTGACCTGTAGAGGAATGAGCGGAGCACTGGTCAAACTGGGAAAGCTTTAAAGTTGTAGCTGCCGTCTATTTAACATCTACCAGTAGCATAAAGTGCAAAGCAGTTATTAATAACAAGGTGCTGCTCGTACAGTATCAGTGTGGGGACTCAGTACAGTGCTGCTTTACATATGAAGTCAAACTAGATCTGTTATTTAATGATATTTGCCAGCTACAGACATATACAGTATATGGATACTGTATATAGGGCGCACAACGGTGATTTGATGCAAGACTCAATACATCAATGAGTACAAAATGCTACTGGAACTTAAACTGGAATGGTCTGGTGCTTCCCACTGAAGGATTCTTGGTGACTTCAAAGCAATACAAGTGGTTCAATGTAGTTTGAAAGTAAGACATTTTGTACCAAAGCATTTACATTAACATTATTTGCATTGATTTCGGAGATTTGCAGGTCAAAAGACGTTGGTTTGAAAACTTGATTATATACAGTAAATTTTGTTTCAACAGCGTTTGAATGGTGTGTCGGTGTGAAGCAAGTCCCAACTAGTGCTGAAACAATAACTCTTCATCAACAACATAAGTAACTGACTTACCATTTCAGTTACTTAGAAACAAAAACGGCAAACATTTGCTGGTTCCAGCTTCTTAAATAAAGGAATTTGATCGTTTTTTTAATTGCTTGAAATTGTAATATATTATTCGTAATGTAGAGATCACCAGTGCTTCCTAATTTAAGGTTTATGACCCATCACAAGATCAATAAACAGGGAAGGAGAGCAGAAATACACAATATCACTACACAAAATAATCATTATTTTTCTGCCTTTTTTGTGACTTAAATCTAGGTTTATTGCTAATGAATTACTATGTATTTTATTTATACATATCCAGGCCCTTGGCAAAGTATTCAGATAAAACACTTCCTTGAATCCTGAGTCAAATGTTGAAAAACACTCAAACACTAAACAAACAATTCATTCAGCAGATTAATCACTGATGAGAATATTAGTTTGTTCCACGTTGAAATCTAGTAATTAAAACAAAGACGTCTAAAAAAAATTAACTTCTTCAACCAAATATAGCCTGGTTTTAAACATTAAGACGTCCGTCGACCTGCAAATCACAAAACAATCCGTGCTTACGAGGTTTGAATGTACAATAAACATTGTGACATTGCAACACTTCAGATTCCCAACAGGGTCAGAGGTCATCAGCAGCTTCAAAGCTCAGGAAACAGAAATATGAACGAGCCGGATGTCACTTTTTTTGTTCACACGGTGCTTGAAGAGTGATCGGGATCAGTGGATGAGCATTTCCAGTCATTCCCGGTGTAGCAGAGTGTGAGCGGCCTTTAATAAGATGCAGGTTAGTACGGGTCAGTCTGTCTGCAGCTGCTGGAGATGCAATTAAGTGTTGATTACCAAGGCAGGAGGGGAATCAGCCGGAGGCATTAGAGGGAGGAGGGGGAGGAGTGGGGTGGTCTGTGTGAGGTTGGCTAAAAAGGCAGGTGGGCACACAGATGGCTGGGAAAAACAAATCTATCAACTTACCTAGTAATAGCTTCTCTATGGGGGACAGTGCGAAGAGGGAGGAACCGTGGATATGACACATGTTTAAAGAGTCACTACGGGTTTGTTAGAGCTCAAAACTCGCTCAGTGTTAGTCAGGAAGGGAAATGGACACCAAACAACAGAAACATACTGATAACCGTTGTCTGTAGCTGCTTACCAAACACTTAAGACTTGGCTGTATTTCAAAAACCTGGCTGGGGTATTTCAAGTGGTCAGTAAACACTTAGGATCTGTCCCAATACCAATACCCACACTCGCAGTGTTTAGCACAGTGATAGACGAGTGTGTCCCATGTCAGAAATATACCAACACACAGTACACTTTAAAAAAAAAATACCGCTTCAAACAAGTATTCAGCGCGAAATGTATCCGGTCTACTGCGAAACATCAGTTAAGATGTTGGTGGTAGCACCACGAGAAGTTGTTTTTGTGACCGACAACAGCAAACAAATAAAACCAATAACAGAGCTCGACTGAGTCTCATCATCATCATCGTTGAAGCGTGTTCCAGTGAAGCATGACAAACCTCAACAGGACGTGATTACCGGGAATATCTCACACGAGTAGAAACTTGATAACTCACAAATATAAAAGTGAGGGTATTGAGATGGACCCTTAGTTTCCTGCACTGATGAAACTATTGTGCAGCAAACTGTTTGACATGAAGAAACATACAACAGTGCAATACTGTGATTATTCATGTGGCTATGTAATGTAACTGTTGTGTCTATAATGGGACAATGACAAAAGAATACAAAATAAAAAAAACGTGACTAAATGCAAACTAAACTCTCACCTGTGTAATTACAGGTGTTGCATTTATTTCAAGGTGATAAAAGTTATTTTCTAAGTGATGAAACTTTTGCACTTGACATAAAATGTGTAAAATCTGAGAGTATAGGGCCAGAAATATTAAAATAAATGCTGATGAAGAGACAATTATGCTGATTTTATTTTCTCCTTCATACTTTTTTTCCCATAATCGACCACATTACAGTCTTTTATCAATGTTCCTATAGTTTATATTCAGTTATTGAATTTGTAAATCAGACTGTCACAAGGCACAGCAGGTTTTTCTTCTCTTTCTCGAGCGTCTATTTGAACCTGACAAATGTTTTTACTGACACAAAACATGACAGTCCAACGCCTGTTTAGCAAGAACAGCATATGAATCTCTTCAATATGATCTCAGAATAATAATCTGTGTGATGAGTGATGGAAAGGAACTAATGAACATATTTGGAATAGCTGCAAAACCCTCAAATAAAAGACTAGACTTCAAATGGCGCTGAAATAAACTGCAGAGTAATTCACCTTTACAAAAAGACCAAATCAATATATCATCAAATATAAAACACTGGTCTAAGTGGACTGCATATATGTGATTATAAGATATTGCCCTTGATTTATAATGCCCATGTCAACTGGTTATTTTTGCTTGAAAATAAAGTTGTTCAAATAAAAATGAAATATAAAATCACTTGTCTACCCTCCTCCACACAGTACAGACATACCAACTCCCCCGTAAAGTCACAGTGTTTTTTATATTCTATATTCATTAATAGAGTACTAGAATTTCCTTTTATCGCTCACCTTGCTCCTTTTTAAACTCATTTTCTGTCAGGAAGACGGGCCTCATCAGCTCCCCGACCGGCGGCTGAATCGACACGAAGAATTTCCTGGTGTGAGTGCTGAAAATGGAGAGACGCGTGAAAAGGAATTGTTATCATATTTCTAAAAAGGACAGAGGGTTGTCTGAACTTATGTGATCTAAACATCACCGTTAACTTGTTGTCTCCTCAGTGCTGCACACAAACCATGGTAGCAAACCCAGCAGCATAAGCTCACCGTCTGTTTTCACACAGTACTATGAGAGGACTGCAGGGTGTTGAAACGCAGGAAGTCTACACATTAAAACACAGAATCCATCTCACCACAGCTGGAAGTTTGCCGCTTGCGTTGAGTCACAGAAATCGATGCCCATCACAGCTGTAGCCGTCTCACCTGCTGGCAGCAGCTCTGCCAACGTGCAGGAACAAAAAGACAGCAGTGTTGACACACACACGAATAAAACAACACAAACCGCCAGTCAGCAACTTTGATCTGAGATTAAACGTGTGTCCGCCACTGCAGCACGGATTCTAAACGATGTGAATGCTGGTGAAACAGCTTAGAACATGAAAAAATGTTTATTTATCTTTAACGAGAGAATTTATCTTATTTACTTTTATTACAAAGCTGCAGTTTTATGGACCTCCTTTGGCAAACATATTGCATTATTTCCTTTTTATGCTTTTATTCTTCTATAGTAACTACAAAGACATTGTATACCATGAGAAGTTGCCGTCCCCGTCGGGCCCCACCCGCCCGTCACTCACCGATCTCTGGAAACTCTTTGACCCTCATCCCGGACTGCAGCTTCACGTCCTCCATGTGCAGGTTCTTGGTTTCCGAGGTGGCATTGTTGGTGAACTGCACCTGCACGGCCACCATGTTGGCGTCAGGGCTGAACGGCTGTCGACTGAAGCAGTACTCCACCGACAGACCCTCCCCTCTGATCCGGTGCAGCAGCTCGTAGCTCTTCAGTGCGCTGGAGGGAGAAATGGCCTGCAGGCAGAGGAGGAGATGAAGAACGGGTTGATATAAGTTAGCCTGCAAGGTATGAGATGTAGAGACTATAGAGTTACGTCCACGCCTGCCTGAACTTACATCAGTTTTTGTCACAGAAGAAGAAAAAGAAGGACATGGGATGTACTTACTGCCGGAGAGAGAACGGCGTCAGACATAGACAGTCCCTCCAGGTCGGTCACGAGGCTGTTGGACAGGAAGGCGTTGACCGGTGTGACTTGAGGAGAGGGAGCAGGTTCGACTGGGACAAGAGACGAGAGTGTGAGATGCATTCAACGAGGATGTCCCCAAATTCAGACTGTATTCATCCATTTCTTATATTATCTCTTGTGGGTATTTGTTTCCAACAGTGATTATGAGAAACAATCACACAACACCCCCGTCCACTGAAGTGAGCGTCATTACTGTCGTATTCTCTTTGAGAGAGAGAAAAACTCACAATCATCGAGGTCGAGCAGAGACATCTCTTTCTTCTCTTTCTTGCTCTCTTTCTTGACCGGCTTAGAAGGAGGTTTAGATTCAGCTGCCTGAGAGGAGATGAAAGACAACCGACGATTACTTTGTGAAGACTAAATACAGGAATGTTCGGTCCATTAGTCAATGAGTGAATGTTATTTTAGTTGTAGATCGGGTCCTAAATTCACCTGTATTTGACATTTTAAGGTGTTTTTTTTCCAATACCTTTTTTTTCTTTTTGACTTCTGCCTCAGAATCTGAGTCTTCTGACTCCGATTGGCTGCTTTCAGACTCGCTCTCGTCGTCCTCGTCAGATTCAGACTCGGAGTCGCTCTTGCGTTGTTTACTCTTCCTCTCGTGTTTCCTCTCTTCTTCTTCACTGCTCTGCTCGCTGGAAAGGAAAGCAAACTTCAGAGATACCATTTAGGATGCTGCAGTTATTAATATCATAAGGGACGAGACAGATTCTAACTAAACTGGATCTGTGAAATGGTCTGTACAAGAAGAGAATAAAGGGACCTCCATTAACCACAGAGTGGGCTTTCTGTATGAATGAGAGCAGGTCAAAAAGTCTAAATATTTGGCACAAAATAAAATATCATACATTAAATATTAACAGAATGTGCTACCTTTCGCTTTCTTGCACTGGCTTCTTTAATTCTTTCTTAATCTTCTTCTTGTCCTTTTCCTCCTCTTCCTCCTCCTCCTCCTCCTCCTCAGACTCGGAGCCTTCCTCACTCTCTTCGCTCTCCGATCCAGAGCCGCTCTCCCCGATGCCGCTGCCGATCTCCGAGCCGCTGGCAGAGTCCGACTCTGAAAGAGAGAGAAGATCGGTATCAGAGGGCGAGCAGGTCAGTTATTTTACACAGAACACAGTGAAGACTACCTGGTAATAGTACACAGCATATCCAGTGACATTTGTACTGTGTAGTATTGGGCAAGTTACAAGATTTTTGGTCTCTTAGGTGCACACACAACAATGCGACGAAAAATATATTGTTTTAGAATAAGAATTTTTAAGTGATCTTGTTAATCTTTACAAAGACTGGACAACTTGTCAGATGGAAAATGACATCCAGACTTTTGTCTCTTATTCCTCGTTGTTTCAATTTGAATGTGTCACACCAGAGAATTATGGAACAGATTTAGAACATTACTGAGCCTTTTAAAAAATTAAACTACTGTATATACACTTATGACCATTTTTATATTAAGACTTTTCATAGGATTTGTTGACAATAAGAAGAACATTGAATAATAAGATGTCTCCCTAAAGCAAACTCCATTCACGTCGGCTTGCAGAAAAACTCTCATGCTCACACACAAACACATCTACTGGACTCATGAGACTAAAGGATGCGATGGCACGGACACAGCCCGTTTGAGATACCACTGTCAGCTGACTCCGTCGGCCCGGACTCGCCCTCCGAATCAGAGTAGAACGGCTTCTCCACCTTCTTCTCCTTCCTCTTCTCCCGGCTGCTGCATTTGGTCCATTCGGGCACCTGGAAGAGGAAGTTGAGAACAGTAAGTCGTCGGCTCCGCCTCGCTGACCAACCTCCTCGGACAGAAGCAGAGAGAGACGTGGGCAGATTACAGTAGCGTGGCCATGAATGCCTCTGCCTGGGTGCAGCCAAATGAAGCCAGCCATCAGATGTGCTTTTAGACATTCTGACAGTCGGAGGAGAAATTCGGTGCAGACACCAATGTATTTTTGTGCACAGATAGCACCAGATGATGCCTTCATGACCAGTTGCAGAAATGGTTTTTCTTTTAAATACAGGGAGCAGTTCCATTAAGAGAAGTGATGTCTTTGAGGAGCGGTGCCTATCCTCCTACACAAGAAAAAAAAAAGAAATTGATCCGTCTCGCTCTTTCTGTGACCAGACTCATTAACTGGAAACATCAGCTAATGAGTGTGGACATCCCAAGACCCCATTTAAAACCCACCAGGCTGCTAATGAATCTCGACGGGTCAGAGGACAGCACGTCCTGCTAAAAGAATCACTTCTTTAATGGTAGAGACCGAGGAAGAGGGTGCTGTGTTTCAGGTAGCTTTGGCTGAGCTAAGCACAGAACAGCAACTACGTTAGGCGAGGGTGGGGTGGGGTGGGGGTGGGGGGGGGTCAAGAAGCACTCTGGGTTTTGCCGCTATATGGGTTGAGGCTCAAGGAGGTGGGCTCTTTGCCGCCAACTAACTCACACTCGTTAATGTTGTGACTCTTTCAAGCAGCGTAAAAACCTGGTAGATGTAGAAAAGAAAAAGATTGGGATGGAGGTGAGATAAGAAAGACGAAAGGTTGTTGTTTTTAGATAAAAAGTCAGGAAAGTGAGAGAAAACAGGCAGAGGAAATGTTTCCGGATCTAAATAAGGAGACGTGTGAGAACAGTTTCTGATATCAGAGACAAAAATAAACCCCAAATTTGTGTATTTACCGCAATATCTGGCAATTAGGTAGCAAATAAAATGATTAAGGGATTTGTCTTTTTTTCCCTGTTAAAATCAATGCACTCCAATATAACTTAATTATACTGTATACACCTAAATAAAGAGAGAAAAGGTCAACATTAACATTCACTACTTACTAATACGTCAAGCAGTGACAAAGCATGATGTTGTTCTAGCATGGATTAGGATGACGAGGTGGAACGGGAGAGCTCTGGATCACATCACTCAGAATCACAACAACAACAACAACATTTGTGACACATTCACAAACTGCGTCACAAATTTCACGTGAGACCAGTGAGGTGCAGAAAAGGAAACAGTGAAGTGCAGTGAGCCACTAACTAACCAGCTGGCAAAACAATCCACTCAAGGTCCACTTACTCTCTTGTTCTGAGGTCTTTTGGATGTATCACATTTCTGCATTTAAATAGCACCTTTTATCCAAAACGCTTTACAATTTACCCCTCATTCATCTTCATCATCAACAGACGAAGATTGCCAAGTTGTCATGAAACTGTAGCGGTTAAAACTTTCTATTTTTCTGAAGGACTGTAGGACTTCTTGTCCCTGTCGGCTTAAACTTAAGTGTTAATAAGTGAGTAAGTGGACCTCAATCTCAACTGTGTAAATGCTCAGAATAATGAAATATATAAGATAATGGAAAGTTTGAACATCTGCAGATCCTTGACAACTGAGCAAATTTCATCTGCCGATGAAGACCATGATGTCGTCAAAAGCTCCAGGACAGGAAACTAAATGGACCTCGAGTTTAGAGACAACTGCAGTCAGGCTCAGCTTTCTAATCCTTTTGACTTCTTTCAGTTGCTACTTGAATTCCTCTTTACGATTTGACGTCAACTCTTATTCCACAACTTCAAAACATTAGAATTTGTGTATCTTCATGTTAATCTCTTTCCACTTCGGACAAATGCAGCCTCTTTAAATATGAATCAGCACTGAGGAGTAGAATCGTATTAATCTTATCGACTTGACCATCATCAGTTACGACATTATGACAACCAGAGAGAGAGAGAGAGAGAGAGACTATGAGAGGAAAGAGAGAGCAGTCTTCAAAGCAAACATCACCACACTCCCAAACTGAGGCGGGGGGGGGGGGCACCTCTCTCCGGCCTCCTAGCAAGCTGATCCGCCCCTCGCCGGTGGTTATGACTTCCTCTGTCTGTGGAGATGCATAATGTGCAGAGGGAGAGCAGCGGATGTAATGGGACACTCACACTTTGATAATGACCCAGCGAGGCTTTTGTGTATCATACGTCATTGCTGAACATTTTTTTCAAAGCAAACCTTTTTTTTTTTTTAGGTTTTTAGACTGATTTCTAACTAACTTCCAAGCAGTCCAATCACTGTTGAGTTTGAGACTTGTGCTTGAGATCAGATGAGTTTAAGTATCCCGTAATCGAAACCACCCATCATGTTTAAATGTGTTATTGTGAATGGATTTCACGCTGCTGGATATTATCTAAAGATATTCATTATTATTATTATTTACGATTTGTAAACATGTGCGCAACAAACTTTTTTCAACAATTTATCCATCGCTTTTAGCTATTTCAAGGTTCTCATCGTTTGTGCTAACAAGTTGTTCCTGACCCAGGGTCAGGTGTTTCAGCTGATGGTGGGAGGGGACTCCTGTGCAGTATTGTTTTTTTACCAAATTACAATCTGTACTTTTCAAATAAACTAAACTAATCCACGATTTTTCCACGTACTGGATGCAACTAAAGTGGTACTCCCTGCAAGACCATGAATCATAATCACAATAGATCATCACCTCTCCAAATTTAAGTCTTTCTTTAAACTCAATGTTATCCTGATGAAATGAAACATCATTTTGCAATTGCAATGGCCTAAAATCATTTAATTTAGGTAAAACATTTAGAGATTTTTTATGAACCGCTGCCATGTTTTACCAGTTTGAAAGCAAAGATCAAAACTCCTGCGTTTCTCTAGTCAGGTGTAGAAACTGTTGATGTCGATGTGTCAGTTGACGTCAGAAGCTAATTTAATTTGATCCCTGCCAGACCACGATAAGAGAGGTTAAACTGGGTTAAGGCATTGCAATCCCAGCTGCAGCTATGAGGTCTGCAGTCAGAAAATCAATCCGATGTCGGCGCTTCTTTGAGTTCTCAAAACAGAGCTGCATTATGACATTGTTCACTGTAATGGATCAGCTATCTCAAGCAAGTTTCAACGCTCAAGAGAAACACTATCTGCCTGGCGAGCAGGGATTAAATGCTTCGGAAAACATGCTAAACTGTCTGTATGGTCGCATGTTCACCACCAGTCAAATCAACAATGCAACTCAATGCACCTGTGGCCTCATCTTGAAATCTGCATCACAAGTAAATGACAAGTTAACACCGGGTATGGAACATAAAGCTGAGAGTTAGAACAAACTACACCATAATCACAATAATGAACAAATCTATGACAACAAAATCAAGCCTTGAGGTCGCTCCCGTAGTTTAAAATCAAGTGATTTTACGAGTCTTGATTTTGACAAAGAAGTGACACGCTCAAGTTTTGATTTTATGTCTTCGTTTAGATCACACTGCTGGTTATGAACCGATGGCACGTGGAGTGGATGGGATGGAGAAGAAGAGGAGGGGACTTTGGTGAGTTGGGATGAAGCTCTAGAAATACATTCAGATCAAATTAAAGTTTGATTGTTCAGCTAAACTCATGAAGAGGATAACTTGAGGGCAATAATTAATCAATATGTTGATGCCGAATATCAACTATTAGCTGCATCTGTACAGAAATGTTGGTGTTATTTTAGGTCAACCTTCAACAGGGACTACAGGAGGTGGTTCACTGCGGTTGATACTGATTTGTCGTGAAAACTTAAGCTGTAGCTCCCAAATCGGTTCCCTTCTGTATCGCATGTGCTATTGGCTCAAACATCGGTGAGAAATCACTCGGACGGGTCGAGTGAGCTGCTGCCGAACAGAAGCAAGTGCAGCAGAGAGGGCGATAGTGAATCAGAAGTTATTGAATAGAAGCTATAACCCTCTTTCCTCCTTTATTCATTTCCCTTCATGGAGTGGGGGAGTGGTTAAGCAGCATCCTTTTGGAAATAGATGGAGGCCAAAAAGGATGCATGTTACTGATGAGCTGTTAATGCTTATGGGCTGTAAGTGGATGAAGGATGGCTAGTGAAAGAGGAATCAATGTTATATTGGAGTTAGTGCTATATTGGATGTGAGGCTCTGGTGACTCTGTTCAGCCCCTCTGAGGCACTGCTCTGGGGCGGGAGCAACCCTCGCTCCCCTCCACCTTTCTGGGCCCCTGGAGACCCCAGAGGGCCCCTGTGTCTCTGTAAGTTACTGTTCCCACTGCACGCACAGAATCCTTCACCTCCACGTTGCGCACGGAGGGATCTGGGGCGGCTTCAGGCCAGTCAGGCAACTCCTGGTAGCCGCCAGCCTTGGCATTCAGCAAGTGGGACAGTGAACCCAACTGGAAGTGGTCTCGATCTGCAAAGAATCAGAGCACCTATTTGAGTAATCTCTATTTCAGTGTTCCGGTTTATCTTAAGCATTATAGTGGGACGGTGTTAGCTCTTCAACTCTCTCCCAGCTCTAAAATGTAAATGGCTCCTGTACCTTTAAATGGAGACTCGAGGACCGGTGCAGGTTTGAGGGCGAGGAACAGTTTCTTAGCGTACTTGCTCAGAGCTCCGCTCTTCTCGGTGGGCACGATGAGCTGACGAATGAAGCGCGCCCGATCACGGATGTCGTAGTTCTGGTCGTACTTGGCCAAGTTGAGAACATACTGCGTCAACAGTTTGGTCTGCGAGACGAGTGAATATGAAGGACATGTAGGTTGAGGACAGCAGAAACATGAAAAAGCTACCATCTGATGTGTTTATGCATGGATATGTATGCTTGTGTTTGTGGAGAGGGGCTCCGTTTGTCGAAATTAAGAGACAAAGAACAGTTAAGACTGTAAAATCTTACTCTTGAAATAACAATTGTACTGGTGGCATTGCACACATTGTTGACAAGTTATATAGCCTAAATCTAAATACTACTATTGATGAAGAAACACATGTTGTTCACACCTGTTTGGAGTTGGTGAGATAGAGCTTGGCGGCCAAATTGATGATTTGTAGCTTGACAATATCCTCTTCGTTAGTGAACGACTTGGCCATCTTCCTCAGGACATCAGGGGCGATCTTAGGTACATGCTCACAGTATTCGCCAATCAGCCACAGGATACTGGCGCGCGCCATCGGCACCTGACAACAATTAAAATAAAATTAGACGGTTGTGTTTTGTTGGGATAAACCCCATTGGGCGAGCTTGTTTCAACACAGCAACCCATGGTCTTTTCAAACCAAGAACCAGCCTCGTTTCCTTTGCTGTGCCCAGAAGCTTTGACAGCTTGTGAATGAGACTCTCACCTGGATGTTGTCTGTTAGTTTCGCCATGTGCTTTATGATGTCGCTGTGCTTCTCCGGTTGCATCTGCAGCAGCTTCTTAATAACTACCACCGACTCGGCCACGACCAACTCTGTACAACAGGAGGAAGATACACGAATAATAAATCAACAGTGAAGATGTTTCTTTCATCTTCATCCTAGATTGAGTTACTAAAATTCAAATTCAGTCCTTGACTTATTTTATTTTAGACAGTTTTAGTGTTTTTATATGTTTTTTCAGCTTGTTTGGATGGGAAGTCTGTCTTGTATCTTATCTTCTGTTTCCATTTTCTTCACTGTGCTAAATTATATTTCATATTTTACAAATGCAGATGGATAGGCTTGATTAAATTATCCTACTGACCCGATATCCAAGTATGGTAGCTGCAACAATTAAGTCCTTCTAGTATATACTGTATATACTGCAACATGCATCACTTAAAAAGCATCTTAGAAACACTCACCGTCTCGGTTGGACAGCAGCTGCACCAGGCCGTTCAGACACGTATCCCTCACCTCGCCGATGTTTGTAGCACAGCGGCCGATGGCTTGAATCGTGGCAGCCACGAAGTCTTTATCCATGCTTTTAATGTAAGTCTGCAGGAAATAAATATGTACTTAGTAATGCAAAACATAAAGGAAGTTGGCGTATCCCTCCTTGCTGAAGTAGAAACCTGCACAATTTTTGTTTTGCTACTTGGACTGAGGAGACAATCCGCTCTTCATGGAGCATGTTTCACTGTACCTGAAACTCTCTGAGAATGGTGGAAATGTTCGTCTCATTGGCCAGATTGGTGAGAACCTCCAGCTGCAAAGACAAAAAAGAAAGTTTTTAAACACTGAAAACTTCATAAAGGGATATTCAGAAACATATTTACTGTAATTACTGTACAGACTTTTCATGGAATGTTGCTACGTATAGTAAGACTGCGCTTTTACTTTTAAAATATTACTTTTTCTTTCCTTGAATAAAATGGTTGATAATAGGCAAAAGATGCTACCACGCCTCAGAGTTTAGAGAATGAATCGTCTTCCATCGATTCAGCATTAACATTAAAGAGAAAAGGGACACCGGCACAATAGAACGGGATAGAAAATAACCTTCAGGACTTTAATCTGCGTTGGGTCTGTGGACCGGATGTAGAAACTCTTCAGGTACGGTTCAAACATTCCCTGTGAAACATAAAGACAGACGAAGAGGAAAGACCCTCAGTGAATCTGCAGCTCCATTTGCAGCAGTTGATTTCATATTTCACTTGCAAACATCCAAAAGAGATACCGCCAGGTGTAGCTCACCCGTCTCTTAATCGTCATGGTTGCCACGTTCTGAAGAACGACATACTGGACTTCACTAAAGGGAGAAACACATGAGAGACACATGAGATATCGATGGAGCAAAGGAGTAGAAACAGACGTATTCAATCCCCTTTTCTCTCTCGTCTACTTGCCCGGAGACACCCTGTGGCCATATTGGAGGTCCACGGCTCTTCTTCCAAATATTTGTACAAGTATTTTTTATTATCAAGAGAAAATACTTTAACTAGTTACCTGTTGGACAGGTAGCAGCAGCAGCAGCCACCTTAGCTTATAGCACAGTGAATGGCAACATGATCGAGAACAGGCTCCACTACAACCTTTTTTTCTTCCAGATAATATAATGTTTGAAATACTTCTGTTGGTTGTTTTCTGCTCTTGAGTTTTGGTTGATAAGAGATAACTTTAAATGTCCGATACAGACTCCTGGTAAACCCACACAGGTGTTTTCCACTTAGCCCGCCTAATTACACCTCTTCTCCTGGCTGTGATTGTGCACAGATTCATTTAAAAACAGCTTGTATGTCAACCTGAAGACCAATTCACTTCCGACAATCTACGCCCACTACTGACCAGTTGGTAGCCACTGGTTGTGCAGGTGAACGACAAAACAAAAAAAGGTTTTTTGTTCCCAAGTTGGGGTCAAATTGCCAGATGTCAGGCCACAAAGTTTTTATATTCTAAACATACTCGTGGAAACTATCTTCCGATTTGTAAAATTAGCCTCATGGATAGTCAACAAGCTAACGTTAGCTTAGCCGTTTGCGACTTTACGCAAACGGCTTTTAGCTGTAGATGAGTCTGACTTATGGGACATTTCTCCCAGCTACAATATCTCTCACTTGGTGAAAACAATACAGAAGTGAAAATCACAGTTGTGGCTACAAACCATACAGTCTGTGGTCCAAATCTATGGTACAAACCACAGTTTTTAATAAATGATACATTTTAAAATAAATACAGGCAATTATACATTACACTTCCATTTAGTTGATGATTTACCATTGACAGTGTGCGCTTGTGTGACGCCAGACAACTGCTGCTTCATGAAGTCGGGTTCACAAGTAGGAACTCCGACTTTGAGTGGCATTCCATTGTACTTTTTGTAGTTCCATGTTTTCTGAGATGCAGCATAACGTCAAAAGAAAATCCAATCAAGTAGCGTGCATCTTAATTCATCTTAGTCTTAGATTAAGATTACATTTTCAAAGTAATTTTTGTTACTTTTGCAATACAGATACTGAAACAGCCATTAAAAAAACCATGGCTACAGCATTTCCTGAGTCAATAAAAGCAAACAATTGATCTCCATCCGGGTATATTTGTAAATGGTCTAGTACACAAACAAGACCAATACAATTATTTAAAAAACTTAAGTGGATTTCTTGTTTAACATCTAGGCATTATTCTTCCAGGTAGTAAACCGATGTGGTTTTAATTAGAACCGAGACTCCACACCAATGATAAATTCTAATGAAACGTATCGTACGGTGCAACAGATTCCTGACAAATCCCCCACAGAGAGACGCTGCTGTTTGGTCGCTGCTGAATGATGAACCCATTACAGCACACTCGGAGCCAAAAGAGCACTTGTTCAATAAGAAGCTGACAGTTTGCAGGACTTACTGCCGAGAGGCCACCTCTGTGCCATCATCACTCCTTATGGTTTATGCCTTCATGTTTACCTCAGACTCACTGAGCTCCCCGTTTAATTTCACTTCCTGCTTCAGGGCCGCACAGATTTATTTTACTACCCTCACTTGTCATTTTTTCCTGTTCTCATTCTGTTTTCCACTTTGCTGAGTTTCATGGTCATTATGGTTCCCTCTTCTCACATTCAGCCGTGAATGTTTTGTTCCTTTTCAAGCGAGATAAACGCAGCTCTTCCTCAACCTTTGCTCAATTCTCAGCCACGAGAACGTTGTGAGACTGCTCATGCTGCTGGCTTGATTATACATTTTGGCATCCGCTGCTGCCTAAAATTTATGGTATGGCAATTAGAATAGACAATTTATTTCAAATTATAGACAGTGCAGCTCACCTGTGGCTCCTCAGGAGACGGACCAGGGCCTTGGCAATCACCCCAACCTCCACTTTAGGGGCAAGATGGAAATACAGCTGAGCCACAGCCATCACCACCTGGAACGGGCAGAGAGGGGTAAATCATCACCAGTGATACAATCTCACAAATACAGTATAACAGTTGCATGTGATATGTTTTCCATCTGGAACGTTTTGTTCTCCATTAATTTGGTATGTTGCAGTAAAATGTGTTGGATGTTCAGATGAAAACAGCCGCCTGCAACACTGATGAGAGTGGAAAAAAACAGTAAAGTTATGGGCTATAAAATGTAATTAAATGAGCTGAAAGATGCTAAAATGCTATGCAGAGGTGAGGCAAGCTGCAGAGAGCCCTCACAAATTTGTTAAAGGAATCTTCAAACCTGCAAAAACTTTCTTTTTACCACTTACCGCCAAGTTGCATAATGTATATGGCAAAATAATGGCTTTAAAAAGGCCCAAAACAACATAACTATTTAAAAACATCAGGGCAAAGAGAAACCATTTATTAATTACTTAATAGGTGCAAAACAATAAGCCGCGTAAAGTGCAATTAGAGAGCTCAATAATCGTCTGCTATACTACATGCAAGATAAGGAAACACATTTGTTGCCTGAGGAACGGGGTTAATCTTCAAACCGCCTTTAAGCAAACAGCTCGACTACAGCAGAACAAAGGCAGAACAATGTGTGACGGGGGGGATTTCATAACATCCAACATGAAACAAAACAGGCCTTCCAAGGTGACCACAGCAGCACTAATGTACATGGGATGCTTTATTCATTTCCTTTGGGAGATTGTCGCCATTTCAGAGTGAGAGGTCAGCTCTGATTAAGGGCTCAGGGGCACTTCAGCTGCTTGTTAACATGAACCAAGGTCGCGCGTTTGAAGACATCGGCTACTCGAAACAACGACCTGCAGCTAAAAGTAGAATAATGATTTGAGAGAAAACAATTCTCTGCCATGGCAACTGACTCAAGAGGAGAGTTAATGGGCTGTTATACTGATGTACGGCGTGTGTATTATTTAGAAGTGCAGCGCTCTCACAGCTGCGTTGCGGCTCTGCAGAAGCGGTTTGGTGTTTCTCAGCAGCAGCCGATGGTCTGGATCCATCACGTACGGCTTCCTCTTAGCCATGGTAGCCTCTGCCTTCTTGTCTTTCTCTTCTTCGTCCTCGTCGTCCTCATCTTCATCTGAGCCATAGAAGGTCTTGTCGTTTCCCTCCTCCAGCAGGGACTCCTGCAACGACAGTGTGATTAAGCAGAGTGTTGCAGGCAAACAGACCAAGGCAGAAATCCCTCTTGCATGGAAAGTGGTTACTGGTTGCTTAAAAAGTCACCAGATGGTAATCTGCTCTTGAATACATTTGTTAAAAAGCAGCAACATTGTGTATGAAAAGTACCATTAGACATCCTCGCTTCAGTGCAAAATGGTTCTACCAATTTGTCACCACATGCATCGGGAATTACCACAATAACAATGTTCCTCACGGTATGAAAAATGTCTCAATTTGTTGCTTATCGCTTACGAGAAAATAAGTCGACAGGTGGGCCTGAAATATTGATAACAGAAAACAAAATAACAGCAAGTGGTCAACAGTGAAAGAGGGAAACAATGATTGGACGGTTTCAATTTGTTCCTCTGCACAGCCACAATGGCAGAAAAATTAATCCGACAATATAAAACTTGAGCACCTATACACTTTTGTTGCACAGTAATCTTCCTAAATCCTGTCCCTATGCAAATGAGTTGTTGACACGAGACACGAGTGAACTCACTTCTGAGTTTTGTAAATTTGCATGGACATCCGTAACATAGGATGAGGCTACAATGGTACTACAACGGTAAATGACGATGTGCAAATAGTGGCCAAGTGCTAAATAAGTGTGTAACGCTACATTTGCATATGGTGTTGGAACAATTAACTTATTTTATTAGTTAATCCACAATTCTGCTGTATAAAAGTAAATAACTATGGTCTCCGATTTCTTTTGTTTTATTTTTACAGACTGAGCTTGAGGTAGTCACTTCTTATTCGGTCAAAGTTCGAGCTGCAACTTCAGATTTGCACATTGTGAAGTCATTCTATGTACTGTGTGCCGGTACAGCCAACTTGCGGCTCAGACAGCAGCCTTGAAGACGTCAGCCCAGAGTCGACATAGAAAGGAAAAGGGTGTGATTTATTAGACTAGATTCATTAGATCAGATTCTACTTTGTTGTCATTGCACGGAGCTCATTTGATGAGACAACAAAATGCAAAGTAACATTTAAACAGACGTGCAAAAGAAGCATTAAAGTGCGTTACAGTGTAAAGTGCATATAGATGAGGATGGATTGTGAACACGCGGTGCATTGAGCTTCACTGATTATCTGTGCTGATTGCGTTGACAGCTGCTGGATGCGAGGTACCAGCAGCAGATAACATGAGCATCTTGATTGATGTGTTGCCTCATGAGGAGGATGGCACCATCAGACGTGACTTGAAGCTAATCCGAAGTAAACGGCTACACATCACAGACGTCTGCACGTTGGACCGTATTCACACTTAATGCAATCAAACATATATGACGTAACCGCCGTGATTTAAGAAGGTTTGGGTACTGTACTGATTCTGTATTCTTACTCACATTCATGTTTGGGTTGAGGAACTGGGTCCGGGCGTAGCGGGTCAGCATGTTGATGATGACGACCTGCCCCCACTCTTCCACGTCGATGAGGAGGTTGCACAACTTCCTGTAGTTCTTGTGGATCAGGTCAATGCGCTCCGGACACACCTCCTCAAAGGCCATAACAACGCTTCCTGCCACCAACTGCAGCACACAACAGGTGGTGATGTTAGGATGCTTCTCTTAAATGTCAGGAGAGTACATGTTATCCATGAGGATTACCGACGCACAAAATACAATCCATGCATACTCAAATTACCTCTCAGGTTTTAACAATAAACCTGAATTTCGGTTGGAAATGACAACAGCTTGTGCAAAAATAGGAGGGTGAAGAGGGAGCCTGTTCAAACAAATGATCAGCCCTGAAACAGCTGAGACAGTGAATGCCATCTGGTGATTGCTCTGATGCAACTTCAAGTTTGAAAAAGTATTTGTTAAAAATAAAAGAATCAGCAAAAACCCACTGTGGTTTTGTCAGCGAGGAGTTTCTCTATGACTTCAATGAGCTGGTCCTTCTGTTCCGGATCCAAACTGGAAGCAGAATAAAATCATTAAAAAGGCATGAAACTAAATGCTGGAGGAAGGGTTACCCATCATCTGTTCTGAAAAAGATGCTCTATTGATTATAAAACGAAAGGATATCACTTCCAGTATTGGTTTTAGCTTTTACTGCAATAAAAAGCTTTAATTTCACAATGATAATAAGTCATAACAACATTTGATCTCAGTGTTGATCTTAGCCTCGTGGTTCTCAAACTGGGGTTCAGGACTCTCTAATAAGCTGCAGGCTCAAAAACAGATTTCTAACTTACAAATGTATAATTTATGGTTCTTTTAATCCTTGATATAAAGCCTTGTGATATCTGTAACTAGAAGAAATCTTCCAATATTAACTAATAACTGAAATAATCTTCTTTACACCCAAAACAGGGAATCAGGGGTCTGAGAACTGAAAGGATTTCGGTATTTCACCTGTAGAGTTTAGGAATTGCGTGAGCAGCCGTCTTCCTGACGTACGGAGACATATCAGAGGCCGCTTCTTTGATGGCCAACATCATTATGGGGACGATGATCGTGACTCGGATGCTGGAGAGGACTCGCAGAGCGCTGGCTCTGATCAGCTGGTTCGGATCCTGCAGAAGAACAGAGCAAGGTCCATATGAATAAGAGTCTACAGCGATGAGAGGCTATTCTTAGGCAGAGCTGTGCAATGAGCTCAATGCTAACATCATGATGTTTACCATGCTCATCATCTTAGTTTAGCCAGGTCTATAAAAGGCAAAAGAATATACCATTGTCATGAGTATAAGTATAAACTGCTTGAGTTTCCAACACAAGCAGTTTGGTGGCGCACGATAAGCTCTTCGTTAGTGGCAGAAATGTAATAGAGGCGATGAATGTGGTGGCTGAAACATAAGTGGTGGACCGACCGACACATCAACATTACCATCCACAGAGCCAAGCTGCTAGCATGGCTGAAACAATACTTTATTTTCTGAGTTTAATTATAACATCAGACCCCCAATGTTGATAAATGTGTGTATTTCTCATGCGAAAAGTCAAAATCTGAAGGAATTGTCGCTGGTAAAAGCTGCTGTACCTTCAACCCTCGCTGAAAGGTGGAAATGGAGAGCAGAGCGAGATCCTGCTGCTCCTCGGCATAACGCACCAAGTAAACATAGACGAGCTTCTTCACCTAGAGAGAGAAGTAGGAAGGAACAAAAACATGTTTAATCCAAATTATGCAGATTACTTCAATTATTTTCATTGAGATAAATCTGAAATGAAGAGATGAAGCAAAGTGATGAAAAAAAAAAACTTAAAAAGAGGAGAAGAGGAAAATGGTCACTTTGTTCAGGTGAGATAAAGCCAAATCTCACAGGTCTTTTAAAAAATGCAATAAGATGATTCATAAATCACAAGCAAGCTAAGTAAGAAAAAAAGCCTCAATGCAGAAAGAAGCTTTTTTTATTTTTTTAACCACATTAAACCTCACAAAATGAAGAAAAGGAGCAAATAAGACATGAAGCAACATGAAACCCGGGCTCATTACAAACCTCAATGTTTTTACAGGCGACGTTTTTCACCACAGCGGGGAAGAGATCTGATGCATTTTTACCTCGGGCGATCATCTGCAGAGAGAAAGACAACCGGAAAGCAATAAAAAAAAGAAATCATCAGGTGACATTTTTCAATCATCTGTGAGAGAAGGAACAACTGTTTTATATTTGATCTCAGCCGGTTTTCAAGCTTTTCCTTCTCTTTTACTATCCGCTGTCCTGCTGGGATGATGACTGAAGAGACGGGTGTGGAGCTTCAGATTATGAATATTTAACAGCGGACTGCACAGTTTGTTTCTCTAACCATTGTAGTTATATCATCTAAAACTTTGTCTTACAGCTGCAGGACATTAATCTTACTTAGGATCCAGTTTTGGTTTGTATCTGTGTCTCTCATGGCCGCATCTTTACCGTCAAAATTATGACATCAAGTTTGGTGCAGGGCACAAGCGTTGGGTCTTTACTGAATTAATAATGTTGTACATGTGCTGTTTCTTTTTCTCTGAAAACTTTGCCTTTATCCTGCCACTTGACGTGCATCCGTACCTGCTGATCAGTGAAATCCCAAAGTAAACATTATTCACACTCACAGCCACGATGCGCTTCATTGCCTCCAGCTTCAGGGAGTCTTTGTTGCTGTCCAGCATCTCCTTCAAGTCGTCATGTCTGAGGGAGTAGGAAAAAAAAAAAAAAACACTGAAAATTGGCTCACAGCTTTTTTGTTTCAGCAGCGCGCGAAGCAGCAAAAGACCGTTTACAGAAAGATTACCGAGGCCTCAGACGAGAAAACGTAGACCTGCTTTACGATTTCCATTCAGTGCTCAAAAATGTGCCAGTGTGACCCAGAAATTATTCTCTGTGAAGCGTGAAATCCAGCTTGCAAAATATGGGAACCTTTGAAACTGCACCCACAAAAGCGGGGTAGTTGGAAAGAGACATAATCTTTAAAACATGTTGACTTCTTATAGAAATCATCGATATTTTAGCAGCAATGGAGGAAGAAACATTTCTCTATCAGTAGATGTGATCCAGTAGAAGCTCACTTCTTTTTTTATTTAGATAACTCAATAACCTACTATTGTGGGAACGAGATTGTGGTGCTGAAATGATTAGTAGATCAACAGGATATGAATCAAATATTGCATGAAGCAATTATCCTGATTATAAATGTATAAAGATAGTGTAAAGATGGCTAATAAGAGCTATGGTTCTCAAAGTAAGCCAACAGCTAAAGTATGTATAACTGCAAACAGCATCAGTGCAGACAGGATCACTGCTACAGCTGTAATATAAACTTTGTAACCAGATTCTTTTTATTTATGTCAAAATGAAAATATAATTTTCTAAGAATTTGAAAATTCTTTGTAAGTTCGCCAACCTGTATTCATAATCAAAAGTTTAAACTCAGAACTACCGAACAGGATGAATCCACCCAGTGAGAGAGTCTTGGGTGGGGATTGTTTGGTGGTGGGCGATGTGATTTAACGGCCGCAGAGCTGCACATATCCCCGGACTAGTTTCCAAGACAACACAAGATGCAATATAATGATGTTAAGCGATTTCCTGTCTTCCTGCAGCGCCTTTGTTGCATCCGACTGAAGGTCTGCATGTGCTGAGCTGTGGAAACGCAGTGATCTGAGACGTAATGCTCCGATTCATGTCACTCACACGGATACATAACACGCAGGATTCAATGCAATTCAGACACTAAAGAGGTGCGTTTGTATTGTATTGTTGTCTGTTTAATTAGCAGGATGTCTCATACGGTTATTAGGTAAAGTGGGGGTAGAAGTGTGTTTATAAAGCACTTCACATTATATAGAATATATGTACAAATATTGAGTTTTTATCTGGATTCTTTAGTTTCAGTCACCTTTTTTTTTGTCTGTCACATTAAATCAGATTCGTGTACTTCAAAACACACTGAAGAACACTACAAATAACTTTCCAAATTATTTGGTCCAACAGTGGTTAGAGGTTTTTATATCATACCTCAGTATGAGTGTGAGGCTGTTGGGGTTTACGACATATTTCATGTGTTTTGGTGTGACAGCGGTGAGGAGGTGGCCGCTGCAGAGCACAGTCGATTTATCGCGCCTCAAGTTTGTTTCTGCTAAGAAAGATTTCTGCTTCCATGTCCATGATCAAGCATCAAAGTGTAATTTCAGTGCATGAATAATACAAATCAGTCTGTCACGCGCTTCAAAACCTAAATGCATCAAAGAGTGTCGAATTACAACCTGACAGTCTCTATAAGATGCTGTTCGTGGCAGGTTAATTTGGAACGCGAGCAGAGAGCCGAAGCTGGTTTCTTGGTTACAAGTACATGGCTGCCTACCAAAACAAATGAAAAAATAAACTCTGGAAATGCAAAGATAACTTTGCCCAAAGCACTGACAGCCCAGACATGAGGATGAGTAACACTAATGCTGATTTCCAGCAGAAAATGAAGGTCCCACTCGTTCACTTCTCACTGTGAAATCCTGATGACGGGGTCGCTGCCTCTAGTCTCTTTAATACAGAATGAAACCTCCTTCCTCTTTTCTACTTTGGTGTCAACTTGTTAAACATAAAGTGTCTTTTGTAAGAAGGGACAAAATATTAAAATAAAAGTCAAACAGCTAAAGCATTTCAATGCCAGATTTTGTATTTTTTCTCATTCCTGTGAATAACAGGACAAACGTAGATAATGCAATATACATAAAATGGAGTTGAGGAGTTGACTATTAATACTATATTAACAAAGCACATTTTGGCTAATATATCCTAAACTGTGAGGTATAGAAGTAAAATTAATCTAAAATGAAATCATGTGTACTTTGGCCTGAACAGACCTCTTCAACTTTACCAGATGTGCTGCATTAAACATTTGGATGAGCCTGACAAAAGTTGAAATGAGCATTTATATTGTTTACCGTGCACAATTGTAGTTTAGATGTTAGCATGCTAACTACTGGTCTGGTCTGGTCTGGGAATTTCATCAGTACGTTAGATCACTTAGTCAAAAACAAAAAGTATTGGACAAATTAAAATATTCAGCTGCTGCTGCTGCTGAATGAAAGCATCTGGGTTTAGTCTCTGCTTGTTCATCCTGAAGAGGAAGATGAACATCTGCACCAAGTTTCTATCAAATACTTCCGCAAGCTGTTTCAACCATGAAGTGGAGCTACAGGAATGTATTTAAGAAATTCAACAAGGAAACAGGAAACTCAATCATGATTTAAAACACAACTTGACGAGTAAAGTTCAAACTTCAACGGGCACTTTCGACGTTTTTTAACCTGCCAAAGTGTCACGAAGGATTAGAGAAACTCACCAACCAACCACAGCCTTAATTTGTTTTAACGGCTGGTGTCAATTCACCACCGTGATCAGCTTCACTAATTAATAACGTGACAGGGATTCATGCGGCGTGTTTGAAGACAAACAGGCTTTCTGGAAATCTAATTAAAACTGGACCCCAAAACGTTAATTACTTTTGCTGCAGCCAAACATTAAACCTGTCAAGGGGGAATTATCAGCAATTTGCAACCACAGACAAGTGACACATGCAATATTAGTAAAAGTCGTGGTGTTAGTAGTAGTGGCACATATGGCTGCTTAACCCTTCGAACTCTGCAACAGAAATGGTCAGTGTGTCTACTTTGGTATTTACTTATTGTGATGTAATTTATTGTATCTTCAAATTATTGAAATCCTTCAAATCTGTACCATCCAAGCTAAAAGCTTATGTGAGTCAAAACATCATAATAATTCATTTTAAAATATTGAAATTGTGTCATAAATTCTATATCAAATCTACAAAAAAATGTTTTCATCCAATTTGACCAAATAAGCACACAAAACATACTGACCCAAAAGATTTCTAAATGTAGAAACATTACATTTTTTGTATTTTAGATATTTATGAGCAGAGTGCAAAAGCGTTTTGATAGTTCCGTGTGCAATAGAAATATTTCCGCAGTGCCTACATTGGTACTTTGGAGTTATTATGGACGTCATGACGTCATCACACAACTGAATTGAACATTTACGTTTTGATTTGTGTACATTCCTTTGTGAGATTTAACTCGTGACTGACCAGTCTAAGGAGAGAGAGACCTGGCTGGCACCCAAAAACGAAATAATAAAAATTCCACACAGAAAGTCAAACTTTCAGAGCATCTAACACAATGACACAAAAGATAAAAACCTTCATGGTTTTTATTTTAGATCCTTTTAAACAACGATGTCCCGCAGCCGGCAACGGGATGTCTGATTTTAAAGGGTTAAACACAGAGCAGCATCATTACGATTTAAGGAAAAGGTGGAAAAAAAACAATAAAATTAAACATCAATCAGCCAATAAGGAAAGAAGAACATCTCTTTCACCACTATACACTAAAACTCTACTGTATTTTAATCAGAGCACAGTGGCCCAGAATGAAGATTAAATGGCTCAATGAATTAAAACTTTAGAAGTCATTAATGGACCAGGAGACAAAATACAGCCTCAGGTACTTTAAAGTCTATATGCTTAACCATGATTTATTCTAACAAACTATAAAATGCCACCTCAGTGAAGACCTACAGGGACTGGGTTCACTCTTCCCTGCTCACGCCCACAGGGCCCACAGTAACTCTACACCAACACCGGGTCTCTCATTTCTCTGGTTTTTGTCCCGTCCTGACGAACAACAGCTGAATTTACAAACAGCTCTGAATTATTGAACTCGCTGTGGTACAACAGAGCACCAGCGGTCAGGTTACCGGGCACCAAAGCCAACAGATCAGCCGGAAAAGTCTCCGTGATAGAAGAACTCCAACGTTCACCGTTACCTCTTCGACCGCAATGTCACGTTGTTCACCAAGAACAGAGCTCTGCAGCAACATTCAAAAGGAGCAGATATGGAAATGTATTTGCATGAATCAGAGGAAAGGGAAAGATTGAAGAGTTGCAGTATGCATTCATAAGCAGGCGGTTTTTACATAAGCCGAGTCTTTCTGCGGACACTTTGAACGTTTCTTGTTTTTTGTTCTTGGTGACAGATGTAAAATATGTCTGCTTAAACCAACCGGAACTGTACTTCAGTAAAGCTCTCATCCTGTAAAATGAGAATAATCTAGTTTATAGGCACGACCCAATAACACCCAAAAGTGTAATTATAGCTCTCTTTAACCAAATCTATTTCTGAAGAGAACTACTTTTGATGTTCCTTTGAAAGGTTTGCAGTCTAATTAATAGAGGAGCACAGCAGCTCCTACATGGCCTGCGTGATATCATAGATCTGATTCACAAAACACGTCTTATATATATTCATATAACGGCACCAATACTGAAAAGATATGGACACATATTTACCTTGGACTTATGCATCGCTACACATACAGTATTTGTATGAAAAGTAAACGTACTATTCCCTTGTTTTTACCATTAGTTGCCATCTGTTTTGACTTGTGAGCATTAAAAATGAAGCATTCTCTACTCTAGAGTCTATTTCACATGCTGCAGATGTCCATGAGTTTTGTTATGATGTCAGACTGGAGCTGAAACAACACAAATCTTTGCTAACCAATTAATAGTTTGCATCCTTTTTTCAAAAACCAAAATGACAAATACTTCCTTCTCAAAGGAGGATGTTCTGCTGTATACGAGTGTTTCGGTTTTACATTGTAAAGTGAATGTTTTGGGGGTTTGGGATCGCTGGAAGGACAAAAGACATTTGGAAATGTGATCTTGGAATCTGTGAAACTGCGATGGGCATTTTAAGTGTTCTCTGACAGTTTATAGACCAAAAACTATATAGTCCATTAACTGAGTAAAAGGAAAGTATTCACTTTTATTCAGTGACCTTTGAAGTTTTAGTGGTCCTCAACTTCTTTGGCTCGTGTCCCTTTAAAATAAAGTCTGCTGCATCTCTTTTCATATGTTGCATATGACTTGGTTCAATAAAAGAACAATATTTCAATAGTTTCATAACGCTTATGGCAAATCAATACACAATTTCACGATACGAAAGCAATTCAGTGTTGATGAAATAGATTTGTTCTCATCTTCTGTCTTGTTCTTTGTCTTAGAATTAAGACTCATCTTGAGACCCGTTGTGGGGAACCGACTATTGACTTACTCCCTTACTGCTCTACCAATAACTGTAGCGTGAAAGGGTTAAAACAGGTCTGGATTCTCCTGGATTTTCCTACCGCAAAGGTTGTGTTTGGAAACTTCCGCCACCTCCACCACCTTCCTCCAGTGGTGCTCGTTCCTCGTGGTCTCCTCCTCCTCCTCCTCCCGTACCTCCGGATCGGAGGTGGCGCAGCTCGTCCGCCTGCAGAGCGCTGTACCAGGCCTGCTGCCCGCCGTCGGGGGTCAGCACGGGGCTCTTGTCCTCCTCCTGGCCCTGGACCTGATTCTGCACCGACTTCACGAGGTTCGCCGCGTTCACCGGCAGCTGCAGCAGCAGCCTTTGCATGGTGGTCATGTTTCGAAAAACTTGTAGCAACCTGTAGAATCCCCCGGTAGAGAAAAGTGGGAAGGCTGCAGTTCCCCAAGCCACTCCTCTGTGTTAAATCAGCTGGATCAGTTTATGAAATGCTCCTCACGGCAAATAGCAGCTTCTGTGTTATAACACTCCGCGGTTAAGTTCATCCAATGTGGACGAAGATGATGCGACGGGCCTCTGCAGACGGTGGCCAAGGTTGATGCGCTTTGCCTCCTGATGTGCTGTAATCCAAATCCACCAGAGTTCCGGTGCAGCTCCTTCTGTTGCTGCCGAGCCTGTACGCATCCTCATCGGCTGCTCAGTAAATGGATGCTCGGGCAGAGAGGGGCGTGGACATTTATCCGCCTCTCTTCCTCGTGACTCCTCCCGCCGCTGCACCAGCTCTCTCTCTCTACCCTCTCGTGCACACAACAACGTTCTCCACGCATCCGAGCTCTCCCACAGTGACACCGCCTCTCCGACACCCTTTTGCCACGTTGTCGCTCCCCTCCTCGTGCCAATCTTGCTAAACTCTATCAACTATCTACTATCCATGATACCCGACAGATGCATTGAAATAATTATCACTCCTCTTGCTCATTATGTTTAAAATATGTCACTGTCTTATTAATTTTTAATATTCCGCGAGGTACCTTTTTTTTCTTGTCTTACATGACTCAGCTTTCCTCGCAGTGTCGTGATGAGGATCTCTCTCTCTCTCTCTCTCTCTCTCTCTCTCTCTCCCACTCATTTCTTTTTCCAACAAAAATAACTGCCTTGAAGCACAATTCCACATATGCTCTTCCTGTGATCTGTAACGGCTCAGTCAGGACTTGCTGACATTTGCTAAAGACTAATACGATATGTTTAATCTGTAAATACACCCACTGACAATGAATTACACTGACAGTGACAATGCTGTGACAACTGATGCCATGTTGGATGTAATACAGAGAGAATTTCTTCCTTCAGAAAGTATTTTTGGTGTTTTTAAAAGAAACTCTTTGATCTCTTGGTTCTCAGTTTAAGAGGAACACATTTAGTTATCTCCATCTAAAGGCACAGAATCAAAACACATCACAGTCATCATTGCAAACATCTGAAGAAGATGCTTTTCAATACATCTATTATGATTCTAACTATAAAAACAGCTGCTGCTAACTATTATTTTCAATTGTATTCTCTTCTTGTCAAAACTTTTATGCTGGATTCTGGGTGCAGTGCAGCGATATCGTATTCTCTAAATGAAGGTGGCTTACAGTACAAAAGAACATATGAAGGCGGTCATGAATTTATAAACTCTATATGCAAGTAATTCATATTCATCCCCCACTGGGGCCACGATGGAGATAAGCTGTGAACTTCAGTACATTTGTGTTATCTTTGATCCTGATGCATGTGTGTGCGTGTGGGTGGGTTTTTTTCTAAGGAATAGTTGGACATTTTGGGGTCATGCTGAGAGTTATATGTTAGGACTGATACCACTCTCATGTCTGTGTGCTAAATTAAAAGGCTAAGTCAAGCAGCTGGTTAAGTTAGCTTAGCATAAAGACTGGAAACAGCTAGCCTGGCTCTGTCAGAGGGAAACATAATCCACCTACATATGGCATTTACCAAAATGTTGGACTATTCCTTTAAAGAAAAAGGCAATGTTTGACTTCTATCAACCTTTCTGAGGGGCCAAGAAACCCCAAAACAACACAGATGTCTTTGGCATGGCTAACGGTCGGATGTCTTTCAAAGAAATGCAAAAGGCACATTTTCACAAAAGAACAAGCAACAAGCCAACGAAAGCCCACAGATCCAACCAAAAGAGGGGCATCCATCCCCTGTAAAATACATAATTATACTACTTATAATTATTTGCTTTCATGGCTTGAGAGAACAATGTGTTGCAGAGCCCCACAACAAAACAGTAGAAGCCATATCCACTGACTCTTACAACAGTCATTTCACACTGACACACAGTGAACACCTTTCAGAAGCCAGGAAAGGTGTGTTTTTCTTGCTCAGAGTAATAATAACACAGAGATTGACATGTTTGAGGACTGAAGCAACATCTTACAACTGCCGTGTTTCCAAGGAGACGACAGAGTGAAGGAAGGTCGAGTCAGCGCTTTCACTGCCGTGTTTACCGACAATCTGGTTAATCTACTTTCACTGGGGAGACATCGACTGCTGCAAACACGAGAGACATAACAGCGACGCCCAGTCTACACTGGAATCAACTGATGAAGGCTGAATTTAGTTTGAAAGGACAAAACCTGGCAAACAAACTCAAGGTAAAAGTTCCTCCTCAAGATCCAAAGGTCACAGTTCACATCTATGAACAATGAGCTCCCTCTGTTGGTGAATTATGGTGAAGCAGTGGCATCTGATAGCAAAGCCTGCAACATGTTCCCAAACCGAGATACATGCAGAGAACAGGTGTGAAACACAACAGGAGGGCAAAGGAGAACGCTCAAAGTTCACAGAAACACCGAATAGAGACAACTCATAGAAAATGGTTAACAAAATAAAAGTATTTTTTAGAATATAGCTCACAACACATGGGCACTGATGAGTCATGTGAATGTAGTATTAGTCAGCATACAGTAGCTGGCAGCATGTTTCTGTCTTCTGTTATTCTTTTTGAATAAGTAGAGGAAGCCATGAAACCGTTTTAAAGGCCCTACATAGGTACAGTACAAAACCCTTACTGGTGTTTTTAATTATTTGGCAAGACTACACCTCTCCTCAGGACTGCGTGTGAGTACAAACTATGCTATGGAACAGACGTTTCTGTTCAGCTCTCATTCCCTTATATTGAAGCCCTTGCAATGGACAAACCCAAGCCTGTTTTGGCTCTTGTGGACTTGGTGGATGTGGTTTGGTGACTAATAGAAACACTGATGTGCTGTGTTTGGAAATTAAGACGTTATTAGTTCTAGCTTGTTTCTTCACCATTGTTAGCACATGTTCACTCTACCAGACTGCAAACAAAAACCTGATCATCATCACCCACGATTGTCACGCACGTCACAATCGTGAAATCACTTCCTTTTCCGGGGTCGACTGAGTGCATCAGGCAATTTCATAGGACGGAAATATCCCCGTATATTACTACAGCAATGGTCAGGAATGGGCTTACAGGTTGCCAACAGGGTGGCAGTCCAAACAGACAAATCCAAGGTAAAAAAAAAAGGTGCAGGTTTGGATGTGCTGGGAAGCAAAGGCATAACTGCCATACTGGCAGAGAATGAGTGGTAAAGAGCTGGTTATACACTGAGGGGCTGATGAGAAGCAGAAACAGGTGAGCAGAGGAATGAGAGACACTGGGACAGGTGGGAAATTCTGAGGGCTTCTGGTAGATGGATTGAGAATGACAATGCAGGAGTCTGGAAGAAGTGGAACGTGGCTGGAAACACGCTGTGCGTTCCAAAACCCGTACTACCATAATATTTAGCATGCCAAAAAAAATATTGAGGTTTGTATTTGAAAAGCGTTGTGTCAAAAGTACCAGGATGTCCTGAGCTTCGCTCTACCAACATGCATCGCTCTTACTCGCAGCAGACATTTTTGGCATGTCATCACAGGAGAAGTTTATTAATGACATTAATAATGACTGCATGACATTTAGGTGAGCGAGCTCCAGGGCTTTGGCACAGTGCATGCTGGCTCACTGACGCGGCTTAAAGAGACACACAATGGGCCTGAGCCATTGTTAATGTCATTTGTTTCACCTGCTGTTAGCGTTATAGGACTATACTATAATAAAACCCACAACTGTTTGGCCGCATAGCATTAGAGGAGGAATAAAAAAAGCTGATTGGCTTATGGAGAACATAAAGGTAGAAAGAGTGTTTTCATGTGCGGGTGTGCAGGGCCTTAAACATATGTGGATTGTACATAGGTATGTCGACAAAAGAGAGACAACTAAATATGGCAAAAATTCACAAAACTGCCATATCAAACTACTATTCTATATCCAAATAGTATGTTGTCAAACCATGCACAGAGTTCCTCCCTGTTTGTCCAGTGAACCAAACACTCTTTTTCAATAGGAGACATTTTTACATGTCCGTGTAAATAACAATATCAATGCAGACTAAATTGTCAAATAAGTCAAAATGTCTGCTGTGAAAAAAGGCTTATGGCAGGCTGCACACTGAAGCACACTGTTTGTAACCCAATTATTGAACCATGATATGGCAATAAATAGAACCAATGGAACCGAAAATCAAATATGCATTCAGCAAAACACTGAGTAACATTTTTAGCCTTGCTAAGCTGCTACCCATAGCAATCCTCCTGTGTGCAAAAAGAAAATGTTGCTGGAGGAACAAATTGTTCCCGTGCAGGACGACTAACCGACCAAAATGATGAATCTGTTCATGTCTGTTCACGTCCTAAGAAACCAAGATAATAACAGCTATTAAGAGATCCGTTGATGGACAAAGAAATGCAGCAATTTGACAATCGCTTCGTTGTTTAAGTAATTTTTCATCAATATTGCCAAAAATGTGCTGGTTCCAGACTATTAAATGCGTTAAAATTTGAAGATATTATTTATTTTTTTCTTATTGGAAGCAAACTAAACATCTTTGGGTTAAAAAAATAGCAAGATTGATAAATAAACCATGGCAGACGTACTGACTGTTATTTGCTTATTGCGGATATATTGTATTGTGTATGTGACGGCTAATAAATTACAATAAATTAAAGTACAGCAATGTCAAACTATACTCTAGGTTTGAGGTAATTTAGAAACTAGTCTCCATTAGTCTGTCCAGTGGAGGACTATGACAAGGGTATTTTTCTCTGGTAAAATATACCAATCAATACTTTTGTTGGTCACAATACATAAACAAAACAAACCTAGGGGGTCTGTATCAAGATGGTTTGCTTATGTATAAGGAAATTATTATCAGCTGATATATCATTATCAGATTTTGTAAACTCGCAAATATATATATTTTTTGTTTATATAGGAGCATTACTGAAGGTCTCTTCTTTACTCAAACCGTATTTCAGGTCGTTATGACCCGGGTCTGAGTGGTTATCTGACACTAAAGCTGTGCGCTGCCGCTCTGCGCGCTGTCCAGCAGGGGTGGTGCTGAAAACGCTGGAGCTGAGGCCTGGCATCCTCTTCCGACAGGCCTGTCACATCTCACCTCACAAACACATGAAATATAAACACCCCGATCCTTTAAAAACGCCTTAAAAACACACACACACACACCAGTGAATGCACATCTAAGTCAACACCAGCATCGTGTGACGCTGCTGCCTGAGCGACCAAAATCACGGTGACAGACTCACGACCATAGGAGAGAAAAGGCAGACACCGCTTTAAAATCACGGGCCGAATAACAAACTAAGTTCACTTCAAAGGGGTTTGCATGTTGCATTAAAACACTTTAATACGTTTTAACAGACAGGAAACCACATTTCACGCAGCACCTCCCCCGCCATTAGCTGCCCCCGGTATAGTCCCCCACGCTGCACATTATGACAAATAAAAACGGCGTCAAGAGGCAGGTGGCTTCGTACCTTTTGTAGTCGGACGAGAAAATCCCTCCGCTCGCCGGGTCGTGACCATATTCAGGCTCTCCGACGCTGGACGAGCCCCCCTTCTCGTCGTTGAACGCGGAGCTGGCGGACATTGCCGTGGCTTTCTGTTGTTTATTTCTTCTGTCGCCCTCACAGAGCAGCGATGGAGATTTAGTGCAGAGGGCAGCAGGATATATACGGCTCTTAAAGGCGCACAGACGCACACACACACGGCCGTTATCTCTCTGAGATGCTCGGTGCAGAGGGGGGTGACGCTCTGGTCACGTGATTTGTAGTTCCTTCTACCAGGAAGTAGGCTTCCGTCAGATGTATGGAAGACCATTTCCGGTACTGTGATGAAATAATAAAGATCTAGTCATTGTAATGAAAACACATTGGTGCTTTAGTACTTTTACTTAACGCTAAGTGAAAGTGCTAAAGTATTAGCTTTATAATCTACTTAAAGTAAAAAAAAATATCATTGTGCAGAAGGGTCCATAGCAGAATGGTAATATACTACTGGATTAAAATGAGTGATGCATTAATGTTAGCATTACTTTAATGATGCAGCTGGTAAAGGCGGGGTTTACTTTAACTGCTTTGTTTACTGCTGGGTAGCAAAGCTGTCACATTAATAAAGTGGAGTAGAAAGTACAATATAATGCAGTGGAATAGAAATATAAAGAAACCTTAGCATGCAATTGAAGTACTCAAGTAAAGTACAAGTCCTTCAAATCGCATAACTTGAGTAAATGTACTTAGTTAGGCTATATTACTGTACTGTCTTGAGCTTTAAGAAACCAAAGTCATTTTCAGATTTGTGGAAACTGCTGCAGTATAAAACACCAACAACAACAGAAAAACACAACAACAACAACAACAGAAAAACAACGTGTACGAAGCTAACTTCAACCTCGAGGTGTCTCCCAAATGACAGCGCGCGAGGCTCGTCAGTCCCGTCTCTTTGGCAACTTGGAGCAGAAGTTGCTTTGAGCTGTTTTCACGTCGCTTATACGCGAGGTGTGGAAAAAATGAGGAAAAGTAGTCTGGCACGTAGCTCGTAAGTTCACTGTTTTAGACAAAGAAACGTTAGATCTTCTCGATTAATTTGAGTCGCAGGACAAGTTCCAACACGCTTCTTTTCTTTTAACACAGGTCAAGCTTCAGAAGCAGTAGAAGCTCCATCTCGGTCGGTGGCAGAAAGAGGAATAAACCTGAGAGGAGCACCGATCAAGCTCCCAGAAGAGCAGTCCGGGTATCTAGTTATTATATTATAATCTAACGCTAAATAACGTTAAACTAAAGGATTCTTAATCTTCCCGTTTCCTATTCATGTTGTAGTTTTGTTTTGTATTATTATCAAGCGTGTCTAAGTGTTAAATACTGACTCTGGCTGTGTCTTTGCAGGTGTTGGACGTTAACGGCAATGACGTCACCCCTCTGCCGCTGCATCGTGCAGAGCCAGGAGACGTGACGTCACAACCAGACAGACGCCTTCTGGATGAACTCTTCACCGACTCAGGATCAGACCACGTGAAGTCCTGTTCAAGCTTCTGTGGGACCTCTTGCAGGTTGAATTGACTTGAATTGAGCAAAGCAGCAGTTTGTTTACCTTACCACCAGCTCTGTTGAATATTAACTAATCCATTAGTCAGTAGTCTTATGCACAGATTTATTGTTATTGATGGGGGGGTAATTACTCCATCAAAGTATGATTTGTAGCTAAATATAAATATACATATATGTTTTGCAGATTTTCCTACATTACGTACATTACAATTGTTATTTGTGTAGCTTGTTATAGACACATTTCTGACCACAAAATGTTCTAAATAATGACTTTCTTTCTTTCTATTTTCAGCTCATTTTTGGGCAGCAGCGGACTATTTGACGTAGCGTCACTGACTAAAGACAGTGAGCATAGTGTTCCTAAACTGGACACATCAATAAACCCTCCAATTACAAGTGGTTAGTATTACATATATATATATATATATATATATGTTTATCATCACTGATTCCTTCTGGCGATTATTATTTTCTCTCTTGCTTTGAATTGGTCTTTCATATGTATAATAAGATAATGTATTGACAATCCAGTTTTACATTGTTATATTGTATGCGATAAAATATTAACATTGCAGCAGAATACAATTAAATCTACAGCATCTTATGATCAAATTACATTTTTTAAGCAGATAGTCTTTTGTGGAGTTTTATACATGTATGTTCAATATTTTATTTTATTTTTCTTTTCCCCGCCAGAGGTGCCGAGGAAAAGAGACAATGTGAAACAACATGTGACAGAAGAGATGTTGGCTGAGGGAGTAGACATCTGCCTCTCTGAAACAGATACCATTTCACCGCTGGACATACCCAGCATCTTTATGTCAGAGGACGCTGATGATGCAGAAGCTTTCAAGTGAGTGCCTGTTGGCTTTCTTGAATATTAGGCAAAATCTTAAATGTACAACAGGCACAGGAAGTGGCACTTCATGTCTCTAACTTGGGAGCTGCCTGTCACATACTGTGCAGTGTGCATATCAGTTTGTGTGTCTGTGCAAATGTCGTAACCAGTACTCTTCTTTGGTTGTATCAAGCTGTTGACATGTTCAACTTGTTCTTACAGCGAGAGAAACGTTAAATATGCTGAGCTTTGTAAGAACAGATTGGACAACGATAAGTATGTGGAACGACCAATGCAGACTTTCAATGGAGCACTCAAAGACAAGCAGATCCAGACTGACAAGATGGCCGCGGTGGATGAAGGTTAGGCTTAATTATCCTTCAAATCAATTGACAGTTTTCCCATTACAGTACAAGGTTGTGCTGCAGTTTATACACATAAACCCATATGTTGGTGGGTTTGGCGGTTATGGTTATTAGGTTTCAGTTTTTCAAAGTAGACAGTTAGCTGAAATTCTCTCATGTCCACAGGGGCGATTGCTTCTGTCTGGGACATATATGACTCTTTCTGTAACCAAAATAAAACCCCAAGTGGTGAGGAGGCTGTCTATCCAGAGACTGCCATGAACACCAGCAAAGGTCAAGAAAAGAGAGGACAGCAGAGCAGCAACTGCAGCTCATTCAGCACAGGTAAGAAGAACATCGACTGTGTTAATGTTTGTCCCAGCATGTGTTTAGGACTGGAGAGGTTCTAAGAATGAACAAATTCTTGCTTGAGACTAGCTTTGCAATAACTTACATGTATCATTTTTCTTATATTTCATTTCCTCAGCCAGCACTATTTGCTCAAAGTTAGAAATGGAAATGTGTGAGGACAGTTTCAATGCTGATTACGTCCTGCAGCTGATCATGTCGTCAGAGTCATTTCAATACAGCTTGTTAGTGATGGAGAGGAGCATCGTGGCGAACATATTTCAAACCATGCTGGCTGCTTACAGACAGCTGCCCACACTGGAAGGTAAGCTCAGGTTATCACTGCTTTCACACAATTGTTGGTGCAGGTGCACCAGCCTGTGGATTTACGCTCGGGACCATTTCTGTTTTAACTTAAGGAATTTAGTGAGTTCTAAAATGTACGTGTATTTAAATAAGTACCACATATACAGAGTTGTAATGTTGATGGTGTAAGACCCTGACAGCACAGTGAAGCCTGGGGCAGAGGAACGGAACGAGGACGGTGAGGAGAGCTCTTCATCTCCAACTGTGGAACATGTCTTGACTTTGAGCTGCAAGCTCACCAGAGGATGCAACATTACCAGCATGGCCTGGAACAAGAAGAACCTGGTAACAAAGGCCAAAAAAAACAAAAACCAAACCAGCTGCTGTTGTTTAGGAGCAGAACAAATTCTTCCCACCAGCTTCATTGTCATTTTGTGTTTTGCTTTTTCAGTGTCTTAAGCTGAAATGGGATTCCCATTTAACCGGCTTTACTCTTCATGGGCGACATTTAATGCACATTTTAATAATGTTGATATATGCAGTTTGCACTTAGCCATACTTTAACAACTGTGCCTACACGTGATGCATTTTATGCAGAGATTAAAGCCAAACTAATGATTACCAAAATAGCAGACATGCAGGAGTTGCCCTTAGAATTAAAATGGGCAAACATTTACGTTATTGTTTTACTATTACTACTCTTTGTTTTTTAAATTAATTGAATTATTGCTTTCTGTACAGGCAAAATATCTCAAACTTAACTTAAAACTCTGTTTGCACTCCCTGTAAGGATATCCTGGCAGTGGGCTACGGTGACTTTGAATCAAGGAACCAGAAACCAAGTCTGATCTGCTGCTGGTGCCTTAATAACCCTACAGTATGTATATATATTTTTTGCCCTTTATTTCCTTTTAGCCAACATCTTCCAGCGCCCTATCTCCTCTCGCTAGTATTACTGCAATTAAGTGGTAATAGGAAATATCAGCTTTTGTCTGCTTTTTTATAAGTACATTTTGAATTTATGGGGCGGCTGTGGCCCAGGGGAAGGAACGGGTTGTCCACTGATCGCAGAGTCAGGTGCCATCGATGTGTGTATGGGTGCACTCCATTCACCAATTTAGTTGTTAAGGAAATGACGGATTGTAAATGTGTCCCCTGTGCAGTGGCCGGAGCGCGTCTTCCACTGTCACAGTTGTGTCATATCCCTGGATTTCTCAGCCGACCACCCCAGCCAGCTGGCTGTAGGGATGCACGATGGCACTGTCGCCATCTACGATGTCAGTCAGTACAACGTCACATGTATCGCCGACAGCAGGTGAGTTCGTGTGGACGGCGGAGCATGGAAATAAGCTAAAAAGAAATACTCTTGGACAAAACTCCTTTTTTTGTTAGCTTTCCTAACTTTTCTGTTCTGTAGCGATTGTTTCAAAAAGCACCTGAAACCAGTGTGGCAGGTCAACTGGATCAAACCAGCGATGACATTATCAGGGGAGGACAGGGATGCTGTCGTCTCTGTGTCAGAAGATGGCAGGATGTCCAAGTGGTTCCACTGCAGCAATCGTTTTGACTGCTCAGGTACTGTGGTCTTCAGTAGGATTTGAACAGTAAATACGGTAGATTCGGAAGTAAACAGTGATATTGTCACCTATTGTCATAATTTTTGGCAAAACATGTTCAGATTAGCTTTTGAGCTTAAAAGGCAGGAAAATAACAAAGCTCAGTATCAATTCTATCACTAGCCCTGACTTCATATCATAACCCGTCCAACTAATTTTAAGATGTTGCTTTATTGATTTTTACCACTTTGGAACTTTCAAGGCAGATTTTCTGCGAGAGTGCTCTTATGTAAATTACATGTACCTGTATATCGGTGATCTCACACAATAATCGTAATAATAATATCTGTATTTTTTCTTTTTTTTAAAAACACGTGTTCTCAGACCTGATGAAGCTTGGGAAGAAATATGCCAAAATAAAGAAGACAAAACAGGTTCTGCCATTGGCGGTGACTTCTGTTTTTTGTGTTGACTTCCATCCAACAGTAAGTTGGTCCCAGCAATCAAATAGATCCGAGGTTGGTCTTAACCGAGCCTAGTCCTCAGACTAAAGGCTTCTGTGGAAATTTTGATTTTAATCACTACACTTCCTTCTTCCAGACAGCCAATTTAAGATTGACGTTTTGTGTTTTTCTGGTTGTGTGTTTCTCTGACTTCAAAATATATCACCTAAATATTTCTCCTGGCTTTCCTTTATGCTGCAGGACTCCAACATCTATGTGGTCGGCACATCGGAGGGGCCCATCCACAAGGGCTGCGTCTCCAACAATCTGAATTTTCTGGACACTTATCAACACTTTGTAAGTCCAGCTGGATAGAATCTTTGAGTCATTTGAAATGTGTAAATGTACACATGGTTAATGACAGAAAATATATATACCAAAGCTTTTTCAGCATTATGTGTTTAAAACAAAAGACTAGGGGCCTGTTATTCAAAGCAGGAGGAGAAGACTAGGACGTTAACTTTTGGGCGTTTCAGTCTCATTGATGATGCTTTGACTTCAAACCAACTTGCACACCAACTTGCAAAAACTAGCTTGGGTTGTTCTGGCTTCCAGATTCACCTCCTCACCACAACAATCTGTGGAGTGAACATGTTCCCATTGGCAGAAATACTTGGCTTACATAAATGTGACAAGTAGCACTGAATAACATGTAATAACAATAACAACATGCAATACCTTGTGGGGACTTTAGTGTTTTTGCTCCCCATTTCAGTGTATTCACTCTACACCTTGCTCTCTCTCTCTCAGCGCCCCGTGAACCACATCGAATGGTCTCCATTTAGTTCTGATGTATTCCTGAGCTGCTCCTCTGGCCGGATCATCCATCTGTGGAGGAAGGACCTCTTCACCCCTCTGATGAGCCTCACATCCACCCAGATGGCCGTGGATGCCGTCAAGTGGTCGCCAAACTGGTCCACAATATTTGCAGCCCGTAATGAAAAGCAGGTGGAGATCTGGGACCTGAATTCGAGCATGTGAGTCGGACTGACAGAGAGTAGGCGTGTATATCTAGAGCTCTGTCTCATTTACTTCCATTTATTTGATTTGAAACATGAGCCAGAAACATTCCCGTGTCCACTAAACACAAAAACACCTCCTTTCAGCATACACCCAACCATTGTGCACCATGCTGCAGCTGGTGTGAAGGTGAAGTCCCTGCTGTTTACCAGAGGGACAGACTGTGTCCTGGTTGGAGACACTGACGGGCAAGTCACTGTCTACCGGATCAAGAACCTCAGAGTGGGAGAAGACAAGCAGGTAAAACTGAGGTGGCCTATGTTGTATTCTACATGTCGCCTGTTGCTGCACACTTAAAATATCCAAGCACATGCATGTATACATTAATTTGTTTTATTTCTTTTTTATTTGTATTGAGGATTGTTTGCAAAGCATACGAGCTCCTTTCCCAACAATTAGTTCCAGGCAGAATGTCAGACAATTACTAAAAAAAGGTCTTGACATTACAGAGAATATCATTGATGTTATTTTTATGTGACTTGACAGAGTGCTAGATGTCAAAGCAGCCTTTATAGATCCGTTCCAATGATGCTTCAGAAACCCTGTGCAAGAGATCCAGAGAAGCAATGATGAGATTATCATCATTTTCCACCAAATTTTAGAAAACGTACGATCATAATAGTGAGTGTAGGGTAAAACGTTTCGTACGCTGTACACAGCTCCAACTGTCTCTCTTGCTCTTTCTTTCAGGTGGACAGTTTGGACGACATCATTAACTCTGCAGCTTCCAGCTAGATTTAGAAACTGCAACTTGGAAACTCTAAAAAAAACTTTAATCCATTTGCCATTCCAACAATATCAAACACTATACTTGTAACACTATCAAGGCTGGCCTTTTGTTTCAGAGCCGCTTTACGTTTGTGTTTTCTTAATTCTGGTGCGTTAGTTTAATTTATACCAGTTGTTAAAAATGTTGTAAATTGAAAAAAAGTATCTATAAAGGCATGAAATAAATCTTTCATTCGATGTAGTTTGTGTATTCATAAGCCAAACAACATAACAGATAAAACAAGGGATTGTACATTAAAATTACAATAAAAGCTAGAGGACAATTACTACAAAATGAGTCCACAATGAAAGAAGAAAAAACAATTTGAGCGTTTGAATTTTACTTTACATTTAGAAAATGCACTACAATTGGTATAGAGACGGTTTGTGAGATTTATCTTGATGCCCTTTCAATTTAACTTCAAAACAAATATTTTAGGAAGTTAAATCTAAACCTTACACAATGTCATTTGTTCGTGTTCATGAAATTAGATACGTAAGTCTAGAAGGTTCGTGTTTTTGTCTTCAAAAAGATGCAGCGCTTTTCACCCTTTTAATAAAAAGGTACATTCGGTTTGAACTAAAGAAACATTTTTTGTTTTTTACACTAAAAATAAGCAACTTAAAGTTGAGCTCTAAAGACTTGATCTTGACAAATTGTGACAACAGGAGACGGACCTTATTTTGAAGAGTTAGGGAGACCCCTACTGGGAGATCTATATATGGATGTTAAAACAAGAGATTTAAACTGAAAGGCATCGAGTCAGTGAGACAGTTATGTGCATCATATACTTTCCTATTCAAAGCCCCTGCTGGACTGTTTTCCTAAAATATATGAAAGTGAATATTCTGCAATATTCTGTCATACAGTCGTGAAAACTTTGAATATACTGTATATTACCTTTGTCTCTCTCTCTCTTACTCACACTCACTGTCTTGCTTTCTGGTGAGAAATGGAGATGTGATCTTAACTAGCAGATTTATAAAGACTGTATTTTCATAATCATTCACATTTTCAAACATTATCCAAACATAATTTAATTCATAAAACAAAGACTTTAATATACATTTAAAGTTAGTCAGAGGAACTTTTAACTTAATGTAACACTGATGCCGCTATATGACCTACACAAGTAAACAAGACCATCAGCGAGAAGATTGTCTATTTATATTTAGTTATTCTTAATGCTTGTCATTGGTGCCATTGGGTCGGATTCTGATGAAAAAATCAGATGAAATCATGCAGGTTCACCAAAAACTCCCTCAGTTCAGACTCCAGTCCGGTCCCCTCTGGGACCCAACACCCCGCTGCTGGAGACCCAGGCTGTATTTCTGGGCCCATTGGAGGGAAAAGAGGCCCAGGAGAACCAGAACCACTGAGCGGAGAACTGTCAGACCCTGCTGCGGTAAAATGAGAGGTTTTCTAAAGGGACTCTGGTACTCAGAAACACTACCACTTATACGTGAGTTTTAGGCAATGCATAATTTTCCCATTATATATAATAATGTAGTTGTGTTGTTGTAGCCTGAGTAGCAGCCCATATGTGGATGATCTACTGAACGCCAGTTTGAAGCAGTAAGAGCCGAACTGTGTGCAGAACTCAAGAATGCGTCAGCTAACACAGTTATTCTGGACGACAGTGCTTTCTTTCATTCACACACTGGCTCGGACAAATTGCATCACGCTCCCCAACCGGCTGGTATGTCTATAAATGCAAAAACTCCAATGGGGGAAGTTGTGGGGACTTACATACCTAAACTCGAGTCCTTCTCGAGTTTACAACTTCCTGATTTCAGCTTTCAAATGATCTGATTTACACAATGATGCGCCTGGTTCACAAGATCATATTACAAATGACCTGATCAACCGAAAGTAATTTGACTTGTCAGAGTGGGAAAAGCACAGGTGATACTGATAAAACTAAAGATGGCTCAGTTATATACTCAAGTGTCCCAGAGAGAGTTACAGTGAGCCAGCGTGTGTAATACCTGGATTCAAAGCTGCTAAATGGAATATATTCATCATTAATTTGATTTTTCTTTTCTTACAGCAACATGTCAAACTGTGACATCTGTGAAAAAAGGCCTATTGACGACTGGATGCACAACTCAGGTGGACAGTTTGAATTAAAAGCTTTATTGTTTTGGCATCAGGTTACAATCCAAACAAAGGTGAACAAAGCACAAGGGCGAGGCAGGGAGGCAAAAAAAGGTTTGAAAAGGCAGTCAAGTGATCACAACAGACAGAAATGATTCTCAGGAAGGCTGGCCACAAAGACAGAATTCACAGTAGACAATTCGACAGGTAAGCTGAGAGAAAGCGGCTTGTAGTTATTCTGGGGAGCTCATTCGGGAAATGGAAACAGGTGTGTGCATGAGGGAAACAATGAGGCCTACAGCAGGTCAGAAAAGATCAATAACACTAATATCTGCCCTTTGATAATGAAGCTACAGCTTAGCATAAAGTCTACAACCGGGGGGAACAGAGAGTTGGCTCTGTCCACAGGAGAAGACATTGCATACCAGCACCTATAAAAAAAATCACTGATTACCATGTCACATCTTGTTTGTTTAATCCAAAGTAAAAAAAAAACATAAATTGTTTGTGTTGGATTATTTGTTTTGTCTGGGTGCAGTAATGCAGTGCTAGGCTAGCTGTTTCCCCCTGTTTCCAGCCTTTATGCTAAGCTAAGCTAACCGTCTCTTGGCTGTAGCTTCATATTTAATGGACAGTTACAAGGGTGGCATCAATCCTCTCATCTAACTCTCGGCAAGACAGCGAAAGAGTGCATTTCCCAAAATGCCAAACTAGTCCTTTAAATTAAGATACATTTTCATTTAAATAAAGATAAATTAATGTGACTCCAAAATAGATACATTTCTACTCAAGGCTACTGAAGTGACATGTAATAGTGATGAAAACCTCATAACATCTTTTATGGCATGTGCAACTCTTGGTATGCTATAAAACCGTTTAAACTCTCATTCAATCAACGGAACTTTGCTGTAGGAGAGAGAAAGCTAAAATCAAAGCAGCGCAAAAAACAATTTCACAGACCAGTGTCTTTAAATCCAATCCAACAAACAAAAAAACATGAAGAAATGATTTCATTTTAGAAGTCTATGTTACAGCAACAAGACTAAGACTGACTTCCTTTTCGTTAATGTGTACGGCCCGTACCTGCTGACAGTGTGACTTCAGACACAAAGAGGATTCACATGAGCTGTAGTAAAACACGGCGATAACGAAACGGCTGTTATATTTTTAAACCGTGCTGTGACTCTATAAAGGTCACATATCCTCACATAGAGCTGCTTAAGTAAGCTGTTTTCTGCCTGTTTTAGACTGAAGCACAGCGAGGAACAGCACATGGATGGGAAGATATAAACCCCATGATGACGAGTCACAGACAGGAGCATGTGATTGTGGTTGAGATCCACACGTGGACAATCATCTGGGTGTGCTATTTTAAGATCGGGAAGTGTTCTTTCCTACTATAGAACTCCGAGCAGCTGTCCTGAGAGGATGCGAGTAGTTTTGTGTTATGTGGTCTGGGTTTACATCCCTTTTTATATCCAATGGATTGTTTTTTGTTTTACTTTGTGTTTCAAGTTCTGTGGGAAGTGAACCTGGATTTGAAAGTGACATTTGTTGTTGTTGCTCTCAGAAGGCTGTTTGTTTGTTTTTTTTAAACCCAATGGCCTTCAGTTTATTCACCTTTTTACTTAGAAAACACAGTTTACCCACCTCTGATGGGCTGTTATACATATTTATTACAGTATCAGATGATTTAAGTTATATGTGGGTGGAGTCCGAACATTTGGATTGATAAACAACTCACGGTTTACTTATTAACCAGTAATTAACTTTTCTTAGTTGTCATCATGTTGATACTTTAGTGGCTGTTTAATACTTCACTCACTTTGTTATTCATTTCTGTACTAGTGAGAGAGACAGTTGGAGGTCATGTGAATTTCTATTTTTGATTGTGGAGCTGTTCTTTACTGCAGGAACCGTCTTAAAGATAAGGACTGTTTCCTGACCTGAGATCAGGTGCTTCTGCTCTATAAATGTGCTTTATGAGCTCCAACTGTACTCTGTGTCAAAGATCAGAGTTTAAAATACGATTTGTCTTTATTTTTAATGCTGGCTGGTGTTTTCTTATATGATGGCTACTTCACGTCGCAGTGGCAGAGTGAAAGAAAGAAAACAACGCTGTGCATTTGAATTATGTAAATTATTGTCCACCTATTCTGAAACTGACACTAGTATACTTTGCAAATTCAGATTTTTACATTTACTGTTTAAATGAAAGAAAAGTAGAATATGGAGAATCAATTTTTACTTGAGTAAGAGTACAACAAAGTATGAGCATCAAAATATACCTTTTGTGCCAAAGGTATACTTATTCATCATGCACTTTAATGTTGCAGCTGGTAAAGGTGGGGCTAATTTGTATGTCTTTGTATGTCCTGAATATCCAATTAAGTCCCATTTTATCTTAACCTCTTGTAACACATCATAATTCATTTGTTTATAATATTTTGTATTGTTAATATGAATCTGCCACAACTTATGTGGCGTAAAAAACACAATAGTTGCCTCTGAATTGTGGCAGAAAATGAAATACTTCAGTAATGTACCTCAAGATGATACTTAAGTGCATCACTTAAGTATCCAGACTGCAAACTCCAGCTCGGTGCTGTTGTTGTATCGGTCATGCGAACTAAACTGCTGACTTTGCATGTCCCTCAGCAGCAGCAGACTGGGTGTTGATCCCTAAATGTTGGACTGCACCTTTAACGTCCCTGAACGCGCCTTGTGGTTGTGTTCGTCCAATTAGTGTGTAGGTGGAGCTCAGGAAGAGACCGACTACCGACACACGGACGGGCACGGATCTGAGGTTTTTTTTTCAGTTCCTGAACGCGGAGAAGAAGGAAAAAACCCGCGTGAAGTTACTCTTCAGCTGCAGAAAGTTGACCCCAGACTGTTGATCGAGTCCGATGGTGTGGGAGGAAGATTTCCCGATGATTGAAGTATCGATACCATCGATGGAGAGGGAAGTGGACGAGTCGGGGAAGACCAGAAAGGTGAGGACGCCGTTTGATCTGTTGTCACTTTAACTTTTGGTCGCTTTTTTTTCTCGGCAGCGTAACAACACGTTAACTTGATCTTCCTCCATATTCACTTTTTTCTATTCTAACCTGCCGCGTGTCTAGTTTGGTGATAACTGCGACACCAGGTGAGCCAGGTAACCTGCAGGTAGAAGAGTGAACGTGAGCTCAGCTCAGGATTTTCCCTCCAGCGGTGCAAGAAATACTCAGACAATAAAACTACCGAAATATCAATGGAGTCTGGCATTTGAATTTTGCTTTGAAATAAATAACTGCTGATAGTAAGCGAGTAGGCTGCACAGTCGCGTACTGTAGTCTTACTTAGTACAACTTTGAGGTACTTGTACCGTCCTTGAGTATTTCCATTTTTTTTGCTACTTTATACTTCACCACAGTATAATAATAATTATACATTTTATTTATAGAGCGCTTTTCAGAATACTCAGACACTTTACATTGAAATCATATTTTCTATATATATATTTTTTCTATATATATATTTTTTCTATATATATATATATATATATATATATATATATATATATATGCACACACAGAGTGTCCAGAGTACCCAGCACTGGGAACCAGACTGGGTGTATCTTATGTAAAGACTCATTAATGCCTCGGTTTCTCAGTTTAATAACTCTTTGTTTCACTATAGTTCTCTATGTTAGCAGTTAAAGTACACAGACTTCCAGAGAACAGTCACCTAATGAACTGTAATAAATTGCATTCACATCTACATTTTAGACTAATGCAAAATAAAAAAAACGACACTAACCTGGGGAATTTCTGCAGTGTGCTGAACTGACCTGTTTGGTTTTATCATCTCAGTCTGAGAACACAATACGTTTGACTCGTGTTCCTTTCTGTTGACATTACTGATAAAGTATATAAGCAGGAACCGTATGACGAGGACGTCCTGCTATTTGTTCTCCAGTGCAGCACAATGCTCTTTTTTAAATTACTTTTTGAATCCTGATTCTCATTGTTTTTGAATAAAATATCAAACATTCAAAGAACAATATAGTTTGTTTATATTCAGATATAACGGATATATTTGATTGTCTTCACTTTTTAAATGTTGTGGATGATAAAGTTGGTAAATTAATACCACATGTAGCACATGTAATTATATTTAATATCTCTTGGTTATTTAATCCTAAGAAGATTGGAGAACCATGTCTATATATTTTTGTCATTTTAAAAAGCATGACGCACTTTAAATGTCCAACCTGACACACATTAAATTCACTAAATGACGGATTGTGATTAAAACCTCTTTTGTTTGCAGCGTTTCAGAGTTGAAGTCTTGTTTCACGGGAGGAAACATTTTGTGCTCCGAAGAAGCAGCGAGTTCCAGACTCTCCACAGAAAAGTAAGTCGCTTTAGAGTCACAATTAATCCAACGTTGTTGAATTATTGACTGTTTCCTGTATGGAGCGCTGCATATTATGTTATGAGATGTTTACGTTTTTTGTAACTCAAAATAAGACTGTTAACATGGATTTAAGATCACAAGGAAGCTTCACTTTGATGGTCTTTTACATTTGTAAGAATATGCATTGAGGTTCTTCATTTGGTTCAAGGTTCAGCTTTGTTGTTCTTATACGATAAAGGACTGCACGCACAGAGAATAACATAATGTTTAAATATTTAAATTAAAATCGCATTAAACAATAAAATAGAGCAAAGTATATAAAGGTAGCACTAAAGAGAAAAAGAAAAAAAACTAAATTATATTAACAAGGAATATATACAGTAAAAATATGTACAATATGTAGTGCAAAAGTTGAGTTTACAGTGTACAAAGAGCTACTTTGAAAAGATCATTTAAAAAAATATGTTAACTCATTCAACATTTGCATCCATGCTTCTTCTTCCCTTGCCTTCCATCAGCACTTTGCTACGTGTCTTGGTACATTATCAACGTACAATCATTGGAATAGTGTGAAACAAACAGTAAGAAGTGAATCATGCTCACACACGCGGGGGCCCATTCAGAAAAGTGCTTCTATTGGTCAACAACTACCGTTCAATTTCAGCTATTTTGTGTCGCGTGCCGTCAGATTTGTTCTATCTTGTGGTTCCTGCAGCTCAGGAAGATCATCCAGACTCCAGATTTCCCGAGCAAAAGGAACCCCCTTCTGAGGACCAAACCTCTGGAGGAGAGGAGGCAGGAGTTGGAGGACTACATCCAGGTGACACGTCCAGTCCAGTGAGGCGGCAACTTCTTCAGCAGCAGCTCTCTGTGATGCCCAAGTGCCATTGTGCAAGACAAGAATCTCCATCAGGGGTTTTTGACCTCACTAAGCGAGCGACACAACTTACTTTATGTAGCTCTTTTCAAAACATAAGTTCAAATCAATCAGTCAAGTTTTATTTATATAGCATCTTTCAAGCAAATCAAAAGCAATTAAAGTGCTTTACAAATCATTGACCCGATGAAAATGGAAAGATGAGACCAATGCACACCAAATGAAGTCAGGGAAATTAACAAATATACAATACAACACTGAATAAATGGATTGTTGTAAAACAGGAAAATGTTAATAAATGTAAAATTAGACGAAATAAACTGTATAAATACTAAAACACTGTATGAAAATCAAGCTTCATAATAAGCAATAATAATAAAAAAAGCATAAACTTATAAAACACTAGATAAAAGCCAGACTGACTAGATGGGTTAATATTTTCTGTTCAGTATTTTACAGGAATAGGAAAAGTAAAAGCGGAGACAGAGAAGACAAAATATAAAACAAAGAAAAAATAAGTGAATAAACCACAAAGTAAAAGTTATAGAATCAAGTGAAAGTGTTTAAAGTGCTTTAAGAAGATTAGGCTTCTCTGAGACAGTTCAAGAGTCGAGGAGCAACAACAGCGAAAGACTAAAAGAACATTCTTTACTCTACAAAAGCTTTGACATCACGCATGACACGACATTTCACATCCTTAAAATGATTTGAGCCAAAAACACATTTTTTTACAAGTCGGGATTGTTCTCTGTTGCTGCAGGACGTCATCTACCAAGACGAAGACGTGCCGCAGGTGCTGCTGGACTTCCTCCACGTGAAGCACTTTCACACGGGGATCAAGGTCAGCAGCATGGAGTAAGTCCTTCAGTCTTCTGACCGACTCCTCTGACCCAGAGATGCTGGACACGCTGCTAAATTTAGGCCCTCTATTTTTTTGGATTGGGGGGCAATGCGGCAACATAGTAAAACTTTCAACACATTTCTCCCAGTGTTGTGGAGCAGCCACTGGTCCCATTAAAGGAAGGACAGTAGTGTTCTGTGTGTGGGATCGTCCTCTTTCTAAAAGACCATATTTATAAACAAACAGGAAATGACTTGATGTATCACAGAGTAGCGTCTGTAATGTTTCTTTAAAGTCGTATTCACGGCCCTTTATTTTGACAGTGTCTTCTCAGGAAGTCTGTAATAGTTGTTTTTTTATTATTTCAGATCACTTGATGATTTGGACAGTCAGGATTACAGGTGAGCTCTCTACTGGTGTTTGTGTGGTGCAGTATGTGTACCGTGTCCACTAGAAAGACGGTGGTGAGCTATTGTGCACAGATTACTCTTCTGGTCTCTGCAAGACCATTATTTCAGTGATGACGGAAGCATTTTCATGACCACAATATAAAACGTTTTATATCTTTCCTTTTGAGAATGGTGTTTTTCTTTTTAGTCCTGCAGGTTGATACTAATGCAATCAGACAGTTTGGAAACGTTTCCCGTCTCTAGTCTGGATGCCACTCCACAAATCAACACATCCAGGCCACCATACTTTTTTAACTTCTTCTGTCTGCAGAGCGTTACGGCGATGATTATCATTGCACAACATAAGTCAGTGTGTGTTGTATTCAAGGGCTCCTGGATTCAGTTCTCCCTCCTATATAACACGTTTGGTCCTGTTGTTTATATCATACAAACGTCTGTTCCAGCACCCAACCTCCTTATCCTGCTCCTGGCACCTTCAACTTAACCAGAATATGAGCATAACATGACAGTTATACTACTTCACAACAATGATGAAAGTTGGTATACACATCTTAAAGTTTGAAGTATTAATGTTACGTAAGACTAATGTATTACTTTTGTTTCCTCAGTTATCCGTTACCAAATCAGCGAGTGTTGGGATTCTTTCAGGATCCTTATGTCTCCGACTGCACATCAGGTGGAACTACACACGGTAACAGCTGCTGACTCTGTAGTTGTGAATTTAAAAGCATTAAAAAGCATGACGACCTCGTTCCGACTAATACCGCTGAGCTCTCGTCTCGTCCTGCAGATCTCCCAGATGTTGTCGTGGACGGTGTTCTTCAGGGTTTTTATACCCGGGACGTCCGGGTCAGCTTCACGGCTCCCGTTCTCACCAAGCCCGACCCCCCCACCTCTATAGAGGCCTGAGATCACAGTTACATGCAGGATGTAATGTTTAAAAATAGAATATACAATACAAGCAAATGCACAATGCCAGCAAGGAAGATTAAAGAAAAGGCATGATGCCAAAAAAAACGTATGGAGGCGTTTGTACATAAGTGTTAGGGTCAAACACAGTCAGTCTTTTTTTCGGCCGTGGTATTTTAAAGCATTTTTTTAGTGTAAACAAATGATTTACTGATGTAATGATGTACTTTTACATCATGTTTATATTGAAATTATAATAAGTAATCAAACAGGATGCATCCTGTTTTTCTAGTTGAACTGAGCTGTAGGACAAGTGATGTTTTTTTCCGTCAAAACACATATTACTTACATGATTTTAATATATTTCTATTTCCACCAGTACCTTATTAACCTACATACATTAATACAGATTGCCTTTATTCAGCATTCCAACAATGAACAGAGCTGTAAGAGTTCAAGCTGGCACAACAACATAAAGCAGTCCTATACAAATCAAAACAACTACTATCAGAACAAACTTGGCATAAAAACAAAAAGATGGAAGTAGAAATATAGATAAAACCTCTATGGCAACAGCGGACGTGATCACCAGGTTGAAGACTGTACTTTTGACGACTCTCTCGAGTCTCTCCTTGATTGGCATCCAAAGTTGAGCCCCAACCTGAAAGATGACACGGTGAAGTTAGGTGACCTCTTGTTGGCGAAGCAACAATGCTGCTGCTGAAGGTAGTGCAGAACGTCTCACCACTAAGTCATCAGTCCCGCTGTCGCCACCATCAGGATGCACCCTGTTACGATGTTTATTAGTAAAAGCATACGCATGACTAAATGTAAAATAAATACCCACAATTATACATCGTATTTTTGGTCGTTGTCATAGTGACATGATATGTTTCAGCAAAGTGCTGTCCCGTTCATATTTACACCATTTCAAGCCCTCACAGTCTCTCACACTCCACCACTTACCAGGTGACGTCAGGAAGTCCCTGAGGGTTCAGGGTTTGAGGCCTTAGGGGGGACATTGGGCCAAGGTAACAATAAAGACAGACGCCCCACCGCGCCTTGTGAGACGAACTGGTATCATTCGTTTTGCTTAGACAATTAAATGTCAGTGGAACCACAGAATACTACAGTCAGTGGTGGAAGAAATATTCAGATCCTTTACTTGAGTAAAAGTATCAGCAAAATGTACTGACAGTATTAACCGGTATGTTGCATTTTACTGCTGTAGATGTTAAAGAGTGTGCTAATTTGAACGAGCACTGCTCAGAATAACGCTTCAGTTTGTCAGAAACATTGTTTAGGCAGGTGTCATGCAGGTACAGTGTTAATCATTTGCAGCCTATAACTAAATGTCAGTTTGACCTACCTTTATGGTGGTCTTTTTCTGCCTCATGCTCTGGTGCTCTCTGCGTACCAACCAGTCAGGTTTCCTCCTTTTTAAAGTCCTCCTCTCCCATGCCCCGTTATTGTTATTATAGTATTTAATACATTGTATTTAGTGTGTCAGTGTATTTAATTGCTGGGAAGGAAACTGAAATAGCGAGCGAATGATCAAAATATGTAAATCTTCCTGCTCTCATTGTGGAGATGTAAAAAATACAACTTTCCACTCAAGAAGAAGCATTCATCATGCTTTCTGATGGCTGTGTATTAAAACCTCAAATGCTTTTAACAATGAGACAATAAACGTACCAGCTTTAGAAGAGATTTAATAACTCTGTAATTACAGATTAGAAACTCCGAGTACAATTACCTATTTATACAGCTGATAAATCATAAAATGTCGTTCTTTCAAAATACAAAAATAAGTCACTGGACACATGTACCATACAAAATGCAATAAATAGTGATAAAAAATAACACCAAAAACATGCAGTCTGTTTGAGAGTTAGAAAATGTGACCGTGGTGGACACTTTCTCTCTTGTGCGTCACACTGCGAGGCCTCAGGAAACGGTATGACTTCTCTTTCTTGTGGCGTCGTCAGAAGGTTTGTCAGCCTCATTGATGCATCATGCTACTAGTACAGCTGGTATCTGGTTTCTGTTCAGCGAACCTCTCCAACTGCAGTGGTCCCGCATCATGTTGTCCGCTGACTGGCCTACAATGTCCATTTCTGCAAGACACCACAATGCAAACCGAGATGATGGGTTGTGCTGCTCGCAGAAGGAGAAGTCATTGACAGTTCCGCAGATTTATTTTACTTCTAGAAACCACCCATGAGGTCCCTCTAGTTCCAACTAAACATAATTATGTTAACATGGTGCCTACACTACCTGTGTGCTACGGCAGACAGGCCTGTTTGTTCTCCTCTCCTCGGCCTCCTTTAGTTGGTGGAGTTGCTGCTTCGCCTCGTGTCACCAGGCAGCCCACTACAGCTTTCATACTCTGGATCCACCTGCTCCTCTTTGATTGCCATCCTCTTCGCATCCTCTGCGGAACAAAAACGCAACATAGAGGAGTTAGATCTTCATCTAAGACATAAATATGTCAGTACAAATATCCCAGTAAGCGCGTATGTCTCTGAATCCAAACGAGCCAGGGAGTTTATTTCAGGGAGTGTATTTCGATCCAACACCTGTTTCAGCAGTGCCGACTTGTTGCCGTTTACCTTTTGCTAGATGCAGATCGAACGAGTACTGCGTCTCCTCCACCTCGATCTTGGGTACCAGGCCTTTCATCTGGTCCCGCAGCTCCTTCAGCTTGATGTAGAAATGTACCTTGTCCTGCGCGCGGGGAAACTGGGCACAGCGAGGGCTCGATGACGGCATCAGGTAGCACACCTAGGAGAAGTGAAATATGCCGTGAATATGCATGTCGTTTGTTTTGTTGAGCACATTTCAAGAGGGATCCAGGTGCTGCTTCAACGTACCGTTTCAGTTTCTGGGATTTTGTACGGCTGCAGACCAAATTCGAGATTCTTCGCCTTTACACCAAAAGTTTCTTTGCAGAATATTTCATAAATACCTGCAAAAATCAACAAATGTCAACACACTGTTAAACTCACCCGATGGCTTTACGAATAAGCCATCTAAACACTTCAGAGTTCAGTAGTTTCGGTGTTTTAATAAGTTTACCTTTTCCATTAAAAGCTGCTATTAATGGTTTGTATTTCTGCAGCTTGTCAAGTAACTGTCGACCTCCTTCTCGAATCTCCTTACTGGGACAAAAAAAAACATAAAATCAGAAAAATATCCGTTTGTTTCAAAGGACACACTGGATGACATCGGGCGATTCTTAAGAAGTTCCTCCCTAACTTAATAGATCAATGCAATTTCTTTGGTATTGACCTGGAGAGGTCCTTGCTGCCGGGCGTGGTCCTCTCTACCATGTTGGTGAAGCCGATGTTATATGTCTCCGGCAGGCTCTGGTCATGCATGAAGTTGAGCTGCTCGTCAGTTAGACCAGAGAGAAACAGACATTTCCCTGGATAGGAAAGAAGAGTTGGACATCTAGTTAGCCAAGCGGCTATCGAGACACAAAAAATAAGTGATGAAAGACTGGACCCAGACTAGTTTTTTTTTAATAGGTTATTGTAGCTTCACTGCATCTACGGGAATACATCAGCTGGTTTGTTTTTAAGCATAATTCAGTAAGCTGACGGACAGTAAAAGTCTTTTTTGTGCTGAGATTGAGGCAAAGTGAGCAACAGCACCAGTATCAAACATGTTTGGTGGCCTTATAAGAACAACAGTAAAGGGTGCGCAAAACATAAAGGAAAATAAATGGCGAATATTATAAAAGTGAAAAATTCTTTAAAGAAACGGATTGTGTTCAATGAAATACTTTAGAAACGGTGTGATATAACAAATACGTAAAAGTTTATGAAAATCATTGGGAACCCTGATTTCAGCAACTTCTTCTTTTGAAAACCTGTCTGTCAAAGATTGATGATACATTTGTAAATTGCATTTCTACATTTTCTATCGACCCCTTAAGTGTTTCAATGAGCACGTAAAAAAGTCAAAATTCCCTGGATTTCAACTCACAGAAATGGTTTCCTGGGTTCGGATAATGGCGTCCTTTGAAGGCTGACAATAGTCCCGGGTTAATTCCAATCTGAGGGGAGAAGCATGAAGTCGTTACCAGGTGTTTTTTAAAATTAAAAAAAATACACTAATAGTCGTCCAGTAAATAGCTCACTATCAGAATGTCCAGATTGTAGGTGATAACGTCAGGCAGGGTTTTGGTCATAACCTCGGCCACCGACATGCCGTTGAAGCGGTTGAGAGCCCTCTTGGCTTTTTTCGCGGCCTCGATCTCGTTCTCCTCCTCCTGCGTCTTGCCATCCTCCGCTGGCTGCTTTGGAGGCCGGCCTCTCTTCTTCTTCACCGGAGTCACAACTAGGACAGAGAGGAGGAACAAAAACAAACGGTATGAGCCAATTAATCCCGTATTTGTATTGGGTAAAATCATTCATGTTGGCATGGCATATTACGTAACTTCAGATATTATTTAAGTTTGTATCGTGGTGTGTTTTACTATGAATACATGCATGTATGTTGCCTTAAAGTGCACAGGTAATAGGGCCGTAGTGCAGTATTTTTAGTGCACATGACAAAGTAGGGTTGGAAAGTGACAGTCTTTGGAAAATGAAGTCCTCTTCCATACCTTGAGCGGCAGCAGCAGGCTGAGGTTGGTGCTGAACACTCGGCTCCAGCTGCTGTATTGTATGTTGGTGGTGCAGGTGCGCAGGATGCTGCTGCTGCTGCTGCTGCTGCTGCTCCCTGAGGTGCGGCTGGTAGGTCAGCTCCTGGTAGTGATTTTGGGCCGGGGGGTTATAGTTCTGGTAAAAAGGTTCCTGGTAGACAGTTGGTTCCCGGTGGACAGACAGCTCGGCCATGACGAGGTCATCTCTGGGCCCTTCTGCGTAGTGGCCCATGTTGTGATACGACATCACATGCTGCGCCTCGGGGTGCTGCTGGCTGGACTGGTACCTAGAAAACGGAGGAGGAGAAGGAAGGAAGGAAGGAAGGTGAGACAAAGAAGAAAAACGAAACGGGACCCGGACAAAGCAAGAAAGGACAAATGATGTCTGGTGCTCAATGGGGTGCGTGGAGAAGTGTTTTTTTGAGGCAAACTTACAAGACACGATACGTACAAACACACATGCGCTGATATACACCTGTTTGTATTCTCTGCATTTCATTCAGTGTAGAGCATGTGAGTCCAGCTCTAACAGTAGATTTCCTCGCTCTAATTGCAGCTGGGTTGGTTTTTTCAGCCTCTAACCTGCGACACTCATTGCATCCACAAATCTTTTTAACACCGACTTTGATGTGCGCTCAGGTAAGGCGGACCACAATGGAATGAAGACATACAAACAACTGTGATTAATGTGAAGCCAACTACAGGTCAAGAGTTTCTTATATGGTCCCGTTCATTCCACAGTTGGCAGAAAGGGCTGCGTAAGAGCCACTGTATTTATATGAAGCCTGTAGCAAGTCATGTTGTAATAACTGCATAATAATATAGTAACAAGTCCAATATTTAAGAAATATCATTGTCAATTTACCAAACCAGCTACAGAGTACAAAAACATCACATTGTAACTGGCAATTACATTTGCCAGTTAATTACATGTATTGAATTACAACTTAGGGTACTTTTTATACAAGCTGTTGGTCCACTTCCCATTTAAAAAAGGACAATTTATGTTAAAATGGTTATTATCCTTAATAATTACACTGCCACTTGCTACAAGCCTAAATACAAAGAATACAGGTATGTTTGATGTCGTGTGTCAGATGCTATTTATTTATTTTCTCCATCTCATGCATGAAAATGAAGACGTCAGGGAGATAAACATGAGAAGTTTTCCATGACCTGCCACCTCCGACACCAACTCACCACTGCTGAAAATAATCCGTAGGTACCGTCAGTGATGTATACTGGTTTTCTTCCATCTTAACTGTTGATTTATTTGAATACATTAACATTCATTCTGCTGCCAAAAGCATTAATGCACACTGGAGATGTGAGCTGTGTGGAGTTTGTAGCACATACGGTACACAAAGAAGACTTATGGACGCTGCTACAGGAAGATGGAAGATTTAGCTAACAGTTAGCCAACAACGTAACGCGGTCCTACGGCTGTCTTGAAACCGCACGAGACCTCTAGGTTAACGAGACATGAAGGTATTTGAGCGAACTACCGTACCTGTCATACATTTTGTTCTTTAGTTTTCAAATAGGAAGACTGGGGGCTGGGATTCCTCCCAAAACAAAGACCATTTAAACGCTCAATAATTCATTTAGCGCAGGTTGAGTGAACGCTTACCGCCACCTCTTGGTCAGGAGGTGTACTGCATGGGTCTAACTAAAAAGGATAATTTAGGATGTCTAGTCACGTTGCACAACTTTATTATTACAACCGATGATTGATGATTACAAAGTAAATCAGTACACATTATTTATTGATTTTTAACATCTTGAAATTACAGTGTATGGAAATCGACTGTGTGAGTTCGTACAAACTACCGCTAGATGGCGGAAGATCTCGTACGTATGAAAGTACCAGCCCGAATTTACACTGCAGACGAACGTAGCAGTCAAAGATAATAGTGTGTTTACTTAAAGTGCATCACTCCACATTAAAAACAGGACCAGTCAAAAACACACAAATGGGGAAAAGTCCACATCTAAACCCTCCAGATCATCCACATTTGTTGGGGCAATTTCTCCAATGTACCTTTCTTTAAATGGCATAACAAAGTAAGTTAAAACATATTATAAGTAACACAAAATCGTAACCGTTGTGGTATCCGTAAATAGAGGCGGAGTGAGACTCTTCTCATATATTTTATCTCTGCGTTAGCTAACAGCGTGACCTGAGTCCCAATGACAGACATTTGGGCTTTACTATGGTGAAAATTAGATTCACGTTGCGGTCTCTTATTTAAAAGACGTTGAAATCAACAAGGTGAGGTCTTACTGGCGCCATTATATGTCAGCTTGTGTCTATTGCTGTGTTGCCATTTATCTGTTTTTAGCCCTAACATTACACCACGGCTAACAAACACAGTGACGTTAGCTTCCTTGTCACTGGATGTACTATGCAGGTGATTAACAATCATATACTATATATGTATGTATGTGTATATGTATATGTGTGTGTATATGTATAT